TGAAAATGAAATATACACACTCATTATGACAACAAAAAAGTTTGAGGCTGCATTTCATTTATATAGAACCAAAGGAGCATCAGAGCTGCAAAATTATTAATTTCGAATCATGAAATGGTGAATATACGCACATGAAAATGAAATACACACTCATTACGACAACAAAAAAGTTTGATGCCGCACTTCATTTATATATCCGAGCTGCAAAATTTTAGTATGGCTTTTATGATGCATTGTGTCTTTACACAGCATTCTGAGCAGGCATTTCTCAGAGCAGCCTTAACTTGACGCAGATGGTGGAAAGCATTTGTTCTTCTATAACACCCCCTCCCCACCTAGACACACACACAGACAGCATTTAATATAATACTTTGTTTTTCTTTATTGCATTATAACATACATACATTATAAATGTGGATTTGTACACTACAATCTTTATTGTTACATATTATAAAATATTCAGAATTTGAAAACAAAGCACTAAAAACTTTACCAAACATTTATTTTTATTGTCTTTTCTGACCCCATTCAGAACGGAAAACCAAAGAAAGAACAAAACATTTTTTTTTCTACCAACCATGTCAACAGAAAGGGAATCATGAAATGATTCGTGAAGCACTGACATGTCACTATTAGAACTGTTAAGAGAGACAGACATATTTACATAGAAGTAAAATGGTGCATCCAATTGTTGCCCTGGCAACATGTCATACTGCCCATTATGATGTCACTGAAATTCATATTTGGCGTTCTGTGAGAAGGACACATTTTCAAGTGTATTCTCATGTACTCTTGCCGTAGCATCTTCTATCAAACAGAACTGTTGAGGACAAGAGTACATTACAGCAAGCACAGTGGTTTTAAACACTTATTTTACAGATGAAATGATTTCCAAGACTTAATGAATCATTTCTGTCGAATTCCATTATTTTCTCCAGATGTTTCATTCTGTGAAATATTCTGTCCGAGTGGAAGTGAAATTCAACAAAAATGACATTTAAAAAAAACGATCAATATAAATCCTACACTCACTTCAAGAGTCAGAGCTATGGAAGCCGCAACTAACGTGACTTTTTTTTAGCACTAGCAGGCCTGAAATGCGTTTGTACATGTTGTAAGGCATTCAGTGCCTTGTGATGGAAGGCAGCTAATAATACAAAACTCAGTGCAACAAGAAATGACATATACATGATGAGGTATAGGTTCAAGCAATATATAACCGTATCATATGGAGTCAGGACATTGTTTACACTCATCAGATTAAAAAAGAACGGCAATAAGGGACCTACATACTAAAGATCCTTTTGTTTATAGTCTAAATAATGGTAGTGGAATAGTTTTTTTTCCCAGACGATATAAGCTCCGTCCACTAGAAGGAGCTCAGCGTCATTTGGTCATCTTTGATCCACAGTCTTACAATAGACAACACATAATTTCCACAGACCGATATACAATTTACAAACATTACAGAACAAACAAAAATGTAGTTCGTCTCAAAAGTTCTTCACCACAGTTCCCTCAGGGAATGTACTAGACATCACTGCTATAACAGTCAAAATATTTGGCTACCCACTTTTTTCTTTTTCTTTTTAGTCTTCATGAGGTTCCGGCAGGTTTTCTTATATCAGAACACACTCGTTGTTCCATTAACAGTAAACACAAGCAGGCCCTCATTGTAAGCACATCATTGACATCTTTAAATATAGTTAACATGCATGTTTTTCTGCAGAACATAAGGTCGACTGATCACCAAGGCATCTTCAAGCAGAAGTAGCCAAGTTTGCCCTTAACTAAACCTGTTTAGTAGCACTTTTGCAAATGCTAATGTAACCAATCCTACTCGCACTGCTATGAGCGGGAGTCGAAACGGCATCCCTGGCATGGGAAGCGGGCATGCTAATAAAGACGCTAAAGACCACAGTCGCTAGTGCACCTCTTGAGATCAGGGGATTGAGGTTTACTCGCACAGCTCTTACTAGCTAGCCTGTGTTACACTCACCCCCCTAAACCTCACTCGCACCCGGGTCACGGCACCAAATGTAACCCCTCAGGTTCTACTCGCATCATTTCGAGAACAATTCAAACCGGCGTCTCCGGCATGGGAGGCGGGGGCGCTAACAAGGATGCTAAAGACCGCAGCATCTAGAGTCAGTTGCTAGTGCGCCTCTTGAGATCAAGGGAGTGAGGTTTACCTGCACAGCTCTTATTAGCTGGTGTCAGTTACACTCACCCCCCTAAACATCACGGCACCAAATGTAACCCCTCAGGTTCTACTCGCCCCACTCCGAGAAGGATTTGAACCGGCGCTTCTGGCATGGTAGGTGGGTGCGCTTACAAGGACGTTAAAGATTGCAGTCTCTAGCATCAGTCACTAGCACGCCTCTTGAGGCCAGGGGAGTGAGGTTTACTCATGAAGCTCTTACTAGCTGGCCTGTTACACTCACCCCCCTAAACCTCACTCCCATCCGGGTCACGGCACCAAATGTACCAAAAAGCTGGCCTCCGTTACACTCACCCCCCTAAACCTCACTCCCATCCGGGTCACGGCACCAAATAGCTGGCCTCCGTTACACTCACCCCCCTAACCCTCACTCCCATCCGGGTCACGGCACCAAATGTACCAAATAGCTGGCCTCCATTACACTCACCCCCCTTAACCTCACTCCCATCCGGGTCACGGCACCATTTGTACCAAATAGCTGGCCTCCTTTACACTAACCACCCTAAACCTCATTCCCATCCAGGTCAAGGTATCAAATGGACCAAATAGCTGTTACACTAAGAGCAAATGGTAGCAGTACAGATCACTTGGAGACTGTGTTATCGTGATCATCTGAATACCACCTCACTGTCAGTATTCACAAAAACTAAACTTGGCTCTTCTTATTTATTTATGTCCCCTCCCCCCAGTTTATCCCTTCACACCCTCATTTTTCCTTCAGAGAACACAAATACTCGCACGCTCACAGTAGAACCATCCTTTTGTCATTCACACTTACACGTACACAATGTACAAGTACACATAAGAAGTTAGATAACAGCTCAGGAACTCACGAAAAGCTGAAGCACATGCCCCTCAGAGCAATGCTGACCCCTGATTAGTCCTGCACATGGCCAACTTTTTTTTTTTTTTTTTTGCTATGGAAAATAAGATAGTGGTTGAAATGGATGAAAACAGGTGAATCTCATGAAACCTCTCAAGAACAACGCTGGGTCATATTTCACTCCAAAATCAAAAGAAATCTACATTTTCTTTAAAGAAAATTCAGCCAATTATATGATTGCTATTTTTTTATTCTAAAATAAATAAATAAATCCAACATTCACTTAAAGTCAAGAGTCAGAGCTACCGAAGTCACAAGAATAACTGATTTTTTTTAGCACTAGTAGGCCTGAAATGCTACATTTAGACAATTTGTATGATCTTATTTTTAATTTTCATGAGAATCAAGTATGTCATTATGGTAATGCAAAAATAAATGATTGAAATTAGTATTAATAATCATGATTATTACATTTATATTATAAAATATTTATACATCATGTTTGTTTTTGTTCTACTTTTTTGTTCCACCAATTAAACGTTAACAATTTTATCCAACAATAGTGAAAAAAAGTTCCTAAAAAAGTTTTTTTTTTTTCCTATTTCTGTCTTTGTTGTTCATTCTTTTGAGTATGGGGTTAAAATGTGACACGAATGTTTTCGTGAGATTCACTCAGAAGGAATTTTGAGTGGTTAGAAGACAAATGCAACTCAAAAATGATCAAAGAATGAACCGATGGATTAAAGAAATGTGAATAATTTTGGAAGAGCATTAGTTAGGTGTAAAACAGAAGTCAAAACTAAAGCAAAAATAAAACTTGAGAAATCAAAAAAATAAACAGACAAGAAAAGATGATGTCGCCCGAATCAATCTCCTTATGAACTGAACAAAGGAGAGCAAGTCTGATTAAATGTATAACTCATCTGCCTTTTATTATCTTTCAAAGCATTGTAACCAAAAGACAGCATGTTCTCTGGCACAGTGAGAGAGAACCTGTCGCAGGTCACCTGACCAGCACACATACACAACTACTTTTAATCAAGGCATTTTAAGACGTTTCCCCCAGTACTTCAGACTTCATTCAAGTCTTTTCCTTTTAAGATATGAAAATACTATCAAATAAAAAGATAAAACTACTTTTAAAGTCTCTTCTGCTTGTACAAACAAGTAGATTATCAATGCAAATACAATCAGTTCAAAGCAAACGAGATGATAATGTTAGTTACATTGACAAACAAACATGAAGTGAAATGCTAGAAGTTCCGCATTTGTAAATGCTCAATGCAAAACGAAGTCAATGGAACTAGAGAATTAAATCATACACGTGAGCAAGGCCAAAAATTATTACAGTACATCTCACCAAAAACATCAACAAGTCACAAAATACAGCAGCGCATCTTTTCAGTAAAATCTCCCTTTTTGGGAGAAAATAGTCGCAAAAAAACAAAATAAACAATAAAATACACATTTAAACACAAGTTGGACTCTCACACAAATGAGTGCTTTGGGTCTGTAATACATATTTAACAACTTACTTGCATTTTTCAGGTTGGCCACAACATATCTTTTCCAGATACAGATATCTTATCACGAACCGCAGTGAGCAAAAGACCAAGCTTTCTGGGTAATTCTCAAACGACAAAAATACAGAATTAAACTTAGCATGAAGAAAGTCTATTTTTAGGACCAACATTGTTTGTATTGACAAATAATCACATTTTATCCCTGAAAAAAAAATGTAATACCGTCGTCATGAAAATCATCCTCTCCGGATACAATATTTATATATATATATAAAAAAAAAACTTTGTAAAATAATATAAAAAAAAAAAAATGATTTGAAAATGAGAATGATATTTTTTCACAATATAGTAAGCTACTGAGAATTGGGGAGAAAAAATACACTCAACTCACTAAAATAATAATATTATAATAAAAAAAATTATTATTACACTTAACTGACATAAAACTAATAGCATAATGCACTAAAAGTTAATGGTCCTAAAAATAGGCTTCTTTTTCTTTTATGCAATAAATATCTTATTTTTACCTTTTGATTTTGAGCAAAAATATGACTTGGGTATTTCTTGACAGTTTTTGAGATTTTGTTTTCTATGTTTGTTGCTGAACAGTTCGGACTCAAAATCATAGAGTGTAGAAAGCGTCACATCTATATTAACGTCATTTCTAAATTGGTCCACACTAGATCGATGGCAGTTTAGGTACATAACTGACCTGGACTGGAAATGTCAGAGACTGGGCGTTATGTGCAGGACGAACCGGAGTTCTTGAGGAGCTTTGAGAGAAAGAGAGAGAGAGAGAGAGAGAGAGACAGAGATGGTGAAGACTGCAAGAGTGTGAATGAGAGGCCGATCATCTCTCCCATTCTCTTCTTCCCTTGTCTTTTCTCTGCGCAAGCGACCGCTCTCCCCCTCTCGCCTGTTTGGCCGTACCCTGCTGAATCTCTTGGAAATGGAACTGTTGTGCTCTGGCTGAGATTCTAAGGCAATGTCACATTACATATCAAAATGTACAACATCTATACATTGTGCAGTTGTGAGCGGAGGGTGAGGTGTGTGGATGAGACGTGGCGTGCGGCGGCTCTATAGAACGGTGGCCTCCATGACTATGGCTGGATCCTCTATGTCGGCTTTACTCTGGACCATCCGTAACTCCAGCTGAGCCGGGCTGGGTCTTCTACCTGGACCTGCCATTTCTGAACATACAAGACAAAGACAGGAAAGCATTTCAATGGAACAATTTCAATGTAAGATTTTTTTAAATGTCTCTTTGGCTAACCAAAGCTGCATATATTTGATCAAAAACACAGTAAAAACAGAAATATCGTGAAAAATCATTATAACTTAAAATAACTCTTTACTTTTTGAATACATTTTAAATTGTAATTTATTCCTGTGATGACAAAGCTGAATTTTCAGCATCATTACTCCAGTCTTCAGTCACATGATTCTTGATGTACGAGTCTTTACTGTCACTTTTGAGCAATTTAATGCGTCCTTGCTCAATAAAAGTATTAATTGTTTTCAAAATCTTTTAGTGTGTGTAGTGTATAAACAATGATAGTGATGGATGAATGACATGTTTAGGCTTTTCAATGGCCATAACTGTAAACCAAAAAAATGTATAAGTGAATATCATATGTTTTTATTGAGTGTCATTTTAATTAAATATGAATTAAATATATACCTAGAAATCATCAAGCACTGCTTATTTATTTGTATTTTTGTCTTATTACTGACTGTTTACTTGAGCAATTACTAAAAGGCCTTGTACCACTGTTTTCATTTGTAATTTTAATATTGATAACAAATTTTGGCATTGTAACAACGTGCACATACATATAACATAAACAACGTTTGTCTGCTGTGTTACCATGGGCATATGATATAGTCCTCTGAATGACATGGTGCATGACGGAGAAAGTCTTCTCGCATGCCGTCTGAGAAAGAGAACAAGACAGAATAACATTTGATCAGCATTTTATTACCGTGCTGCATGATCACCGAGATGCATTTATGACATGATGATTTATGTACCTTCAGGTCTGTTGGGTAATGGTGAGTCCAGGCCAACAGCATGGCAGCAAATAGATCACCTGTCCCAACAAACACCGCATCCACTTTCGGCACCTCTATTCGGATCCGCTGGGTCTTCCTTGTGCCGTCCGGCATCACTGCAGAAACATGGGCATTTTGTTCTTCACAAGAATTCACCATACATGAACCAGCCCTGATCTTCAACCACTAGGCTATACAACCACATGAAGGTGGTTCAAAGCAATAAATACATATATATAAATAAATATACAAATATTTGAATTCACATGCATTCCAATAAACTCTCATGATTTGTCATCTGTCAAAATCCACATTATCTTCCACTGTTCAGCACACATGGACACACACACACTTACAAATGCGTTGACTGCCAAGAGACACCAGGAATCTGTCTCCGAGACGAGGGGGCAGATCAGAGCTGGTGATGACCACAGTGTCTGGACCCATCTTATGCAGCAGGTCCATCACCTGAACACACACACACACACACACAGTCAGAGGCCTTTACTGGATCTCCATTATAATGTTGACAGCAACACGTTTCTTGTTGATAGTTGAGCTGCTTTGTCTCAATTTTCAAAAGGTCTCAAAAATACAGACAGCCCGTATTCAAAGGGTTCACAAATGTTTTTCTAATAATAATACAAAACTATTATAACTATTATAATCTCAATAGTAATTATATATTAATAACATATTAGATAACTTAAAGAAAATAATAATAATTATTGATTATAGATTAATCATATGTTTAGATAATAATAATAATAATAATAGTAACAAAATAACAGTTATAATAATGTTAAATAATTGTCATAATTAGTAGTTATATATGAATAATTATTAGATAATATTAAGGCAATAATAATATTAATATAAATAATAATTTTCAAATGTTATCATTTTAATAATAAATATAATCCCCCTCTCTTTACACACATGTCTGTGTGTATATATATATATAATAATTATAATAATAATTGATTACATAGTATATTCATATTATTATTCCCTTAATATTATAATCTAATAATTATTATTATTCACTGTAACAAAACATTATTAATAATATTAAGATAATAATATAGCAATAATTTTAAAACATTATTATTTGTATTTTTAATGATGATGATGATGACGATGATAATAAATTATAATAATACCTTTATTATTAACAAATAATATAAAATAACACTTGGAAATGAAAGTGGTTTGTGTATCATTTGCAGTTAGAGCATCTGATTTATACTCAGACATTGCTTTCTGCTTCCCTCCTTTTTTATAGGCCTACAGTGAGATCCATTTCACGTGTGTGTGTGTGTGTGTGTATTTAAACTCACCTCAACAGCATCTTTCTCTGTGCTGATATTCTTCCCCGTCAATAACCTGGAATGAAGAGCACAGAGTTAGCAGAGTTGATTGCACATCAGTGCGACTGAAGATGTGAGTGTAAAGCCACGACTGGCCAGCAGAGGCCACTACAATATCACTCTTATGTCAGCAATCTGACTGAAAACCACTGAGGTTTGACATTTGCAGCACAGAAACATCCAATCACACGATAACACACACAAAAATGTTGAGTAGAGGGTATTTTACTCACTCTGCCTCAAACTGGTTGGGTGTGATGATATCGGCCACAGGTACCACTTTATTCTTGTAGACAGGATGGAGATTCTGAGGAACATACTGCAAAAGACAGAGTACTATGAAAAATAAACGTCAGCTTATACTTCCTGTATAATGAAAATAATGGAACAGAAGAAAGAAAGAGAGGATCTAGAACACAAGCAAGCTTACCATTGAACCATGGTCACCTAAGACAGGGTCACACACTGACAGAAAAACAGAGTTAAACGAGTTATTCTTTAATGTACATGGTTAACTACTGTTCAAAGGTTTGGGGTTATGATCTTTTAATGTTTTTGAAGGAAGTCTCTAATGCTCATAAAGTCATTATGCTCATGCATTTATTTGTATTTGACAACAAAAATACAGTAATATTGTGAAATATTACAATTTAAAATAACTATTTTCTATTTTAATTTATTTTAAAAGGAATTTTCAGCATCATTACTCCAGTCTTCAGAGTCACATGATCCTTCAGAAATCATTCTAATATGCTGATTTGCTGCTCAAGAAACATTTATTAATATTATTAGTAGTAGTATTATCAGTGTTGAAAACAATTGCTGCTTAAAATTTTTGTGGAAACAGCGATAAAATTTTTTCCCAGGACTCTTATATATATATATATATTCATTTCTTTCAAAAACAAAATCATACCCCAAACTTTTGAACGATAGTGTATAGACAAGCCTGTAAAAAAAACATTTATAATGCATAAAAGGTACTGATCAATTTACAGCATTATGTTAACCTAGGATAAGAGAGAAACACTCACCATATACCAGGTTAGGATTGGCCCTCTTCAGCTCTTGTACAATATCAACCACCATCTCCAGAAATGATGTATCTCTAGTGTAACCTGCAGTAATGGAGAAACAAAAGAGCTTTTATCAACAATTTTGTTTTCCTCTTGAGACTCCATTCGTTCCAGATCAAAAGTCTGCCTGAAGTACTAAAAGCGAGCACTCAGCACAGGCACCAGTTCACTCTCATTCTTTCTGCCTGACAACTTTAAAACAGTTCAGGTGGAAACAATATAATACAATACAATTCACTTAATTTGTGGGTGAAATAGTGTGTCAGAATTAGGCATAAACACTTGGCAATCCTGCTGAGGTTATTGTATTTTAGAAGAACAACACAAAATATACCGTGTAATGTGTGTATTAAAGAGGCTTTGTACAGTCTTGATTTTGTTCACTAGAATAGGTTTTCATGCTTGAATGTTCAAAAAAGCACATTTTATAATTGTTGCAACACCTCTCTTTCCAGTCTATCAGTAACGCTCTGTTTAGTTTCGATCTCTCTAAGAAGCCCCTCCTTCTGAAAAGCGCATGCTCTGATTGGTCAGATGAATCGGTGTGTTGTGATTGGTCAATCACTTTAAGCGTGTTTCAGAAATAACCGCGAGTTTCAACACACTACTAACACAACTCGACCAGGCCTCGCCACCTTTGTTTACGTATGCCTTGGGGCGGGAATTATTTAAATGAGGAATATTGCGACGTGTTCGTGAGAAAACTCAAGACTACAATGGAGGCGTTTCAGGGAGTTCAGAACACAGAGCGCACTGTTATAGAGAATAACTCCCTTTGGAGTGACTTTGTGCTTTGCAGACCTTTTTCATTCTCAAACAGCAACATTACACTAAATAAAGTTGAAAATGTAAAAAAGCATAATAGATCCTGGTTAAATTGATAGACTTGGAACTCAATAAACACACCAAGCATGCACTGTTTCAGAGAAAGTGTCAATAAATATCAAAAGTTATTTGAGGTGGGACAGCCTTGAAACTCCCAGGGCCACTCCTCAAGCTATTGGTCATGTGGCGGCTCAGGTAAATAAATCCTGTGTGTGACGCATCTGACCTTCACTGCGTTTCATGATGTCACACAATAAATCGCACTGCGACAACACAAGCCACATGTAAGACAGGCATGCAGAAGAATTCAAATAGCACTTCAAAAATTCATGTTACAACATTACAGCTGGGATTAGAAATATTGCATTATAACCAGTGCTTAGTCATTAGATAGATGGTCACTGGATGGATACAGAATAATGAGCACACTGACAACTCCCTAAACCAGCTCATTATATACAGCTGGCGACGCAAGAAAACCACTTCTACATGACATTTTAAAGTAGTCTGGTTTTGATGTGAAAGGGATAGTTCACTTTGAAATTAATTTTTGGTATGTTTTAGCTTACCTCAAGGGCATCCAAGATGTAGGTGTCTTTGTTTCCGCAGTAGTTTCAATTTTGATATTTTTAGGTCAAACCGTTCTTGTTTGTCAGTCATATAATGCAGGTCTATGGTCACTTCCTCAAAGATCATGCACAGAGAAGTCCAAATTAAACATTATTTAATGACTCGTAAATGTAAGTACACATTGATGGCCTAAGACACGAAACGAGCGGTTTGCGTGAGAAAACGAACAGTATTTATATCGTTTTTACCTCTTGTAAACAGTCACGTCCAAGTGATCTGAGGGCGCGGGCGCTTCGGTCTTTTCCGGCAAGCGCCGGAAGTGATCTCTCGCGCGTGTACGTCACTCATACAATTGTTTTCTTTTTTCTTTTTTTTTATTGTTTTCTTTTAAGACGGTTTAAACATCCCTGATAAGCGCAAATTAGTACCATTTTAATTAGCCATCTTACCTACAATCTCTGTTCTGTGTAAACAATGAGTGACGTACACGCGCGAGAGATCACTTCCGGCACTTGCCAGAAAAGACCGAAGCGCCCGCGCCCTCAGATCACTTGGACGTGGCTGTGTTTACAAGACGTAAAAACGATATAAATACTGTTCGTTTTCTCACACAAACCGCTCGTTTCGTGTCTTAGGCCATCAATGTGTACTTACATTTACGAGTCATTAAATCATGTTTAATTTGGACTTCTCTGTGTATGCTCTTTGAGGAAGTGACCATAGACCTGCATTATATGACTGACAGACAAGAACGGCTTGACCTAAAAATATCAAAATTGAAACTTCTGCGGAAACAAAGACACCTACATCTTGGATGCCCTTGAGGTAAGCTAAAACATACCAAAAAATTATTTCAAAGTGAACTATCCCTTTAAAATCAAATACACTACAGTTCAAAAGTTTGGGGTCAGTTAAATGTTTTTGAATTAAGTCTCTGATGATAATCAAGCCTGTAATAATTTGGTCAAAAATATTGGGAAATTATTACAATTTAAGATAACTGTTTTCTATTTATATGCTATATTAATACATTTTATGTTTTGTAATACATTTTAAATGTTTAATGATTCCTGTGACGGCAAAGTTGATTTGTTTTACTCCAGTCTTCAGTGTCACATGATCCTTCAGAAATCATTCTGATATGATGATTTGCTGCTCAAGAGACATTTCTTATTATCATCAATGTTGAAAACTGTTGTGCTGCTTGATATTTTTTGTGAAAACTGTAGGGATGTAACGATTCACTCATCTCACGATGCGATACGATTCACGATACTGGATTCACGATACGATTTTCTCACGATTTTTTTTAACAAATGAGATTTAAAAGTGTACAAAAGTGTCCCTTTTATTATTTCTCAGACAAAATGCTGCACATTTCTTTTTAATTTAAAATATATTTGTCAAATAATAAAACTACATTAAAAAATTAAGGGGTACACTGGTAATTCGCACACTCTGTAAAAGACTGTAAAATTAGTACCAGATTGACAGGGGTTTTTACATTGTAATAAAGGCAAGATTCTAATTTTGTTATAATTTGTATCATTACACTAGTAAGAGTTAAAAAAAAAACACATTTAGAGAAAGGGATAGTAAAATAAAAATACAACACCTGGTTGCCACGGAAACACTGATGCACCTTGTGATCTCCGTGGCTCTCGCAATTGTCGTATTAATGACTTTTACTTGAAAACGGAGGTGACTGGTGCTTCTCACGGTGGTGATTATTATTAGTCTACGGAAAGTCAAAATGCCGCCACACCTCCGATTTGAATGAGTCAACGTCAACATCTACGCTTGCCGTCGCCATGTGTACTGTTTGACGGCGCGTCCACAGTCCACACACTGGTGCGGCGCGAGCGGAGCAAACCGAGCGTTTTCAGTTCATTCCTATGGAAGTTGAGCTTGGCTCACACAAGATCAAGTTCCACGAATGAAGTGAAAACACTCGCTAGCTTCACGCCAGTGTGTGCTCGCTGCTATTGTGCCTGTAAAGCGAGGTTCACACAACTTCACCGTAGGCTATACAGTAAACGCGCCCTGCTGTTTAAAATGTGTATCGCGATTCGTTTAACATTTCAACCGACTTGAATCGTCACACATTTTTATCGATTTTCAACCGGTTGCGAGTGAATCGTTACATCCCTAGAAAACTGTGATACATGTTTTTCAATTTAATGCATCCTTGCTAAAATAACATATTACTAAAAAAAAAAACATTTAAATAAATAAAATAATCCTGATAAGCATAATCTTTAAAATCAGTCATTTATTAGACTATATGGCTCTACTGGACTGCAAACTGCATGTATACATTCTTCCCACGCTGCTCTCTATTCCCATTTTCTCCTTTCCCCCTTTTCCCATTCTGTGTTTTCCTCTCCTCTCAAGGTGACGATAAAGGAGAGCTCATGCACCCGAGACACACTCGGCAGAGCACAGCATCTCAGTCTGCGGTGCTCGTGCGAGACCTGCGACTCTATGTGTCCTCTACGGTCCCCCGGTGATGATTATTAGCAGCGCCTTTACAGGGCGAGAGACATGCGTTCACTTCCTCTCTCACTCCAGACAACTCAACACAAGACTTTTACATTTTCTGAAGAAAATGGGTGCTTGCCTATGCAACACTCAACGCCACAATGTTGAAGATTAACCAGCACTTTTATATCCAGGGGTTAATATTTATTAAAACTAAATTTTAATTTTTTACTTGTAACCGCTTTACCATGTCTTTATTTATTTTATTTCAAATACCTTTTATATATAGATTTTATAGTTTTACCCTTGTTCCAGGCTTTAAATCTAAGCTTGGAAATCTATCATAAAAATATCAGTCCCATACTGAAAACTTTGATAATAAAAATTTTTAATATGAAATGATGAAAATGTATAGTGTAAATGTATCTTGGCTTCCAGAAAAATTAAGCAGCACAACTGTATTCAACATTAATAATAATAATAATAACAATAAATATTTTTTGAGTAGCAAATCAGCATATCAGAATGATTTCTGAAGGATCATGTGACACTGAAGACTGGAGTAATGATGCTGAAAATTCAGCTTTGACATCAGATGAATGTTAAAATATAATCAGATACAAAAGTTATTTTAAATTATATTTCACAATATTTCTGTTTTTATTGTATTATTGCTCAAAATAGGCATCCTTGGTCAGACTTCATTCAAACTTTTAAACAGAGTATATCAATATTTTACAAAAAAGCACAAACCAACAATTTTGCCACTAATAGTTAGTGTACTTGGTTACAATGATTGAGATAAAATATATGAAACATGATGTATGAAAAAAAAGGAAAAGTTCAATAATACTTGATCATTTTTATATTGCATCTTTTAAAATCAAGCTGTAATTGTCAAATTATGAAAAATGTGTGAAAATATTGTACAAATATAATGCAAAATATTACACAGAGTGTGAAAATATTGAACACATGCAAAAAGTGTGAAAATATGGTACAAATATTAATCAATGTGTTTGAAAATACTGTACAAAATTGTATGCAAGCAAAGTGTGGAAATATTGTAATTATAATGCAAAAGCAAAACGTGTGAAAATACTGTACAAATATTATGCAAATTATTATGCAAACGTGTGAAAATATTGAACAAATAAAATGCAAAACGGGTGAAAAAGTACAAATATTAAGCTATGTGTGTGAGAAGATTGTACAAATATTATGCAAAACAGTATGCAAAGTGTAAAAAAATATTGTACAAATATTATGCAAATGTTACAATTTGTATTTAGGGTACATAAAATGTTAGCTATAAAACTTCCTGAGCAAGACATTAATTTTATTCCAATAATGTTTCAAATGTCACTTTCACTTCCACCACAGAATGACATTTTACTTTAAAAATCTATAATTTGAGATGTAGTGGAAATGTTTAGGACTTTCATGGGGGGAAAAAACCCAGACCAGAATTCTCCTGTGATGCATGTAAACTGTTAAAACACACTTTTCCCACTCTCCACAGAGTCCAAACAGCCGGTAGCTGAAGATATATACACAGCTCCAAGTGAAAAGAGCCTTTTTCTCATCTGTATATGACATTATGAGCACAGATACGGCGCTGACCTGCCCTCGGGCCCTCTAGGGCCTCACACAGGGCCCGTGTACTCTCCAACTGAAAAGAGCTGGAAATACGAGAGCCTGATGCCATCAGGGAATTATATCATTCAATTGTTTTCATTCCTATAGGCTCAATAAATGACTAAGCATCCAAATAATATCCACAGCAGTGTGACAGACAAGAGTTGCACTGGCATGACTGGTAGTCTGCCAGTCATGAACTGGCAGACTGACCTCTGAGTACTGACCTGTGAGTACATAGTCGTAGTGGTTGACGTTGTTCAGTTTGATCCCTTCATACAGCACGTGAAGCTCATCTGCAGTCAACACTTGTCCCCTCCAGTGAGAGTAACCTGGGTAATGACAGATCACAGGTCAGACACATACAAACCACATCTCAAAATCCAGTGTCCGATTTGTCTGCCCTCGCACATGCATGGGATACGAACAAAAGTCCCGTCGTTTCGTCAGAGACCATTGGTGCTGCCGCGCGAGCTGTGATAATGTCACAATTCAGGTGAGTCACCGGCATGTTTCTTGTTGCTAAGAAACAGGACAGAGGAAAGCCTGAGGGGCTGGATGAAAAAGACGCATCATTGTCGCCTTAATGTGTGTGTGTTTTGGGGAGAAAATGACTGCGATGGGGAATCTGCGATAAGACGGGTGTCTGTCGTCATCATTTCCTGCTGCCGCAACTCTGCAATGCCTCTCCGCTGGAACCACAGAGCTCTCTAATCCCAAACGCTTCACCCGCACGTATCATGCAGATACTCGATTTCACACCAAATCACGAAGCCGCTGTGTGAGGTGCATGCTGTTTCTACCCATAAGGCTTTGCTGCGCCCATCGATGTTCCGAACAGAGATAGCGCTCTGGATGTCACAACCTGCAAATATATTTCCAAGGTCAAACGATAAAGTCCTAGAGGAAAGGTCCCAGTTTTGCAGATCACCTCAACTGCACTTTTAGATGCTGATTAACAGAAAATGCTAACAGAGTAAATGGCCATGATTTACCAATTACCATCAAGAAATTCATTCTAAATGTGGATTGAAGAAAACTGATTGCTCAGTCCTATATTTCAGAAACCAAAATGTTTGTACATTAACTAGACATGGCCAATGGATGCTGTAACACATCGTCACCTCTGTATCAAATCCTGAAAACACTTAAATATTAAGCAGCACAACCGTTTTCAACATTGACAATACATTTCTTGAGCAGCAAATCAGCATATTAGAATGATTTCTGAAGGATCATGTGACTCATGAAGACTGGAGTAATGATGCTGAAAATTCAGCTTTGCCATCACAGGAATAAATTACATTTGAAAATATATTAAAATAGTTGTTTTTTTTTTAAATTGGAATAATATTTAACAATATCACTGTATTTTTGATCAAATAAATGCAGCCTTGGGCAGCATACGTTTTTTTCAAAAACAAAAAAGATCTTACAAACCCGAAACATTTCACTGGTACTTTTTAAAAAGGCTAATAACCAATAAATGGCTGATATCAAAAGTCTATAATTCTTTTATATAAAAATATAGAGTAATTAAACCACAATTTTTTTTTTTTTTTAAATAGGTGGTAGTGAATATTTGCCATCATAACATTTTAATGTGCATTATGGAAGATGGAAAAAGATTCCTTTAAATAAATGTTATAGAAAAAATATTATGTTTGAATGAGAAAAAAGGCTCGTAATAATAGAGAAGGGAAATATCCAATGTCTCTGGCCATATATAGAAATTAACAGTTATTATTAATATAGCACTTTAAGTTGCATGTGCAGTTGTAAAGTGCTTAATAAATAAAATGAATATATATATATATATATATATATATATATATATATATATATATATATATGTGTGTGTGTACATTTATTTTTTTGTCAATATGCTGAATTAATTTCTAAACCACCAGAAATGAGGAAGAGACAGCAAGAGAGACGGATAAGACTTTAGTCTAGTGTACCTTCTGACTTCAAATTGACCATCCACTTACTCTAAACCAGTTAGCCATGATTTTAATCAGCCATGTGCTGTAAACACAGTGCTACTGGAACTGCAGGAGACTTGATGTGACCACAGGAGCAAACCACTAACCTACACAACTACAACTACAGATCCCAACGAGAGTCCCCTGGCACTTGGTTAGCTGTGCTGACCACGGCTGCTGGTTTGGGAATACCAAGTAATCCAGATAGGCATTAGTGTCCCTCCGTCCCTCCATCTATAGGCTTAAATGGTTTTAAAAAGCAAACTCAAGTGGATAAAGACAATGTTACAGCGCTGAGGAGAAAGCAGCCGAGCGGAGAGGAAGTCAGTCCACAGGGCAACAGCCTACAGTGGGTTGTGCCACGTGTTGTTTAGACTACTGATCCGAGGCCAGTTAGGGTTATTCTAACTAATGTGCGTTGAAGGGATGTGTTTATGAGAAGCTGGTCCAGAAATAGTGTTTGGGAAAGTTAACAGTGACAGAGAACCATGTGACAGCATGCATACCAGTTTTAGGTCACCAGAGCAAACTTTTATAGCACTATACCAATTGTTTTTCCTGATTTTAATATTCCAGAAAATATGGAAATCCTGTTATCTTCATTCATGATCTATTGTAAATTAACGGGGGCAGGAGATTTCAAGCTGCAAAAAGGATGCAAAGTATTATAAAGGTATTATAAAAGTAGCCTATATGAATCATGCACTATTTTCCAAGTCTTCTGAAGTCAAGGTGTGGTTAAAGGTGAACTAAGTAACTTTTTTACCTTAACCGAACAGCTTTGGAGTCATTGTAATGTTTATATTACTGATTTTGTGTTGAATGGTGGTCGTCTCGCACCCTCCTGGTGCCTGTGAGCCGCAAAACCACCCTTGCAACTTTGGGCCGGCGGGCTGTGATATCAGGTCTCGCGAGGTAACGAATTGCTTTACGGCAAAAAACAGATCTGATAAAATTCTGATAAAATTAGCATCAAACAGAAATAACCCGGCGCCGTATACCTGTGGTGTTCGAGGCGCACATACAATACAGACTGCCGACAGTTAAACAGGGCGCGCGCAGCTCTTAAAGGGGCCATACCTTATTTCCACTCGTTACAGCGTCCATCCTACTGAACAGGTACCGGTGTACAGGGGGAGGGGATCCGGCCGTGAGTGCGAGCCATCTCTGCGCGAGTGCTATTCACGACAGTACAAGTACTCCACGGCGACTCTAGGGGTCGCTGTTTGACAAAAACGGAATTCCTACTTAGTGCAGCTTTAAATTAGTGACATTTCAGTGAAACTTTGCAGGGAAAAAAGGGCACAGATTATCAATAGTGTAGCGATGTATGAAGCAAAGCTCACACTGAAGTCACTTTCAAACACAGTGGCTTTCGGTTGGTCAACTTCGGGCTTCAAAAATGCTCTTCAGAAACCTACGGGTAACGTCACGGACAATGACAGATACGTCCATTTTTTTTTTTACAGTCTATGGATCTACTCCATCAAGGTTTTTTTTTTTATCGTTCTTAATCTGATCCGGTTTCAACAAAAACACTTTTTTTTTTTCAGCTTTCTGTTTTCTTTTTTTTTATAAAACTTACCCACAATTAAGTATTGATAAAAAAATAATGCATGAATCTAGAATAAAATGTTTTTTTTTTTTTTTTTTTTTTTAAAAGCAGATGTTCTGTTATTATTTTTAATGTCTTTTGCATGTTCAGATATTCATACAACAAAATATTCAGGGGGCCATGAAAATTGAGAAACTTTTGAAAAATACGCTGGCTGGGAAAGAGTTAAGAACTGCACAGTCTGATTTATGAACAAATCATTCAGACCTATTTTGTGAACCAGCTGATTTATTAAAAAGATTCAACCCAAAATAGCAATTTATGATTCAGAAAAGACTCTCATGAACTTGCTTCAGAAGACTTGGGGGAAAAAAGTGTGCGTTTCAAGTAGGGTGACCATATTGTAGTCTTCAAAATAGAAGACGCGGGGGGTTGAATTCATCAACAAATGCTTGACAAATGCATTCACAACCTTATTGAACTTTAATACATAAAATAATACATCCTTTCCATTCAACTTTTGGCCCGCAACAATAGAATGACAAATAAATAAATAAAATAGTTTAGCTTTTAACACCTTTTAGATGACAGTTTCTTTTCATGATCATTGGTTAATTTATTTTTTTTTTTTTTTTATCAGTTGCCATAAAACCCCCCCACTATTTCAGTAAAAATAATGTCAGTCCTCCAGATGTTCTCTTGTATACTTTCCTTATGTGGGATTCGAGGTCGCTAGCACCTTTATGACACGTACGTGCCAGCTTTGCTTCACACGGATCCCGACCGAGACGAAAACACAGGAATTTTCTCTGTAAATCATCTGTGAATTTACATTTGGGCTTTTTTTTTACGCTGTTCAGGAGCCATGTGCCACTGTTGACAAGCAAGCGCTGTCTCTTGGCTGTTGCCGTAGTGCTGAGGGTATTGACTGAGATGCAGTTTGACCAATGTTTGCGTTACGAAAGCAAAAGCCGAATCACTTTGGGCGATCTAGAAATCCCGGCCGGACGCATTTTTTTAGGTCCAAAAAGAGGACATGTCTGGGAAAAAGAGGACGTATGGTCACCCTATACAACCAGAAGGGAAGTGTACAATACAAAGAGAAGAAAACATATCACAATATTCCTACCCTCCTGAAGTACAAGGATCAGTGGTCTGTTTAACAGCTCCCAAATACACACACACACACACACACACACACACACACAAATGAACTGTCACAACATGTGAATGCAATATGCTTTAAGCACTTGAATGAAGCATCTGTTTCTGTCCTCTTGTCATTAAGAGGTCAAGGGGCACTACAGTGCATTTGCAGATGAAAATTAATCTGTGAATGTGAAAATGCACACTAATGCATTAATTAATGCAATAATGCATTATTGAAACAAGTGATATCTGACAAGTGATCAAAACTCATGAACTCATATAAAATACCATCAGGATAAAAATGTATTTAATGCCTCTAATCTTAAATACAAATTGTGGGTAACACTTTTATTAATTTATATACATTTATTTTATATTAATTTATCAGCATTTATTAATCTTAGTTAATATTAATATAGTTAATAATAACTTCAATATTTACTAATATGCTATTAAAATCAAAGGTTGTATTTATTAACATTAGTTAATGCGCCGTGAACTACCATGAACAAACAATGAAAAGCTCTATTTTTATTATTTAACATTAAGAAAGATGAATAAACACTAACAAATGTTTTGCTCATTGATAGTTCATGTTAGTTAATACATTAACTAATGTTAACTAATTAAGCTTATTGTAAAGTGTTACCAAATTATGTTATACACAACAAAATGTAAAGCAGCAAATTAGCCAATTATAAAATTATTATAATTATATGTTTAATCACATAAGCTGAGCAGTTGTTTGGGGCTGCCTGTCAGGTTAACTGAAAATTAACTTGAAAAACACATTAACTTATGTTCATGAAATCTGTAGTGATTCTTCCTTCGGTGCATATTCTGTATTGTGACATTAACTTTACAATATTTCAAAAAATGACTGTACTCTCTGACTGTACTGTTTAACACATGTTACCACGCCATGATCCATTTCAGATAATAATACCACAACTTTTATTGCTAAAGAAGGTGCCAAAAAGATTCCATCTGGTTCTAGTAATTATGACATCATACAGTAACACACTCTCATCAGGGCATGTGTGACATCATCATAATAATAATAATACATTTTAAAGACTTAATTTGAGACTCTTTATCCAAATAAGTGAACCGCACAACAACTTAAACCTGTTTTTTCCCCCTAAAAATCTAAAAAAGCTTTTGTATGACTTTGTTTCACTGAGACAGACTGTTATCCAAAAATCAGCGGAAAGTTTGAGTCAGCCTACCTGTGTGATTGGAGAACTGAACAGAGTTGATCGAGTCCACCTCAAACCCCATGACCTGACAAACACAGACACATTCCAAACGTGAAAAGAAATTCAGTAACACACTCTAAAAGCAATTATCACAAGAGTCTGTGATGGTGTATAAACAGTATATATTATTATCATAAACCTATCATAAAATACAACTGAAAGACAGGCAGAAAAACTAACTAAAACTAAGAATACTAAACAAAAATAAGTATTTCTTCTTGTTTTACTAGTTATCGAGGAGATTTCACATGGCATAACCGCTGTAACCAAGACGATTTAACAGGTATATTGAGTTAGTTTTAGTGAACATTAAACCGTTTTCTCATGCTTTCATTTATTTAAACATTCTGACTGGTGCAGCCTTCGTTCCTCATAAATGAAATGCCATAGCCTAAGTAGACTATAAACCAGGGCTACTACAATTTTCAAACAATTTCTTGCCGTGGATTTGCTGTTTCAACATCTAGTAAAAAATTAGAGTGAAAAACAACTAAATTAATTCTATGAATTATTCTACGACACCCCAGGTTAATATGGTCAAAAAAACTAATGAAACTATACTTCCACAGTTGATTGATTACATTAAGAATAGCTTATTTTTTTTGGTATTACACGTTCTGAAATATGTTTAAATATGCAAGTGAGGAATTATCTAATTAAATATCCATTAATTTGCATACATTTCTACAACAAATTTTTTTTGGATATCTATTTTTTATCACTCCATAAATCTGGGGGGAAAAAATCACCATTTTTTTAAGGAATAAAATCTTGTATAAAATCAGGCAAATTATATAGGAACAAACCATCCAGTAAAAAAAAAAAAAAAAACCTTCAGAATAAAGATATGAATAAAACTGCTGCTGAAGTGGATATTTCTGGCTCAGTTTAGGAGAAAAAACACATTTCGAGAAACGCTTTTAAAGATATATGCTGTAATTTAATTCTACAGACACAAATAGATAAAATGCTATAAAAGATCGACATAATAACAGTGTATTTGGGATGTTTTCTTTATGTAAGCCCCAATAGTTCCAAAACATACGTGGGCTGTCATGTTCTTCTATGGGACAGACAGCAGCGATTGCATTATTGAACGGTAAATATAAAATAAAACACACACCCTAGTACTTTTTCAGCTGTTACTGCATTATTGCAGTTTGTTAATGCAGTTGTTTTGCATTTGGAGAGGCAGGGTGACAACGAAATACTGTATATTACTTAGATAAGTTTTAGGCTTTTTTTTTTGGAGGGAAAAGCTTAGTGTTCATGTTCACATGGGTAGTAGCACTGGCTTTAGCGGCTCTAACTTAACTTTTCCATATCATTAATCTGATGATGGACGTCTCGTGATATTTATTTTAGCACAACTGGGCTGTATAAGGCTATTGATTCCCGTGATCTTGCTTATAAATTCCGATTCAGCCATTAGCCTACCTTCGTGATCACGCAAAGAGGTCTGCAGTCCGTTCAGAACGCCAACCAACATAAAATATAAATAATTACGCTGTGCATGTACAAATGAATGATTTAGGAGGGAAATGGACTGCTCCCATATCGTAGAAAGTAACGATTATTTGCAGCAATGTTCGGTAAATATTAACTTCACAAAATGAAACCGGAGAGATAGTTAATGAGTGTATGTTCCTAAATACGACCCATAACATGTAGGTTTTTAACATACGATCCATAACTGGATTCATTTCAGTATGGCTAATGTACCCCTTCATCCTACCATAATCATAGACTAAACCATTCATCAGAAAACACACACAAATACATACGTACTGTGTACAGTACACATGTATATATGTGTATGTATGTATATATATATATATATATACACTCACCGGCCACTTTATTAGGTATACCTGTCCAACTGCTTGTTAACACTTAATTTCTAAGCAGCCAATCACATGGCGGCAACTCAGTGCATTTAGGCATGTAGACATGGTCAAGACAATCTCCTGCAGTTCAAACCGAGCATCAGTATGGGGAAGAAAGGTGATTTGAGTGACTTTGAACGTGGCATGATTGTTGGTGCCAGAAGGGCTGGTCTGAGTATTTCAGAAACTGCTAATCTACTGGGATTTTCACGCACAACCATCTCTAGGGTTTACAGAGAATGGTCCGAAAAAGAAAAAACATCCAGTGAGCGGCAGTTCTGTGGGCGGAAATGCCTTGTTGATGCCAGAGGTCAGAGGAGAATGGCCAGACTGGTTCGAGCTGATAGAAGGGCAACTTTGACTGAAATAACCACTCGTTACAACCGAGGTATGCAGCAAAGCATTTGTGAAGCCACAACACGCACAACCTTGAGGCGGATGGGCTACAACAGCAGAAGACTCCACCGGGTACCACTCATCTCCACTACAAATAGGAAAAAGAGGCTACAATTTGCAAGAGCTCACCAAAATTGAACAGTTGAAGACTGGAAAAATGTTGCCTGGTCTGATGAGTCTCGATTTCTGTTGAGACATTCAGATGTTAGAGTCAGAATTTGGCGTAAACAGAATGAGAACATGGAACCATCATGCCTTGTTACCACTGTGCAGGCTGGTGGTGGTGGTGTAATGGTGTGGGGGATGTTTTCCTGGCACACTTTAGGCCCCTTAGTGCCAATTGGGCATCGTTTAAATGCCACGGCCTACCTGAGCATTGTTTCTGACCATGTCCATCCCTTTATGGCCACCATGTACCCATCCTCTGATGGTTACTTCCACCATGTCACAAAGCTCTAATCATTTCAAATTGGTTTCTTGAACATGACAATGAGTTCACTGTACTAAAATGGCCTCCACAGTCACCAGATCTCAACCCAATAGAGCATCTTTGGGATGTGGTGGAACGGGAGATTCGCATCATGGATGTGCAGCCGACAAATCTGCGGCAACTGTGTGATGCCATCATGTCAATATGGACCAAACTCCCTGAGGAATGCTTCCAGCACCTTGTTGAATCTATGCCACGAAGAATTGAGGCAGTTCTGAAGGCAAAAGGGGGTCCAACCCGTTACTAGCATGGGGTACCTAATAAAGTGGCCGGTGAGTGTATATATATATATATATATATATATATATATGCATGCATGCATGTATGTATACTGTATGAATGCATGTGTATTTATGTATATGTATTACACAAACACACATTTTGACATATATGCATATATACACACATAACCCATTTAAATAAATGAATTGTGTGTGTATATAATATTATATATATATATAAAATATTATTATTAATAATATTATATACATCAGGTTACCGTAAGTTAGCTAACGTTAGTGAAGTGTTGGTCACGTAAGCTATAGCTGCAATTAACCTATTATCTTCCAATAAACATTAACTAAAACTGGCTACATAAAATAACTTCTGACTAGATTCACGAGAGGTTGGCTAATGTGTGTAAAAGTAAAAAAAAACAAAAAAAAACAGTAATTTCATTAATTTACCAGCGAGCGTACTTCGGAAGCACTGAAAATGAATGGGGTTCAATGCTGGAACTATCAGTGTTTGGAACTATCGGCCGGTCCCTTTCTTTTACTGTCTATGGCAGCGGTTCCCAAACTTTTTTTCCTGCGCACCCCCTTCTATGTCCCAACCGGGTTGGCGCACCCCCAATCCCCACTTCCAAAAAAAAATGCAACAAAGCTTTGTTTTATCGCCCTATAAAGATTCATGTTTAATCCATAGACTGTAGGTTTAATCATGCGCTAATAACCAGAACACGCATGACAATAATAACATCAACAAAGTTTCAATATAATGCAACAAAGTTACGCACAAGCTTCCACTTTTAACCCTTTTACACGTAAGTTTAAAATATTTTAAGTGACCCCCCAGTGTGAGTTTTTCAAGGCGATTGTTATTTAGAACTTGTCACTTTAATGTTTCCATGGTGATGCGTCATTCCTTGTCACGTGACACAACGCAACCACAACACAGCGCTGAATGAATGATGATCTGCTTTTATGTAATTTTTCCTTTTTTATCAAAAATATTCACAAATGTATTAGCTATAGCATGAAACACTGATATTCCGATTGTCAAATATGTGCAAGTGGATGTGTTTTATTGTTCAAACACCTTCATAACGATCGTTAGTTTGTGCCACAGTTCAGAGAATCGGATCTGTTGGATTTACAACACGTGACGTCAATTCCTCCACTTCTCACGAAATACATGAAAGTAAGTGGCCGGTGAACTGGGAGAAGAATAGGGTAAAATGTGAAGCTACGTACACAATGTGTATCTGATATGAATAAAACGTGTCGTCTTATTATAATGAAAAGGATTAATATTGCCGCTTCCATAGAAATCAGCAAAATCAAAATCATTGTTTTGCTAGTACTTATGTGTATTTAAATGTCTGAAACCTAAAATAAACATTATGTGGTTGAAAATACTCAATGGTTGTGAATGTGATATATGTCAGCACTGGCTCAGCGCCAGCCAACGCGCGAAAGCACATTTGTCACGTTAGCGGCTGCAGTGCACAGCAGTGCGTAGAAGACAGCAGCTGTTTTCAACGTTTCTATCAAAAACGAATAAACTATAGTTTTTTTATTTAAAATAAAAGCGATTACAAAGGAAATGTTTACTGTTCATGGTTTTTATTTTATTGTATGGAAAAATCCCACTTACAAAACACTGCCATTACATTTTTCCTCTCGCGCACCCCCTGGTGGCAGCTCGCGTACCCCTGGGGGTGCGCCGCGTAAAACACTTTGGGAATCCCTGGTCTATGGCCGCTCCACGACACGCGTTACTTCCGCATTCCTAAGTTCCTATGGCGGTCTATGGGAGTGTCGCAACTCTGTTTTTCAACGGCTCTGGTCTGGATGAAACACTTTATGAAAAGCCCCAAATTTCAAAATTGACAGATGCATGAAAAACAGTGTTTTGCCTGTAGCATCTCGCCTCTTTAAAAGATAAACCGCAAAATAATTACACTCATTGCTACTTGTTTAAGACGGTCATAAAAACCACCATGAAAGCAAAATTGACAACTCTTATTTTTTAGGGAATTTTGCAGTGTGTATTATAAATTAGTTATCTGTGCACGCCATTTTTTTATGCATGTGCCCCTCCCTCTTGCAGCATCATCTCTTCTCTGATGACGTGTTTACTGGCGCGAGGGCGGGACAACCTGTCGCTTACATGAGATCCACCAATAGCAAACCTCAAATAGTTTCATGCCATATATCTGTCTACTGGAATTTGGTTGTCAAATAACACATTGGAAGAATTTGAATGGGAAATAAAAGGTTAATTTCTCTTACTATTACTAGTACCACTATTAGTACACGTACAGATTTCGAGTTTCGGAACCCAACATAAAGGCATTTTGAAAACATGAGGGTCAATGCAAATAGCGCTCTCTGTCAATGAAAGACACGGACTGAAAGTTTAAAGAAAATGCATTTAAATTGCAGGATGCACGAGCGTGGGTGGCTGGGAGAGCCGCTGGAAAAAAAAAAACATGTCACGATTTTGCTGGAATTGAGTCTCGCGGCTGTGACGTCAGTCTTGTAATCGTAAAACAGCGCGAGCATGCATAAGAGGAAGACAGCCGCTTTCTGGTGGCATGACAGCTGGAGCCATTCAAAAGCTAATGAGCCTAATTTAATAGTTTGGACGGGGCTTGAACCCTCATGCCAAATGATCTTTCAGAAACCGAGATTCAATGATATCCGAGTCATTTCTGGTGATGATTCACGGCAGTGTCACTCATGCTAATGATGACAGTCGCTGGTCTCACCGCATCGGGTTATGAGCATTAAACTGCCGGTTGTTTTGGCAACACGAGCTTTCTAAGTTCCTGTGGCATATAAATGTAGCCATTAATAGTACTATTAATAGAAGCATCTTGAATTCCGGCTCGCATATCGCTGCAACAAGCATCAAAAGGCCAAGTTCTGGGAATTAAATAGCCTAGACTCTGTTTAAGGGAAGTTCACTTCATAGATATCACAAGAACTGCATGCAAAGGAATACTGACCATGTGACCTTTCCTTTCTCCACCAGCATGCTGTCATGCACTTTAACATAATTATCACGAGTGCATTGTCGTGCTTCAGCTGCTCACCTGTAACGGGAAGGATGCAGATTTATTCCCCACGTATCCTCTCACGACATGACTCTGAATCGACAGCACTCGGCATTCCATGTCGCGCGCAGTTAAAGTTGTTTTAATCGCTCCAGAATGTCACGCGATTAAGGAGTATCGGCGAACCGGAGAGGTGCTTTTCTTCCCTTTTAAAAAAAATCCAATTAGGATCCGTGATGGCAAGTTCACTAGCCAGACAGAGAAATGAAGGACATTCACACTGACTGGAGACGCTCATTGGCCACACTGCAACTCAGGCATCCTGAGGGGGCACCTAAAATTCACTGACATCACGACGACGCTCGTACAGCAGTGCTCGTGTCCGTAGGCTATATTCATCATACATTCAGATATAGAAGAGGTGGCGGATGACATTAGCATGAATCCACCACTTAAACCAAATTAAATCTGAATAAATCGATTGGGATGTATGAGTATTAGCACATGCTAGATTTATATGGCAGCTACAGATATACTCATTGTCTTTCACTTATTTTTGAAAAAACTATAGTTAGTTTTGGACATGTTATACAGCGATGTATTAGCGCAATAAAGCGAGGTCTGTCTGTAGTATTGCGGAAGCGGGGTCCTTCAACACAGAGACGCGCTCTAAATCCTCCAATCGCTAGCGCTGTCAGCGGTGACGTCAAGCCCTGAATAGGTGATGTTTGACGTCACCACTGATGTCACTGTCGGCAACCTGTCACGTCTATCCGCTTCTTCCTGAATTTTAATTATGTCCAGATTGTCCACCCATGGAAAAAAAATTCTTAAAGCCTACTGTATAATATTTGCTAGCCTATATTAATTCATAAAGCTTCTAAATTATCAACATGGGGAAAAAAATTGTGTTGTACACAATCTTCTACATGCCTCCTACCCTCTGATTGAGAGTTCACACTTTTTTTTTGCAAGTATAAGCCCTGTTTCTGTGAAATCTTTACTGATTTTTGATGCTTTTTTAAAGTAAATGTTAGAATAACTTGTATATTGTTATTAATATTTCAAAATACACATTTACTGTAGACTACTGAAGCAACTTAGGTTTACTTGATTATCCATACATAATTTTTTAGAAAAAGCATGTAAAAATGTATAGGATATCAAATAGGCCTATACATCAGGCTTTTGAATCTCTCAATCATCATTTTGTGTTGTATTGCAGTTTTGGCCCACGCTAAAAACTACAGAGCTTTTATCATAAAACTAATCATCTAAATATAATCTTACTACAACATTATTGGGAGATATAGAGTGACAACTGATATTTACATGCATTTTATGTCAGTAGTCTGTTATATAGCCTACTGTTATAAATATTTCTATAAATTGCATATTTTTGCTCAGTTCAGGTCTGTAAATTATTATTTATTTTTTACTTTTAACCTTTCTTTAACCAGAATAGCCTCTCTGAAATTAAAAATCTCTTTCACAGGAGATATTTTAAATACAATTGAGGTGTTTTTTCCCTCATCTAGTATGAGCTCCATATTCTTATTCCTATTCTAAACACACTGTATGCAAACTTTTATATTTGGTCTAAAGGTTCAATAAACTGTTCCATTTAAAAAAGATCTGACTATTACTTCACATAGCTATCAGACTTTATAGGGCTAAACCTCAAAACTTAGTTAACATTTATTGTAAAAACCTACATGTCTTGTGTACTTTATTGTCCACTGAAGCTAAAATACTGTGACTCATATGCAAAGCCTAAGGTCAGGACTCGACTATTTTTGGACAGGTGGGCCGGCAGCTTTAGGCTTCACAAACCTAGTTCATCTAAAAGAAATGATGAATCTCCTCATCAAAAGAGGAGAGACTGGGAGAACATCAGTCTGTTTGGTGCTAAGAATTATTTAACATATTAATCATTTTAAGAGCTATCTTAATGGAAAATGCATTTAATAGAGCATTTAAAGTCAACATTTATTACTTTTTTGAGTGAAAAACACTATTTGCTTTATTTATGAGCCACTTTTCTCTTTGAGTAACTCCCCACAATGAAGTTTTGTCAGATGTTGTATCTGGGGACATTTTTCTGCCCAAATTATAGCTAGTTTCGAAACACACACACCGGTTAACACACTTATGGACTCTGATATTTAAAGGCCCACTGAAGTGCCTTAAAACACACAGCATAATTCAATGTGTTGACGTAATTTCCACTGAAACAGGAAGACAAGGGCGGGACATTTCAAACAGCTCCTCCCCTTTATTCAAATAGCCAATAGCGTTTAGTTTATGTTACAGCTCGCCCAGAGCCGTTCAGCTCGCTAAAGCCACAGTTTAGTCCTAATCTCTAACCGTTTCTCCTCCTAATCTCCTCCATATCACTTTAAAATATGGCATTCTGTGCAGAATTAAAATGGGCAGAATATATGTTTTTTGGTATGCGCGACTCGCACATATGATCTACTGTGCTATCATGTCTGTGGACTGGAGCAGACTGTGTGCGCGCTGTGGCGGTTCAGTGAGAACTAATGTGACACCAGACTTCATTCGCCCCGTGGGAAAGCATATTTACACTGTCTGAATTGTTCCCTATCCCCGGCCTATATAGTGCACTATGTACCATTCACCATGTAGAAAATAGTAATTGTGTGAAAAAAGCGACCGATTTTAGCCGCAGCATCAGTGTCTATTTATAATGCAGGGGGCGGGTCACTTCAGATTCAAGAGAGCATTTGATTGGACAGAAAATCTGATGAGAAGCTAAAGTGCAGAGTGATGTCATCAAAATCACTGATCCATATTGGCGGAAGAGACTGTAAGTTTTCAACACATATCTTCTAAATGTGAATTGTGTCATTGTTTCGGAGAACAATAGCTTATAGATAATAGTTAGGCTAACATATTCATATTAAAAGCACAAAAACTTCATTTTTGATTTCATGGAGACTTTAAAGTGGTCAGGGATACAAATACTTTTACAACCATTACAAACAAACAAACCGCTGGTCAATGTGTTGTTCATGGTTGAACACGAGTGCTGGTTTTAATTTAATTAAACACCTCAGCGCTTCTACAGGAGGGAAAAGTTAGACAAGTTTTGAAACTATAAATGGCACTTAATATTTGGCCTCTTGAGTTTCTCATCGGTCACGGTCTTGTTTCTGTCAGTCTATGCTGAGTCAACCGCAGTATAGTCGTGACTGCACGAGAGAGGGAGGAACGGATTATAACCGAGCAAAAATCGGTTCCTTTATCACACAAACATGTGAATCATCATTGCAACAGAGCACACTTTACCCGTAACAATCGAGAAGGCGCTGACTCATGAACAGCTGCCTAAAAAAAACTAAAGCTCGACCAAAGATGCGTCATGCAGCGGCAGACGCGTGACGCGTTACAGCGTTTCAGTGACATCTGCTGGTGGGAAGGCGACACTGCATGTATAAGTCTCACAAACACACACACACACACACACACACACACATACACACTAACAGGGTAAAAAAAGACACCAGGACACCAGATACAGCTCTCAGAGCATGATGGAAAACTAACAAGGGTTCTCAGTTTTAGACTGATGTAATGACACTCTCTTTGACACATTGTGTTATCTGTCTCACCCATACCTACCCAATGATTTGTTGATTTAATGACCATGAGGTAAAAAAATACTGAAACATTTCATTCCACCTTGAATATACTTAAGTGTTTAACTTAATCATTAAGCTTTCAAAAAACAATTCAAGTATATATTTTTAATTCATACCCTTTTCATATAAAGATCAAAGTATTATTAATGAATTATTATATTATTTTATTAAAGAGTAAAGGGTTTCTGTCTGCGTGGGTTTCTTGTAACAACAAAATGGCTTCCTGCAGGTTTCTTACAATAAACATTGGTTTTGATTTGGTGGACATTTATTACTAATATTTCGAAACAAAACAGCCTCACTGCATATTTTTTATTATGAAAACAAAGATTATGCTAAACAACTTATAGCAAAACATTTCTTAGAACAGCTAGACATTTTAAACTCCAAGCCTCACCAAAAACTTCCAAATTAATTTTCAGAAACTGAAAATATGTTCTTTTAGCAAGACCCTTTTTCTTTTATTACAATCTCTGAACACATTTTTTTCAACTTAAATATCAAAACAAATGTTTTAAAATATATATAATATATAATATTTTTTTTATCATAAAAGAGGTTTTTGAATTGCATTATAATGTAGTTTTATAGGAATGTAATTGTTTTTTTCACCATTTTTTTCCACAATACTTTTTTTCATTTATTACAATCTGAACAACTAGACATTTTTTACTTTAAGCTCAACAAAAATATATAAATAAATAAAACATTTTCAGAAATTAAAAATATGTTCATCATGACAGATGTTTTGAAATGCATTTTAATGTTTTGTAATGAAAAAAACATCTAATTAGAAACTCCAATGTCCTTAATGAATATAATTGTGGGCATTTTCACCCTTTTTTTAAAAAAAAAGAAAAAGCCTTTAACAAGCCTTTAACTTTTTTTTTTTTACAATATCTGAGCCCCAAAAAATATCAAAACAAATGTTCAGAAATTGAAAATATCTTCATTTTGAATTGTATTTGAATGTTTTCATGAAAAAAGAGCATCTGTTTAGAAACCACAAGGTGCTTAATGAATATAATTAAAGGTCCTAGAGGTATAGGGTTGAATTAGGGAACAGCCTAAAGACTGATGACCTTTTCGTGCCTGGTGCTCCTGCCTGACCTTCTAGTGTAACTGGACCTCAGAAGTCGAGCCGAGCCCGTCCTGCATTACCTGATCCACAGCTGTAGTCACACGACAAAACACTGCTGCACACCTGCTCAGGTGTCACTGTGTGTGTGTGTGTGTGAGAGAGAGAGAGAGAGAGAGAGAGAGAGAGGAACAAGAATAAGATATGAAGTCAGTCAGAAGGACAGTTCTCAAGCTCTCCAGTTAGTCACCTTCAAATTAGCCCCTTCATTTCTCAATTTCTCCAAAGCTAATTTCACAGGCGGTCACTTGGAATATTTCATTCTTCATTCTTTCTAACAAGGATTAAACAGACCGAGGGCCTTGGATTCCCATTCACAACGTCACTTTTTCACTTCCTAAGTAGATCGGTGTCAGTGTCGTCTCTCATTTGCCTCGTTCATCCAAGATGAGAGGATGAAAGAACAGAGTCATCATGGCTTCTTATTCCCAGACCACAGGAGAGACGGAGCGGCCGGGTTCAGAGGGAGGAAGCCGAGAGGAGAGGGTAAGGAAGCATGAACAGCGGGTATTTCATGTCTGAGAGTTTGCTGGTGTCCTTGTGTTTCAGACACTTTAAGGTTGACAAGGCACGCGCGTCTATCACATCAGCTGCCACATACTCTCTCTCTGGTGTCACTCCATCCATCATGCTCTTTTTTTGTCATTACACCGTGAATACACTTGTGTGTACAACCTAATTGTGAAATTGTACATGGTGTAAAGTTTTCAACCATTTTTTTTTTTTTTGGTCTGGTAGATTTAAAAAAAGTATTATTATTATTATTAATTAATTTATTTATTTTCTAAAATAAAAACATTTTTTTGTTTTCCTAAACAATAATAGATTATGTCAAACAACTTATGGTCTCTTATGCTCACCAAGGCTGCATTTATTTGTACAGTAAAAACAGTAATATGGTGAAATATTATTACAAATTAAAATAACTGTTTTCTATTTGAATATATTTTAAAATGCCTGTGATTCAAAGCTGAATTTTCAGCATCATTACTCCAGTTTTCAGTGTCACATGATCCTTCAGAAATCATTCTATAATGCTTATTTGATGTTAAAAAAATATTTCTTATTATTATCAAAATGTAAAAAAGTGGTGCTGCTTAATATTTTTGTGGAAACAATGACACACTACCATTCAAAACTTCACCTTTTAATAACAGAGCAATGTTCACCTTTTATGATGAACAATGTTGCTGCCAAATATTTATGTGAAAAATATTAAGAAGCAAAACTATTTTAAACATTAATAATAAGAAGAAGCGTTATTAATATCTGAGCAGCAAATCAGCATATTAGAATGATTTCTGAAGGATCATGTGACACTAAAGACTGGAGTAATAATGCTGAAAATTCAGCTTTGCATCACAGGAATAAATTACATTTTAAAATGTATTAAAATAGAAAATAGTTTGTAATAATTGTAATATTTCATTGTTTTTACTGTATTATTGATCAAATAAATGCAGGTTTAGTGAGCATAAGAGACTTTAAAAACATAAACCAACAACAACATAATTATTCCAAAAAATGTGACCGGTATTGTTTATACCTTGATATCATTTAAAAGTGTTTCTTTTTTGTCAGTCTTCTCACCAACTTTCCCAGGATCTGGTAGAGGACGGCACTGAGTCTAGAGCTCTTGAGCTGGTCTCTATCACGGAAGAGGACCTTCCCATTGTGGAGACCCCCAATACTTTCAACGTGAGCTCCTTCAGCAGTCACAACAGCCATTCGATTCACTTCTACGACCCGGGCTCGCAGGACCCCCACGTCCCTGTCGAGTTGCCAACTGTGGCGTCAGCTCCGCTGCCTGTGTACAACAAAGTCCACAACATTCAGATCCCACCCAGCCCAGGTGTGCCCGTCATCAAGGTCCAGCCCTTCTTGGATGGTAAGCAGGCTTCTCGCTTTCAAGGTGTGTCACAGGGTGTAAGTAAATTGGAATGGTTTCGGTGTGTGGTTTACATGGCCACCTCAGCTACTCGAGGTGTTAAAATGTGATCTAATCAGTCTTACTCCACTGACAGCACTGGCCTTCAGCAGACTGATTTATTCAATCAATTATTCAATCTCTCTCTCTCTCTCTCTCTTGCAGGAGAGGACCTGTCAAACTTGAAATCTTTGTGTTGGCCGTATGTGTCTCGCAGATTGCTGGCTCTGCTTATCATCTTGGTCTTGCTTATAGTCTTGATTCTGTCACTAGGAATAGGTTTGGGAGGTGAGAGTGTTTTTTTAAATAATTTGGGCACAACATTTTTCCCAACTTAAGATTTTTTTAATGTTTTTGAAAGAAGTCTTTTTTGCTCACCAAGGTTGCATTTATTTGATCAAAAATACAGTAAAAACCAGAAATATTTTGAAATGTTATTACAGTTTAAAATAACTGTTTTGTATTTGTATATATTTTCATTATGTAATTTATTCCTCTGATGCAAAGCTGAATTTTGCAGCATCATTAATCCAGTTACTCCAATAATTTGAGTCATCTAGATATTAAGCAGCAACACTTTCCACCATAAAAGGTGAACATTGATTTAAAAAAAATATACTCTTGAGTAGCAAATCAGCATATTAGAATGATTTCTGAAGGATCATGTGACACTGAAGACTGGCGTAATGATGCTGAACATTAGCTTTACATCAGGAATAAATTACACTTTCAAATATATTCACATAGAAAGCAGTTATTTTGAATTGTATACAGTATATAGACAATAGAAGTAAAAGAAAAGTCCCCAACATGACGAAAATAAATGTATGTGTGAGCGTGTGTGTGTGTGTGTGTGTGTGTGTGAGAGCGTATGTGTGTGTCTGTGAAGTTGAGTTAGTAAATGTTTAATGAGCTCCACCTATGCCAGTAGGTCACTGCTAACAGATGGTTGTGTTAAGTTCTCTTAGAGTGTGAGTGTGTGTGTGTGTGTGTGTGTCTCAGTCACCATCATGCATTTTGAAAGCAGTCTCTTTGTCTCCAGTGGGTCTGGAGAGTTGCTCAGGAAAGTTTCACTGCGTGTCGTCAGTTCGGTGTATCAGCAGAAAAGCAGTGTGTGACGGAGTCGAGGATTGCGGAGATGGAGAAGATGAACTCAACTGTGGTGGGCTGATCCTGTCTGTCTCTTCCTCCTGACTTTAAGCACAAAATCAAAATTCACCATATGTATTGTTTTAATACACGTTACGGTGAATGATGCATGCCATTCCAAAGAAGAAAAAATATATATACATAATCAAACAACTTTCCACACCAGTTTTGTCATCAGCCCATCTATAAGCAGATCTTACAAAATGATTGAAACCGGACCCCAGATGTTAACCACTGACAGCATGTGAAGCGTGCATGTCTTGACTGACCCGCATCTCTCTCTCTCGGTCTCAGTGCGTGTGAGTGGCAGAAGCTCTGTGCTGCAGGTGTTCAGCAGGGGCTCGTGGAGGACTGTGTGCTCTGAAGGCTGGGATTCTCACCTGGGCTCCTTAGCCTGCAGACAACTGGGATACAACAGGTACAAACACAATTGTTTAAGTGTGTCGGGGCAGATGGATTGCCTTTAAGATAATTTTTGAAGCCCCCCCCCCCTCCCTCCCATGTAAACTTATATACTTCTCTTGTATTTCTGCTATAATTGCAAGGCTGCTTGCTTTCAAACTTTGTTTTACAAAAACTTGTCAATAGATTAACAGTGTCGTCAATAGATTAAATTGAACTAAAACAACTATAAAAAATATTATGATTAAAATAAATGAAATTTTGCAACAAAAAAACCCCAAAACAAAACAAAATCAGATTAAATTAAATTTCCAGTCAGTTTCAAGAGCTGAATGTTCTTTAGGGTTTCCAGTCTTTTTTGACTAAAGTTATGTATAAGTTATATATCTCTCTCTTTTTTTGTGATTTACCGGATAAGGATTAAATACGGATTAGGATTTTTTTTTTTTATATATATATATATATATACACTACCGTTCAAAAGTTTGGGGTCGGTACGATTTTAAATATTTTAAAAGAATTCTCTTCTGCTAACCATGGCTGCGCTTATTTGATTAAAAATACAACAAAAATCAGTTATAGTATTAAATATTATTCCAGTGTAAATCAGCTGTTTTCTGTGTGAATATATAGTAAAGTGTAATTTATTCCTGTGATCAAAGCTGAATTTTCAGCATCACCAGTGTCAGTGTCTTCAGTGTCAAATGATCCTTCACAAATCAGTATAATATGAGGATTTGATGCTCAAGAAACATTTATTATTATTATCAATGTTGAAACAGTTGTTGGTCTGTCAGTTGTACAGTTTTTTTGTTTTGATTTTAGGATTCTTTGATGAATAGGAAGTTCAAAAGACTTTTGTAACATTATAAATGTCTTTACTGTCACTTTCGATCAAATTAATTATTCCTTGATAAATAAAAGTATTGATTTCTTTCCTCCAAAAAATAAAAATAAAATTCTCACTGACCCCAAACTTTTGAACGGTAGTGTATATATATATATATATATATTTTTACTCACAATTTCCATCCAATAAAATATTTCTAACTAGGAACTATATATTTATATATATTATATTCATTAAAATTTCCATGGCATTTACACATTTTGGGTCTTCATTTCTAATAACTAACAGCCATCTTCACCGCCCATGTGTGCTATTTAGGGAAAATTCATTTTCCAGAGCAAAGCAGGGATTTCCCCCTTTTAAACAGAAATATGGTGATACTTTTCTCGTGTGTGTGTGTGTTTTCTTGCACTGTGTGGGTGTCTATGAATAATAATGTGCCTCTGTTCCCAGTGGCCTCATTACCTGCATAGTTAATCCAATTAAAATCAGTCTGCCATTAAATGAAAGAAGAAAAAAAACATCATTGCAAACGCTGTTTCACCTCAACTAGGTCAAGATGTTACATTTAACACCTACAATCTCCTGTCTTTATTTTATTTTAGAAGTCTGATCTTTTTGTTTGGCATCACTGTCTTTTATAATGCATTTTGAATTTAGTAGCTGTTTTGGCCAGAAATAATGATTAATTACAGTCCCTCGGGCCACGTCTCCTTAATAAGGGAACCGATCAGCATCAGCTAAAGTCAACTGATTTCATCTTTTCAGAAGTAACAGCTTATGAATGAAAGTAAACAGGTGTGAAATTGAGAGGGAAAAAGAGAGATATTTCTGTGTTGGGTATAAAAGGTTCAGTGGGTTTCTATAAAGAACCCTAAAGAGCACTTTATGCCAAAAAGGTTCTATATAAGAAAAAATGTCTTAAATTATACATAATACTTTAATGTTTAACAGGTTATTAAATGTTTTTGTATGTCTGTATAAAGATATATTTGTTTAATTCAAAAAGTGTAATTAAAATTATACATGAATTTAAACAAACCTAATTAGAACTAAATCCATAAAACAATTCCAAGATGGAAACCACTAAAAGGTTCTAAATATGAAGTGCTTGACAGAAACTTTAAGGTTCTATATAGAACCTTTTCTTCTACGACTGTAGTTTTGTGTCTTTTAGCATTTAATAACTATAAACTTAATGAGAAAGTACTCAGTGCTCCAGCTTTAATATATGAGAGCACTTTATTCCCATGTAATTGTTTTCATTATACAGCAAATTTACACTGGATTCAAACATTTTTCAAATTGTGCCATTTTAGGGTGTTCAAGTATTATCCCATCGATTCTTGGTAAAGTAACTTGGTAATAACTAGAGTAATTTCTCATTTGTTCTCCTCTCTCTCTGGTTGTAGTTACGTAAGCTCTGCTGCCATTCCCATCTCCTCTATTGAAGCAGTATTTCAGAATAATCTAGTGGCTCTCAATATCAACCAAACAGCCCTTCAAGACACCTTCAAGATCCACAACTCTTCATACGTTAGGTAAACCTTCTTTTACACACCTGCGTGCTAAAGCAACTGAATGTACCTTGCCAAAACAAAGCATTAGTTTAACACTGTGGTTTCTAAGGCTCCAGACTACCATTAAATGTCAAAATAAAGATTTAACAAACATGTCTGTATATGCGCCTTCACCAGATATCATATATTTAGAGCGCATGCAACGAGTGAGCAGTAATGTCCGATTCGCAAACAAATTACTCTTATAAACCAGTTCTTTTAGTGATTTAGTCACAAAGATTTGCAACAGTTCAAACGGATCCACGAAAACGGCTAAAATCGCTGTATTTAGCTGCCAGGCCAATAGTTGGCGATGTCACTTTGTAAAGAAACAAAACGTTTTTGTAGTTTACACAGAGCCGATAACTATGGAAGCTTGTTTCCGCCACTGAATGAAAAATAAAAAAGGTAATTGCGACTTTATCTCACAATTCTGACTTTATTTCTCAGAATTGCGAGATGTAAAGTCATAATTGCGAGATATAAAGTCATAATTACGTGATATAAAATCGCAATTGCGTGTTATAAAGTCAGAATTGCGTGATATAAAATCGCAATTGCGTGTTATAAAGTCAGAATTGCGAGATATAAAGTCAGAATTGCGAGATATAAAGTCAGAATTGCGAGATATAAAGTCAGAATTGATTGATATAAAGTCGCAATTGCGTGTTATAAAGTCAGAATTGCGTGATATAAAATCGCAATTGCGTGTTATAAAGTCAGAATTGCGAGATATAAAGTCAGAATTGCGAGATATAAAGTCAGAATTGCGAGATATATAAGTCAGAATTGATTGATATAAAGTCGCAATTGCGTGTTATAAAATCAGAATTGCGTGATATAAAGTCGAAATTGCGTGTTGTAAAGTCAGAATTGTGAGATATATACTATTCTGAGGGGGAAAAAGTTAGTCTTTTTTCCCCCTTAGAATTGGCCTGATAACTCAGAATTGCGAGATATAAAGTCAGAATTGCGAGATATAAAGTCAGAATTGCGAGATATAAAGTCAGAATTGATTGATATAAAGTCGCAATTGCGTGTTATAAAGTCAGAATTGCGTGATATAAAATCGCAATTGCGTGTTATAAAGTCAGAATTGCGAGATATAAAGTCAGAATTGCCAGATATAAAGTCAGAATTGCGAGATATAAAGTCAGAATTGATTGATATAAAGTCGCAATTGCGTGTTATAAAATCAGAATTGCGTGATATAAAGTCGAAATTGCGTGTTGTAAAGTCAGAATTGTGAGATATATACTATTCTGAGGGGGAAAAAGTTAGTCTTTTTTCCCCCTTAGAATTGGCCTGATAACTCGCAATTGCGAGTTTTTATCTCACAATTCTGAGAAAAGATGTCAGAATTTCGAGATATAAATTCGCAATGTGTTATAAAGTCAGAATTGCGAGATAAAAAGTCGCAATTCTGTCTTTTATTCTCGCAATTGCGACTTTATTTCTCATAATTGCGACTTTATATCTCGCAATTGCGACTTTATTTCTCAGAATTGCGACTTTATATCTCGCAATTGCGACTTTATTTCTCAGAATTGCGACTTTATATGTCGCAATTGTGACTTTATTTCTCACAATTCTGACTTCATATCTCGCAATTGTGAGATAAAAAAGTCGCAATTATTTTTTTCAATGTTTTTATTCAGTGGCGGAAACAAGCTTCCATAGATAACAGTATCGTTTTCAAAAACGTGCACTTTGAAACCTGTTTTTAAAAGTCTGGGTTTTCAGGCTCCCAAAACGCCGTTGTCGTGTAAATGAACGGCCGAAACGCATAAAAAGTTTTATGTTAAAAAAAAAGAAAAGAAAATTGTGTCGTGTAAACAGCCCCTTCTCACCTCGACTGATTCGAAACGATTGAACGTGATATTATGATGTAGCCTTTATTTTAGCTTCGTGAGACTTACATCAGATTGGTTGTTTTGTTTTAGTATTCTAAGCCACATTCAAATATATATATAAAAAAAGGTGTTTTAGAACAATGTGGTCCAAATGTAAAGTTGAATGATGCAAATCTTTCAAACAAGCAAAAATGATCATTTTAAGCCCAAATTTCGGAGCCCTGTGTTGACTATGATATTAATAGCAGTTGCTCTTTAGCTTTCAAATGAGCATTTCAGTGTCTCTTTTTCTCAGGTCCAAATCAAATTTTGGGAGCCTGAGGAGGAAGTATTTAGGCCAAAGACTGTCAAATAAGATCAGTCCAGTCCAGTGACTGACGCATTACATGGCAGATCGTTCAGTACTGAAGTGTCTCTGCAGATACTGATGTTCAGGAGTGTTTTTGGTATCTGATAAAGCAGTCAGGACTGTGTTTGTGAGATATCTTACCTTCAGATGTATGAACGTCTGGTCGGATTTATTCTTGGCAGCTGAGATGAGGTTTTGAGCAGAAAAAGAAAGGAGACATCTTGACTCCATGCTGCAATAAAACGAGAGTTGTGAAACAGTTTGACATGACAAGCCGATTCGCTTTTTAGAATAAAAGACAAATGGAGGCATTTAAATGAAACTAGAACAGTTAACAGAGTAGTTTAGTCAGACAGAAATATCGATTTCACTAAAAGTGTATTTTCTATTATTTCAGAAAGACTCTCTGCAGTTCTGGTATAGTGACAGCTGTCAAATGTATAGGTGAGTGGCTGATATTAATCTTTAAAAGATAAGCAATGAGTGTAATTGTTGCACAGTTTAAGTAGATCATACTCTCATAAAAGTTAAGATTGTCTTCATCTTGATAATATTGTGTATATGACAATAAAAAGTCAGTAATCAGTTAGTAACCACCCAGAACACTCTAGAAATGCCTTAACATCCACCTTGAACACCCAGCAACCAAATAGCTATACCGTATGTATAGTAAAAACACTCACAACCACATAGCAACCTTATTTCAACGTCACGGCAACATCCTAGCATTGTGTCAGTGACTTTTGCATGTGCAAAGAAAAAATTCCCCCAGAAAATGGGCAAATCTAGTTTGTGTTGTTGTGTAGAGTGTGGTTCCAGGCCAGCCGCCCGCAGTCGTATTGTGGGAGGAAACGTGTCGAAGCCCGGGCAGGTCCCATGGCAGGTCAGCCTACACTACCAGAACCAGCATCTCTGTGGAGGATCAGTCATCAGTGAGCGCTGGATACTCACTGCTGCTCACTGTGTCTATGGGTGAGTATATCATGCAAAAACAGCTCCAAGCTGGTTTATACTGGTTTTGTGTTGGTCCAGACTGGTTTATGATGGTCTATTGCTGGTCCAGACTGGTTCTGTGCTGGTCCAGACTTGTTTATAATGGTCTGGTACTGGTCTAGGCTGTTTTATACTAGTCGGATGCTGGTCCATACTGGTTCTGTGCTGGTCCATACCGGTTGGTGATGATCTGGTGCTGGTCCACACTGGTTCTGTGCTGGTCCAGACTAGTTTATAATGGTCTGGTACAGGTCCAGACTATTTTATACTAGTTTGATGCTGGTCCAGATTGGTTTGTGATGGTTTGAAGCGGGTCCATTCTGGTTTATACTGGTTCTGTGCTGCTCCAGACTGGTTGGTGATGATCTGGTGCTGGTCCAGACTGATCTATACTGGTTCTGTGGTAGTCCAGACTGGTTTATGATGGATCTGTTCTGGTTCAAATTGGTTTGTGAAGGTCAGTGGCTATTTTATCCTGATCTGGTGCTGATCCAGACTGTTTTATCCTGATCTGGTGCTGGTCCAGACTCATTAATACTGGTTCTGTACTGGTCTGGACTGGTTTATGATGGTCTGGTGCTTGTCCAGACTGGCTTATAGTGGTTTAGTGCTGGTGCAGACTCTTATGGGTGTCTTGTGCTGGTCCAGATTGGTTTATGATGGATCTGTTCTGGTTCATACTGGTTTGTGAAGGTCTGGGGCTGTTTTATCCTGATCTGGTGGGGGTCCAGACTAGTTTATACTAGTTCTGTGCTGGTCCAGACTTGTTTATACTGGTTATTTGCTGGTCCAGACTGGTTTATGAAGGTCTGGTGCTGATCTAGACTGTTTTATGCTAGTCAAGATACTGGTCAAGACTGGTTTATACTGGTTATGTGCTGATCCAGACTGAATTATGATGGTCTGGTGCTGGTCCAGGCTAGTATATACTGGTTGTGTGCTGGTCCAGACTGGTTTATGATGGTCTGGTGCTGGGCCAGGCTGGTTTATACTGGTTCTATGCTGGTCCACACTGATTTATTCTGGATTTATGCTGGTCAAGACTGGTTTATACTGATTTTGTGCCGTTACAGACTAGTTTGTAATGGGCTGGTCCTGGTCAGGCTGTTTTATGCTAGTCAGATGCTGGTCCAGACTGGTTTATTCTGATCTCATGTTGGTCTAGACCGTTTTAACCTGGTCACGTACCAGTTTAGATTGGTTTAACTTTATACTGGTTCAGACTCATTTATGCTGATGCTGAGCTGGTCCAGACTAGATTGTGATGGTCTGGTGTTTTATCTTGATTTGGTGCTGGTCCACAATACTGGTTCTGTGTTGCTCCAGACTGGTTTATGCTGGTCTGACTCTGGTATTAGTCCTGACTGGTTTATATTGGTTCTGTGCTGACCCAGACTGGTTTATTCCAGTTCCGTGCTGGTTCAAATTGGTTTATGCTGATCTTATACTGGTCCAGCATAGTTTAAACTGGCTCTGGGCTAATCCAGATTAGTTTATGATGGTCCAGTACTTACATTCGTGATTCTTTTTGTTCAAAGTTTTGCTCAGCCAGTGTTATGGACAGTGTATGCTGGGATGATAGACCAGCCATTGAGTGGATCCGGAGCTCTCTCTGTGGAGAAAATCATCTACCATGCGAGCTTCAGGTCAGAAGGACTCAGCTACAACATAGCACTGATAAGGCTTAAACTACCTCTGTCTTTCAACGGTAAGAATTTGCTTTTTGTCACTGGCTGAAATATTTGTAAAATAGATGAGTTTAAAAGCATGATTTTAACGAAATGTATCTCTTTCTTTTTTTCTTTTTTTTGCCCCAGACCAAGTAGCCCCCATCTGTCTGCCTAGTTACGGCGAGAGCTTTGAGGATGGACAGATGTGTTTAATCTCAGGCTGGGGAGCCACAGTGAATGGTGGTGAGTGTGGATCCATCAGCTATTAGTACATTTTTAAGGGCATTTAATGAAAAAAAATAACTGGTATCTCTTCTGCAAATGCTAGTGGTAAACAAGTTTCACAGCTTTTGTAGACATGTTGAGTACTATATCGTCTTGTATTATTGGAGTTGACTCTTCAGAATGCACATGTGTGTGTGTTGTGCAGGAGAGGCCAGTGTGTCCCTACATGTCACTCAGGTCCCGTTACTGTCCGGCAGAAAATGCCGCAGACGGGGTCTGACCTCATGGAACATCTGTGCAGGACACTTGGATGGCGGTGCTGGTACATGTTCGGTATTGCATCTTTGTGTCATCATAATAAACAGCAATAGTCATTATTGAAACAAGTACACTTGAATGTATTTGCACCTTAGTTTAATCCCTAGTCTTCTGTCTGTAGGGCGATAACGGAGGGCCGCTGGCCTGTCAGGGGTCCGGGTGGACATTGGTGGGCACAGCCAGCTGGGCTGAGAGCTGTGGACAAAAAAACAAACCAGGCGTTTACACCAGCATAACTGAAGCGATCACATGGATTCAGCAACAGATGGAGGTAAAGAACAGTTCTTTTTTTTTTTAAACAAACAAAAAAAACACCCTACACTTACTTATTTACAAAATGTTTGTAGTTGGAATTCAGTTGATGTCACTCACAAAAACTGAAAGTACTTATTTAACATTTTGACATTATTATTAATGATAAAGGGCAGCTTGACATTTGTTGTTTAAAATTTAAATTGATTTTTTCATTCATTTCATTTACCCTTATTTAACCATGTTAAAAACTGGGGCTTGGACAAATTTAATATATTTTCTAGATTTTTCCAAGCAACAGAAGCGTTACACTTAAAATTATTTTTTCCAAGCTCTGTTAAGACCAATGATTATAGTGGACTTTTGTATTGGATAAGCTAAGAGACAAGGGGTTAAACCACTGATGGCCTTTTAAATAGAACAGTACCAATTTAATTTAGTTTTGTTGTTTTTTAACACCAGTGAAGTCAATAGCATCTCAAAAGAAACATAATTAATCAGACAATATATTCAATACATTATAGACCTACCATGATTTTTTCTTCTTCTAGAAATTTCTGTAACACAAACATAAAATGTAACATGAGTGAAATGTGTAAATCAACTGAATTGCTTAAAGGTTTGTGTGGTGGGAAACTCACCATTTAATCACCCTCTTCTTCTTCTTCATTTTGACATTGGAAGTACTTTTCTGACTTTTTTATATTCAAAAAGCATTAACAATTAACAAAATGCAATTATCATGTTAATTACTCATATTATCTTTTTGCACACTTGTAAGATCCTGCACACATGTTTAAACTGTGGAAAAACAAGTGAATAATAACTGTAAATTACACAGATATAGTTTCCTAGGCCTCTGAGTAAGTGACGAGCCTGGAGGAGTGACATTCAGTTAGAAGATGGCAGTTGAACTTTATTCTCATTGGATAATTAGCACTCGGATTTATATTCCATTAACTTTGTTTCCTGGCTGTCTTGGTTGATCATTGGTAAGTGTGTTTGTGCGGATGAATAACTGACAGACTTCCAGCTCCTCGGGGTCTTTTTGACCTTTGAAAAGGTTTTTGGTACACTAGAGTCACCTAGAGGCGATTGTGTTGTACTGTTCTGCACCTTCTCAAGCTCTCTGCAGTTAATTGAGCCATACAAACACCATTCGCTCCATTTGTTTGCCATATGATTTTATCCCTAGCCATTCATTGGGTTTTGATTTCATGCTCAAGTCATTTGATATTAAAGTTTTACAGTCTTATATTTACGGGAGAACACTGGTATTTAAGAAATGCAAATAATAGTTTTAATTTAATTTAATTAATAATTTTTTTTAACAGAAAGAAGAGGATCAGCGTCGTTGAGCGCCTCATGGTGGACGAGCTTCTGCTGACTTGCATATTTCCATAACTAACATCTGACATTACCATATCCAAAATGGCTTATGAAGGGGAAACATGTCATGGTAATATGGTAATATATATATAGACTCGAAATGATTCCCCTTCATAAGCCATGTTGGTTTGATTCTACTGACCAGAACGAAAATACAGTAAAATACAAATTTTTAAGTAATAGTTTAAACAGTTTATTTGTAATATGCTATTTAATGTACTTTTTTTGTTTATTTGGCTCCAAATATTGATCATTTATTTATCCATGCATGTTGAAACGTTTTAGTGCATATATTTTTGTATGTAAGGCCAAATGTACACGCTTAACATGTGATACATTTACCATTCTCATTAAAATGATGTTTTATTAAAATTATATCTTAATGTTATAAAGACATTTACTGTATTAAAATGATGTTCTTAAGGGGCCGTTTACACAACACTGTTTTCAACTAAAAATGGAAAACCTTTGCGTTTTGGCCATTCATTTACACGTCAAACTTTTGAAAATGGGTTTCAAAGTGTAAGTTTTGACATGACGTCATGCGCATGCGTATTACGTGTACAGTCTATAGAAGCATAGTGTTTCTTTACAAAGTGACATCGCCAACTACTGGCCTGGCATGAATAATACAGCGTTTTTAGTCATTTTCATACAGATCCGTATGAACTGGGATCATTCTGACAACATTGTCGTCTGTACGCAAAAAAAGCTAAGGAAAAACTTTTCCGCTTTTAGCACATTGTTGTTGTGTAAACGTACCCTAAATCTCTATTCTGCTCTTTCTCTTCCCTTCCACTATTTAAAATGTACAAAAAGTGTTGGAAAATGAGTAAATGCTAAACCAGAGTAACAAATCCGATTAGAAATGGACCAAAAATAATAATAATAATAATAAATAAGCAACTTTCTGTGAACTAAATTACAATTTCACCCCTAGCAAAATGATTTATTTGTTTACACTGCAGACTCAGTGAAGGTTACGCTAAAAATACTCTCTCGGCCCTGACATGAATGTAGCTCATGACCTCTGATGTCATATTACAGGATGAACAAACAAATCAAATCCCATGCAACAGTGTCCTTCAGGTACAGTGTTCTTTATTACAAAATGAAGAGTCTGAAAGGCAAATCTGTGTGTGTGTGTGTGTGTGTGTGAGAGAGAGAAAAGAGAAAAATGTTCAAAGTCCAGCGTTTAAACCTCCTCATGCTAAGCTAACGGAGTTGACTTTCTCCTTCTGGGTTAGTCATCTGACTGATGGCATCATAAGACTAATGCTGGAAATGAAAAAGCCACTCGGGTACTGACAGCCTAAAGCACATACTGAATACGCGAAATGACTATAAAACAGGATATATGAGCTCAATTAAGTGACCGCTGTAAAAAGAAGAACCTGGGACAAACATGTCCGTAATCCAAGTTTTATACCAGCTTCTATTGTATTGAAATATACCATCAAGATTTTACTAACAGCTCAACTGTACCAATCTCATGGAGTTTACACTGTCACTGATAGATTTGTATTTCTATTTGTGAGCATACGGTATGTTTCTAAAAATAATATTGTATGTTTCTTTACAATAATAAATGAAAACACATGCAATCAATCCTTAAATATTGAAAACATTTGTTTTATCCACTTTGTTATGGTGAAAAACATGTTTTCCTGTGAAAACTCGAGGAACTGTCCATGTTAACGTGGAATAAAAAAAAGAAATCAGTCATAAATGTTTGAGCTGAAGGGGTTTAACCCTTTGCTGAAAAATATACATAAATACAAAGTCTTGTTGACGTCCTTCTCGGTTCAACTTCGGTTAATATAATCATTAAAAAGAAATAACATTTCCTTCTCATACAACAATTACAGGCATTGAATGTCGCAAACAATAATCACGACCTTGCAAAATATCATTTTTGGACACGGTATCCATGTCGATTGCACAGGAAGTGACATCAGAGACCGTCTCACATTGCGGCATTAGAAATGTAAAAATGTAAGGCTTCAGAGTCTATGCCTTCAGCGTACAGTATTATCCATTCTTTGTACTTTGTACTAAGTAGTTCCCACAAACCTCCTGCACGTTAAAAGTGTTTTTTTTTTGTCTTTTTCATACATAAATACTCCTTACAAAACATAGCAAACCAGAGCAAAACAAACAAATGGGAAAAAAACAAACAAATTGGCACCGATCAATTGTGACAGTGTACTATAAAAATAGTTCCTTCTTTTTCCTGGTGCCTGATTAAAGCAAACACAGGCATGCAAGAGACGAAATCTCATTGTCATAGTATCTGAGACCATGAGGATAAGTACAACTGAATCATCCAGCATCACTATTTTTTTATTTCCTTCTTTTTAGCTCTTTCAAAATGTGCTTTGAACACTTTCTTTAAGTTTACAGTATCATACAAAAAAGTGCACTCGGCTAACTGTGTGGAAAATGATTTGTGTGTTCCGCCGTGAGAGAGACTTGTGCTTTTGTCTTGGCTTTTTACCTCTGTGTGTGTGTGTGTGTGTGTGTGTGCGTGTGGTTTGTTTCGGTGTGTGTGGCTTTAAGCCCTTTTCTCTGTACTCCAAACAAGCTGTTTGACAGCTTGAGGATGTGCACTGTGACCTTCAACACGCCAGCCGAGGTGTTTGTGTGAATGTCTCTTAGTGCTCTAATGCTCCTTAAACGTCTCTCTCTATATACTATATACGTTACTGTGAGAGTGTGTGCGTGTGTGTGGTTCAGTCCTACTACAGCGAGTCGCTGGTCTCCAGGCCCAGCCTGGTCATGTCGGAGTGAGAAGGATCATTGTCCTCGTCCTCTTCGTCGTCGTCTTCATCATCATCATCCTCGCTGTGACCTCCCATCATGACCTGCTGCATGGCCAGCGTAGCTCCATCTGATGAGAGCGTCTGTAGTCCGTCCTCACCCACACCGACTGTTACTGTGGTACCTGAGTATGACAACCATATAATTCAAACATATACCGTATATTCACATACAAATAAAACTCATTTGTTCTCGCTGAAGCTCAAACGTGCTGTGTAACACGAGAATGAACCTCATTGGTTCTTGCTGAAGCTCAAACGTGCTGTTTAACACAATAATGAACCTCATTGGTTCTTCCAGAAGCTCAAACGTGCTGCGTAACACGAGAATGAACCTCATTGGTTCTTGCTGAAGCTCAAACGTGCTGCGTAACAAGAATGAACCTCATTGGTTCTTGCTGAAGCTCAAACGTGCTGCGTAACACGAGAATGAACCTCATTGGTTCTTGCTGAAGCTCAAACGTGCTGCGTAACAAGAATGAACCTCATTGGTTCTCACACATCAAGCAAACATGCTTGAGCTTCCGTTTACCACAACTGATGTGTGAGTTGATCAGTTTATATGTGAATAAAAGCCTAAATTCAATCTGTTCATCATATAGAGCGATCGAGCCTCTTCAGAAAGTTCAGACTAAACCGCTTGATTCATATGGATTAATTTTACAATCTCTTTATGAACTTGGAAATCACCCCTGTTACAACTTAAAATGTACCCCTGCGCCCTCAAACTAACTAATAATCTGTGCAGTTTTAATCTATGATGTCTAAAGCGCCGTACCGTCTTCCATGGTGACTTGTTGCTGGGTCACAGAGGAGGCGAGGGAGTTGGGCCAGAAGCGTTGTAGGGGTCGTGTCTGGGGCGTCTTCTTTTTGCTCTTGGGTGTGTCTGAGGAGCTGGCATCCAGCATAGGCTGAAGGATCCGTCGTCGAGCGTTAATAAACCTGGAGACATTGAGCCAATCAGAGGAGATCCAGATGACTACCCTGTCCCTGCGTATGTATAAAGTGTGATAACTCACCAGTTGTTAACCTGCAGCAGTGTGAGGTTGGTCTGCAGGGCAATCTGTTTCTTCTCATCTTCTGTTGGATATGGGTGCTGGGAGGGACAGAAATAAGGTGGTCTTACAACTTCTCTCTATTGGATAGTGTCTCTTTCTCCACTTCATCTGAACAATGTCTCTCTGTGGGCCGCCCATCTAAACAGAAGCCGGACAGAAAAGCTGCCCGCCAGGCTCTTCAGTGATCAGGGCAGCGTCTCCAGAAGCTCAGTCATATGAGCAGCAGACATTTGTGAGAGTGTGAATGTACGTGTGTGTCTGCTTCACGAGCCAGTCATCCACACCTACCGGCTCACTTAATTCATCTATAATACATTTAAAAAAAGCTCACTGCAGTTCTTATGAACAAAATCAACTTCAAGGAATGTTTTTTTCTCAGCTTGAGTAGCTCTGTGGTCTGATAAGGTGAAGTTTTCATTATATATAAGCAGATTCAGTGAACAGAACAACAATTAAAATGAGTTTTCAGCTATATTAACAAATTAAATTATTACATTAAAATAATTCAATTATTCATAAAGAACAAAAGTTTTTATATTAAAAAAAATCGTACATATTTTGCAGCATAGGTCATTTTCATAGTGTTTAGTGCTGCACGAGAATCATTGAGAATCACAATTTTCTTTTGTTTAGAATATAGATTCTCTCACAATTCTGAATAAACAACTAAACAAAACAGTCTATTTAAACAATATTTAATTCATTTGAATTAATTATTTAAAATGGTTTGAATGAATGATTCAATGACTCGCTCATTAAGACTTCACTTGTTTCATTACTGGATGAATCTGCGTTTTTGAGCGAATCTCTTGAAAGAATTATTCAATGACAAATATATTTTTAACAGTCACTTGTCGCCACAATGGAATTGATACAATCTTTATTAAAGTGTCAAGTTACTTTCAAATGGTGATTTACTCTATTTTGATCGCTGTCATAGGCATCAGTGTTTATATCTGAACTATAAACTTTTATCCCAGTACCATAATACAGAAATAATTATACTGTGTGGTTAAAAAGACTGTTTGTGAAGCGGTTTTATACTTTGATACAACTGCTCTCTCTGGATCGGCGGCAGTAACAAGGCAGATTTGAATGTTCCGCTGTGAACACACTTGTCAAAGGTTTAAAAGACATTTAGGAATACGCTTGCATGGGTGTTTTAATCGAGATCGCGGCCTTTTAACGATTAATCATTTAGCTCTAATAGTGTTTAATATACACTAGCGTTCAAAGGTTTAGGGTCAGGCACTTGATTTTACTGCTTGATCAGATTGTGAATAATTGTCTCGGGTTTTTTGATGACTGTGTGAATAGTGAAAAATCCTCTGTGATCGATCACTATTCCTGTGAATAGGCTATTAGACTGGCCCAACACTTTAAAACTGTGAAGGACAGAAGAATCTGACTTACACCGATGTGCTGGAAGAGCCAAGAGCGCATGACGTTGGTGGCGTGTTTGGGCAGGATGCCTCTCTTGGCCTTAGACGAGCTGTCCTCCTGACTGAAAAAGCTCAGATCCTGGTTCAGCTGCAACTGAAGCTGTGGGCAAACCAACTCAGCTGTCAAGAGTGTGTGCATGTGTGATAACGCCATCCATAATGTAATAGATTATGAAGCTGTGCTGCTAAATACTTGGATCAGCACATCTTGAGCCAATCAAAGAAACTCTTAATACTGGAATAAACTGCATGACATGAGTGTGTTTGGTGACGATCTCTCACCTGTGAGTTCTGGATGCGTATTGTTCCTGGTGACAGAGTCTGTGTGACCACCTGTCCCTGTGGAGTAACAACTGTAACGGGCTGATATACTGTACCACCTGGACAGAACAAACACACGCTCACAGAGTCAATATACCAGACTAAGAAAGAAATGGAATAAAACATTTAAAGGGATACTCCACCGTTTTTTCATATTAAACTATGTTATTCCCTTTAACTAAGACGAGTTGATACATACCTCTCTCGTCTCAGTGCGTGCACTATATCGCTCTGTCTTGCGGCGAAACTTTGTTAGCACTTAGCTTAGCCCAGTTCATTCATTAGGATCCAAACAGAGAAGCGACCGAACACCTCCACGTTTTCCCTATTTAAATACAGTTACATGAGTAGTGTAACTCGACCAAGAATGGTGTCACAAAATAAAAAGTTGCGCTTTTCTAAGCGTGTAAAGTGGATAACTATAATGTATGGCGGAATACCACAGCAAGTGCTTGGGAGCACTTCGACTCGGCGCATATATATCTATGGACTCGGCGCAGTAATATCATCACTCCGGAGAGGGAGCGGGGGGAGAGGACTTTTCACGAGTGATGATATTACTGCGCCGAGTCAAAGTCCTCTACAATATAGTTATCCACTTTACACACTTAGAAAAGCGCAACGTTTTATTTTGTGTCACTATACTCATGTAACTGTATTTAAATAGGGAAAACGTGGAGGTGTTTGGTCGCTTCTCTGTTTGGATCCTAATGAATGAACTGGGCTAAGCTAAGTGCTATCAAAGTTTCGCCGCAAGACAGAGCGATTGAGTGCACGCACTGAGACGAGAGAGGTATGTATCAACTCGTCTTAGTTAAGGGAATAACATAGTTTAATATGAAAAACGGTGGAGTATCCCTTTAAGTAATTAAATTATTTACAAAGATACAAAGTGTTTAGTACTTATTATAGTAATTACAATTACTGGGTAATAACTAGGTACTAACCCTGAACCTACCCCTAACCAGTGTACTTACCTTATATTAGCCAGTACTTTCTAGGTAAGTACACTGTAAGTACACGTAAGTACTGTACTGTAAAAGGAAGCGTTACCGTGTTTAATATACATAAGCATTCAAAGGTTTAGGCTCAGTAAAAATAGTTGGTTACACTTTATTTTAAGGTTTCCGTGTTACAGTGTAATTATACATTTAAGTACTGAGTGATAATAATTAACTACGTGTACTTATTACAGGGTTAGATTAGGGCATGGTTTAGGGTTAGTTGCATGTAATTAATTTATAGCAATTACTATAGACACTACACTGTGCATAGTGCACTGTAAAATCAAGTTCCCAAATAGTTTTTTTTTTCTGAAATAAATCAATTCTTTTATTCAGCAAGGAAAAAAAAATCCATTTATTACAAAAAAAATTATTCATCAAATAATCCTGAAAAAAAGCTATCACGATGTTGTACTGTTTTCAACATTAATAAGAAGAAGAAATGTCTCTTGAGCAGCAAATCAGCATATCAGAATGATTTCTGAAGGATCATGTGACACTAAAGACTGGAGTAATAGATTGCAACAGTCTGGTTCCGGTAGTAAAAAACCCCATTCATTTTCTCCATAGGGATTTTTTTTTTTTTAATGATATCTTATAAAGCTTTGAAGACAGACCTACTGTGGGCTACAAGGTTGTTAATCGATGGTATTTGCTTCCGTTGCAGCCAGCATTACTTCAACTTAGTTTTAAAATAATCGTGTTTAACGGTGAAATTTGTGGTGAAAAGCTACATTACCCATATGCTGTACAGAAAATTCCACTAATCAGAGTTGAAACAAGCAAAAAGCTCTTTAGCTCCGCCCACTACCATGAAGCACTACGAATGACGAATGCCTCTCAAATACTTAAGTACTTGTAAATATATATATATATTACAATAAACAAAATAAAATATATTTTATATATAATCAAGATTTTTAAATGCAAAGTTTTATATATCTAAATTTGATTATGCTGTTTGCAATGCGTTATGGGATTGTAGTTCTTTCCCTCACTAAAGCCTTTGAGTACACTGTCTTGTACCTTTGTATTTTTGTCCAATTTTCAAATACTTTTTTGTTTTCAAAGTATTTAATGTTATGATTCACCTCATAGCTGGCTGGCTTTGTTCATGGCTTATAATGCTTTAATGAAGACTTTTTTTTTTTTTTATCCTATGGGAGAAATGAATGGAAAAAAATACTTCCGGAACCAGTGCCGCTATGGCTGCTGAAAATTCAGCTTTGCATCACACTATATTACTTCCTCTACCCCAATACAAGAGAGTGGCAACTTATTCATTACAGTTGTACTGTATTCACCATTGAAGTGAACATAAATGCTGTTTGCAACCTGTTTTACTTCCATAATGTAATGGGATATTCAGTGCGTAAAAATGTTGGCATGGCAAATGTGAGACCTAGGAAGAAATCAGACTAAGAAAGAAACACGGAAGAGTAAAGCAATCAACAAACCTGTTACCACCTGTGTGGGGTTTACAGTTGTGACAGTAACGTTGCCCTGTTGTAAAGCCGACGCTGGTACTACAATACCTTGTGAACTCATGGCTCCAGTGAACGAGCTCAGCGGCTGCGAGGAGAACATGTACACAACGGTTATTTTCTGAGCGAAGATGGAGACAGATTTCTACAGTGTCCCTGAATGTACCTGTGTCTGTGTTGGCGAGTAGGGACTTCCTGGCTCTCCGCTGAGCAGAGTCTCACTGTTCATCTTGGTCTTGAGGCAGGCGATGTAGCGGCTGCAGAAATCTTTACACAGGTCATTTACCTTCTCCAGCTCCAACAGGTGAATCCGTAACACCTGGATGGCCTTCACCATCTGAACCCAGTGAAAACGTACAGTACATTTAACAAGCGTTTAGATAATGACTCCATTTTCATTTCCTCACCAGTCATGACTCTAATGAGTGTGTGAAAATGATTCACTAAGCACAAATATTCATAATAATGTTTTCATTAAGCCAGTAATTATTTTAATGTTATGGTAGAAATGAAAATTTTATACCATTTTGTCAAAATAAAAAAGCACTAAAAACTAAAGCCTGTCCTTTTTAAATGCTACAAGTGAATTTAGACTTCACATCATTATAATGTACAGAATGAAAAATGGACATTCATTTTGAGATTTAAGTGTTATTAAATTCACAATGTTTTGAAATATTAACTTAAAGTGAGTGTTAGTTGACGGCAAAAGCAATCAATAATAGAAATAGTGGAAATAAACATGCATGCTTAAATATCCAATACCGACTGATATCGATAAATAAACAAAATGATTAATATTGCCCAATAACTGATATACCATGCATCCCTAAATATACACTACCATTCAAAAGTTATGGGTCAGTATGTTTCATTAAAGAAATTAATACTTTTATTCAGCAAGGATGCATTAAATTGATCAAAAGTGACAGTAAATTTCATATAAATGCTGTCCTTTTGAATTTTCCATTCATCAAATAATCCTGGGGGATTATAGAGTATAAAGGTTTCCACAGAAATATTAAGCAGCACAACTGTTTTCAACTGATAATAATCAGAAATGTTTCTTGAGCAACAAATCAGCATATTAGAATGATTTCTGAAGGATCATGTGACACTAAAGCCTGGATTAATGATGCTAAAAATTTAGCTCTGACATCACAGGACTGAATTAGATTGTATAATATATATAAATAAATAAACAGTTATCTTATATTGAAATAACACTGATACACAATATTACTGATTTTACTCGTATTTGTGATTAAATAAAATGCAGCCTTGGTGAGCGTCAGAGACTTCTTTCAAAACCATCTTCCTGACCCCGAACTTTTGAACGGTAGTGTAAATATTTAAAAAACCTGCTTAAATAATTGATCAGAACTACAGTTTAATGGCAAGGTGCTTCTTACCAGATTGTCCAAATCGGGGTCCTCGCTGAAGAACGCCTTGCCTTCTTTCTCCTGGTTTCGCACAAAGTTCTCGATATCCACATCGAAGCTGGCCGAGGTCACGCACTCCGAGCTCTGAGTGGATTGCTCGCATTTCTCAAAGAGCAGTGCCAACAGGGGGAACAAGGGGTGTCTGACAGTCAACAAACACATCTTTTAAACACAAATACATATCCAAGAGCAATTCTAAAAAACATGCCACAAGAAAAACGGGAAGTTACCTGTAAATGGCCGTCTTGTAGACCTCCATAGGAGACTGTGGCTCAGACGGTGCTGAGCTGCTCTCCTCTTCCTCTCTCTCCTCGTCCTCCTCTTCTTCCTCCTCCAACGTCACCTCCACTTGTCCCGCCGCCTGTTCTCCCACTTGCATCTGCATGGGACAGAGGAGGGGGGGTTGGATAGGGAATGAATGTGTGAGGTATGTGGAAGTTAGCAATGTCAGCTGGCATGTCTGCGGGCGGTAACGTCCGTGTGTGGGCTCAGGCTTCTCTGAGAAACACAGTCTCTCTGTCACAGAGCAGACCCCAGAGCCGACGAGACCCTGAGGGTCGACATGGGGTTTCAAATCACGTAAGAAAAAATCGTTTTTAACAAAGGCGCTTCTCTCTCGAATCTCAGACCACTCTATCTTTGTCTGTCAGATTTAGAAAGGTTTCACAGATTTAACAGAATGGTTTTCCACATTAGTTTCAGGCTGTTTAGCAGAAAAAGAGAGGAAATAGAAAACTACCTTGAGTGACTGTTTGACTTAACATGCAAGATATCCAGATCAGGGTTGTTGTAGGTAACTAAAAGCATAAACATTGAACTATTTGTCAAGGCAACATTTCTCAAATTTATTTAGTTTAACTTGATGTACTAAAACAACTTGATATATATAAACTATTTAAAATTACAAAAACAACTAAATCACTAAAACTAAAATGAAAAATATTATTTTGGAAAATATTAATAAAAAATATAATAGAATCTCAATGATACTAAAATAACACTGATCCAGATATCTTGGATAATTATAATGCAATAATCCATTCATATATTAAAATTATAATATATAATAAATTATACACAGTGTTGGTTTCTTTTCTCATTTGTACAGTTTTTTTTCTTTGTACATCGTAGTTGGACAGGCCCACATGATTGAGTGCATGTGATGGAGAGCAACAATAGTGTTGATTGAAAAGGGGGAGATGTTAAAAATATTTCACGACTGCTGGAAAATCTCGGGTTAGTCTCGAGTCTCTCTATCTCTCCATCCGATACCGCAGAGGTCAGACTTCCCAGAATTCACAAGACATCAATCTCAGAGTGTGAGATGTTAGACTTGCATGTTTACAAAACGTTTATTGATTTTTTTATTGCAATATAATGAAGGTTATCACTTTTTTTAAAGGAATAGTTCACCCAAATATGAAAATTATCCCATACAAAGCTGGTAAAAGCCAGGATATTATTAAATATAACTCTTATTGTGTTCGGCTGAAAGAAGAAAGTCATATACACCTAGGATGGCTTCAGGGTCAGTCAATTATGGGATAATTTTCATTTTTGGGTGAACTATTCCTTTAAAAGGTCAATTAAACACATTCACATAAAACAAAAACAGTTTCATTGGCTGTTTAAGGAGCTACTCTTGCTCTTTGGCAACACAAACCTGTTCAGCCTCTTGGTAATCCTCCATGGACACCGATGGGGATGTCATCATAGTTACTGTTGCCGTGGACAATGCTTGGGCATTCTATAAAGCTGATCTGCAGCACCACTAAACTGCCACAACAAAGAGAAACATTTATGTGGAAGAACTACCAAACAGCATTAAAACCTGCTACTCTTTAGTGGAAAATGAGTAATATGCTATAAGCATCGAATATGATCTTATGTATAGGTGAATAACACATAATTTTATAAAACCTTTGCATTTCATTTATTGCATTAGGGCCATATACATATTGGCCAGGCCAAGTAATCAATATTTAAAGTTACATTATCATTATTAAAGGCCGTTATAAACGGCCTACCAATGTGCACACTTAGACAAATTACAAAAGTTTTACTATCAGCCTTAACTAACTGAACAATTATTATTTTGTTCTCAAATGTTTAAATGATTATGGTAAAAAGCGTTTTAAAATAATTGTCTTAATTTCAACAAATGTTGCACATTGTATGTGTGTGCATATATATATATACACACACATTTATATTAGTGCTGTCAAATTGATTAATTGTGATTAATCGTATCTAACTCTGTGTTTATATATGTATAGGCATATATATATATATATATATACACACACACACACATATATTTCTATATACATATACACACATTATATATATATATATATGTACTGTATTTACTGTACACAAACATATTATTATATAAACACAAACTTTTATGTTAGGTACGATTAATCGATTTGACATCACTAATATGTATATATATATATATATACCGTTAAACCGAGTTTTATTGCAATAAAAAGTTTATGCGCTGCATATAAGTGCCAAAACAAAGCATTGTTTTATTTACAGAATAACATTCATGTCCTTCAAAACAAACGTATGCTGAATTGGATAAACATCTGCAATGGTCATCTGGAGCGAACAGACGAATACAAATTCGAGATATAAATAGTAACATCGTTAAATGTATCTGCACTGCAATACGACTTCAATGAGTGATTCACTTTGAACTGAACTGAGAATATCTACATTTTAAAACACCATCGATACTCTTGTATCGTTCGGGGGTTATTCATTTCTCGTAATGTGGTCTTATATATCTTCGTCTTTTTCTTCAGCCACAGATGACTATCTCATTCTCTCTATTACTGTAGGCGCCATGTTTGTACTGAGCTTCTGTTCAGGTTCAAACCCATTGCCTATATGATCATATCTAGTGTTTTATTCGATGCGCTTTATTCATCCATAAGAACCGCTGGCGCAATCAATTTACAATTATAGTACGTAACCTACGTCATAACGAAAAACATCAGCCTTCTTGAGTTTTCGCTGACTTATAAAATTATCGTCGCTGTCTCTTTAAATATAATAAAAAGCCTGCCCATAATCGCCTATCAATCAATCTAGGGACATCGGGCTATCCCTCCCCACCAGTGCAGCCGCCATTCGCACTTCTACTAAAGATCATAAAAAAAGAGCTGGGCCTTGACTGTGTCTCGAGCCAGACATTCTCCCCCGAAACCGCCGTCCAAACATCTGATTTCAGGCTCAAACCATCCTGACCGCGCGCCTCCCGCGGAAGCTCGATCTTATGTGCCGAGTGCATTTTTAGTGTGCGGCCCAGATCGCCTGATTGATAGGGAGTCGGAAAAGAAGATTTTGAGTGACAGCTTACCTTAGTGCCAATCTTCGTCACAATGACAAGCGGCTGCAGCAATCGGGACCCGCAGTTCTTCCATGTCGTCACAGCGTAACGGCACGCAGGCAACTTTGCTCATGAATATTAATGAGGTGGGAGGAGACACTAACGGTTTAGGGAAAAGTGCTCGCCCCCTGGAGACTTCTGTGGGGACAATGTAACATGCAGGCTATATTCGAAAATATAGATTTTGCTCGGTGCGTGGTCATTTTAAATGACATTTTATTTTAAATGAAGCACAGTCTGAAAATGTCACGGATCAAACAACTTTATTTATTTTGCGTTTCTCTTGTTTTTCGTTTTAACCTGTACAGTTCTGTAACAGCAAATAGTTGCTGACATCATAAATAGCAGCCTATTTATGATGTCATTCATTCACATACTAGTGCCTTTTAAAATACATCACCAGTGAGTGATATATTTCTATGGCAATGCCATGCTGTGCTTTTCATTTGGAGTTGCTTTCATCCAGTACAGGCTCTGAAAAAAAGATTAAAAAAACAGTTTCTGGGATCATCTGATCTTTAATATTCATTCTAAATACACAAAGGCGAAAATATACCCACCAGAGAACTTAAATTCTGGGAACTTGCTTAAGTCTCCACCCCCATAGAGTCTCTGGAGTTTGGTTAGTTCTTCATTGAAAACGTTCTCATATTCTGGTCCAGCATCTACAAGGCCACCAGAGGCTCTGTATGGACAACACAAACCAGGTTAAATGTGGAAAATGAGTTATTCAAAATAAACATGTGAGAGGTTTGATATATATATATATATATATATATATATATATATATATATATATATATATATATATATATATAGCCTATGGAATGAACGGATTGTTTTCATGTTATTTGATTTATGGGATGTTTTTCATACTGCCTCTTTGTGGAGTATACCCGTATCTTGTCGAGAAAGAGTCTCTTTACTGGATCAAGCTGTGCTACAGATGAGAGAGAAATCACTGTTATTTGTTTCTCATGAACATAATAATTCTAAAATACCAATTTTAGCCAGAATGCTTTAACTACATGTGCTTTCGGTCTTTGATGATACAATTCAAATTACTGCATTTTATGTTTAAATAAAAATATTCATACCTACTAATAAATTTTTGTCACAATAAAAGCATTTGCATTATGAAACACAAACAAGCAAAAATAAAAAAGATGCATAATAAATGATGTTTAGAGACAGAGATCAGTCCCTCTTGTGGTAAAGATCAGAGTAGCTCAAAGGAAAACAAAGCCTCCACAACTTTGTGACTTTACCACAGAGAAAAGTCATACATCAATGTAAGGAAATATTTGTGTTATGGGAAAATGTTTATGGAAAGCTTTATACACATAAAGTTAGTAATCAGAGATTAAAGTCCTCTGCTTATGTCTCTGCAGGTCTTTTTATCTATTTTAGGGAAAAAATCTTCTAAAGCTAGCATCCCAGATGTTAGAACTAGACAATTAAGAACAATCCTGATTACAAAAACTGCACAAACTTGTGTGTTTCCAGCAAAATACCAAAATAAATGGATTTCAGTAAATGATAATAACAAATGCACGATATGCATCAAGCACACATTAAATACAAAAATAAAAGATTTTAAGCTTAATGAGTCTGTGTTGCACTATAAAATCCTAAAGGCAAAGTGTTGCGAGTAAATGTATTTCAACAATGAATTGCATAAAATTATGCATTTATAAAAAAATGTCATCTGTCTACAGAGCTTGAGAATCTTAACTTTATGATATGACAGATATAACAAATTTTGAGTGCTTTTCCACAAATAACTGTCCACCAAAAATGGTGAGGTTGCATAAAAAACATCAAAATATTCCCTTTTTTGTGGAAAACATGGCACTGAATGCAGGAAGGATGACATACCCTCAGGCACCTCTTCCTCTAACACGTCAGTTTGTGCTAGAATTGGGTCCTTCAGATTGACGGAGCTTTGAGCATCACCAGACTTTTCTGTCTTCTTGCATAGAGAGGCAGATATGGTCTCAAAAACAGGAAGATCCTCCGTGGATTTAAATAAAGAGACTTCTGGGATGATGAGTTCTGCGACTGGAATGGCCTCTTCATGACAAACTTCTCGAAGGGCTGGACCTTCACCACAGGCAACTGCCACAGCGTCAGCTCTGGAAATATCCATTATGTACTCAGCTGCGGCAGCTGGACATGAGCCAACTGCCTGATTGATGATCTCTCGGCTAGGAGGTGTTTTGTCTGCATTGACATTTGAAGACCAATTGGAAGCTATAAATTGAGGTTGTGAAGAGTACTGTGCTTGAGTAATGTTTACAAATGTTGATGCATTGGTCACTGTAACAACTTCTGACTCGGAAAATGACTCTTGTAGAAGATGACCATCCTCATGCACAGATGAAACTTCAGGATTTGCCATTGCTTTGGAGGTCACCATAACTTCAGGCATATGAACTATTTCATCACTAACAACAACTACTTCTGGTGTGAGTTTTTTAGAGGGAGACGCAGCATCCTCAGAAGATGGAATGACTCCGTTGGTGTTTGTCGAAGACAGCTCAGAAACTCGACTGATATTTGTAGTCGTATCTTCTTGAGTTGAAGGCTCGTGTGGAGCATTACTAGCGGGCGACTCCACACCTGAATCAACAGCTTTGGGCGCTGGATCTTTTGCATTTGAAATTTCATTGTGTGACTTATTATGCAGACCTCCCAAGGCCATTTGGTCAACACATTTTGAATATGCAAAATCCACAGCAGAATCTAATAAGGCAGTGGCAGGTGCAGATTCACAGAAATAAGTTCTGCCTGCTGCTACAGGCAGTTTGGAGGCCATATTCAGAGAAGAACCTGTTACTGCTTCTACATCTACAATGTACAGAACAGGTTTAGTGTCCACAGGAGTAGCAGATTCTGAAGAACCTTCCACATTAACTTTAGCTGGGAGGGTGCTGGTAGAAGTTTGAACTTTAGCATTGGAAACAATGGTTGCTTTGGTATCACTCTCGTCATTCAATTGATTTGGTGTAGCCGGTTTGGTTGTACTTGTAGCAGCAGAGATCACTGATTGTTTCCTCTCTTTGGTCTCCTTGGTCTTTTGCTGCAGTAATCTGGCAATATCGATTATAGTTTTTGGTTTCGCTTTCTCTAGGGTAAAGATAACATTGTATTAATGTATATAACAGAAGCAAGAAAAAAAAAAACACTCATATAACGATCCCCTGAATTCTGTGCACAAAGCAACTGTGTGATTTTGCCAAGTAAGACATGTTCGTGAACAACATTCCTGTCCGAAAATTTTGTCTTAACCTTATCCCTACCCCTAACCCTATCCATAACTGGTCCCTGAAATCAGAGGGAAATATAGGGGAATAACGCTGATGTAGAAACACCTAACCCTGGCTGTAAGTTTGGTTGATTGGAATTGTTGTTCCAGGATCAACAAAGATGCTGGGCCCGTATTCATAAAGAATCTTAATGCAAAGAGTAGCTCCTAGTGACAAAATTCTAAGAAAATTCTTAGAAATGTGGGCGTTTACTCTTAAAATTAAAGAAAAAATCCTAGTAAAGAAAAAAGTAATTCAGAAAGTATCTTAACCCTTAAAAGAGGTCTTAAGGTCAAAATTGTTAGGAGTACGGACGAGGACTTTTAAGAGGCTTAAGAGTTTCTTTACCAGAGGAGAAAATGGCAGAAAGACGAAGAGGGAGAAGAAATGTGTTGCAGACAATGGATGACAGTGAGTTAATAAGACGCTATAGATTGACACCCGGCCCGAATTTTCCTTTAAGTATGGCCTTGTGTTCATCCACTAACTGGGCTAAGAGTAAACACTGTTCCTCTGTCCAGTCGGGCTTTCTCTGCCTTCTTGGTTTTGATTCCATGTTTGTTACATTAAAACCAACATTCAAACCACCACTCAAATAGACATGCCAGCAATCAGTGTAATTGGAAAGAGTGGAACAATTTTTATCATTCTAAGCCAATCAAATACCTTATAGGAAATTAACAGCATGGTAAATAAAATAAAAGGATTTATATACACATATATAATGTGTGTGTGAGAACGGTCAAATAGGAAAAATTATGCATGTAATTTCAAAGTGAAGGTTTAGAATAGACCCTATACTTAAAATCACTCTTATTTTTCCTTCTTGGACAACCAACCAATCACAGTCTTCAAAAGATTGTGTCATACATAGCAACGGGGTCAACCCCGCCTCCTCACTAAGATGAAAGCTTTTTGTCTTTTCCTTACTCAGAGTCGCTCTCAGTTCAGTCCCGAATTGCTCTTAAGCTAAGACTCCTACATAAAAGTTTTAAAGCTAAATTAAGAGTTTTCTGAGAGGATTCTTAGAAACTTTATGAATACGGGCCCTGATGTTTTCAACAAAATCTTAAATCTTAAAGTCACAATGAAATCAAAATTGACAAATTATTTAATGGCATATTGCAGTATTAATTATTAATGATTTATCTGTGCAATTTTATTTATTATGTGCCCTTGTTTTCTTTCATCAAAATAACCTCGCCTTACACTTGCGGTGACATCTCTATTCATGTCATGCTGATTTTTAAAATAAAGTTTTAGGTTCTCCAAAGAACCTTTCAGTGAAAAGTTCTTAAAACAACCACATTTTTCTTAGTGCGAAACATTTTAATAATCTGAATAACCCTTTTCCAGTATAAAGATACTTTTGTGCAATGAAAAGGATCCATGGATTTAAAATGTTCTTCATGGATTCAATAAAGTACTTTTTATTTTTTTTAAGTTTATCAATATTCCTGAAAAAAATCTTAAAGTCAAACAAGTGCAATAAAACTCATGATAACTTACTTATACTTGTATATCTGACAGGCTTCTTGACATTATTTGCTTTGGTGCAGAGCGGCGTCAATAGAGGAACTTTCCAACCAGAATCGTCCAACCAAAGGAACTGAATTAAAGACACACAAAGTCATATAATTTGCAGCATAGATTTCTGCAATACTACTGCAATCTTTACATTAGCTGATATTTGAACATATATTATAAGATATTTGTAGAGATTTGAACAAAGCTGTACAAATTCTTGTATGAGAGGTTTTAGCGCTTTCCACAAATTTGAGATTTTTTTGGTTACATTTATACTTATAAAACCAAAAGATAACTTATTTCTGAATACTGAACTATTTGCCATGCTGCCAATCAAAATGATAGGTGTCACAATTGTATGGGTTTTATTACATTTTTGTTAATAATTAAAATATTATTATTATTATTTGCAATGGATGACATAGCAGTGCAACAGTTTATGGGAAATATTTAATACTTTGCTTCTTTACTGATTTGAAAACAATTACTGGGCACAAGGTAGGCATCTTTACACAGCTGAGTTAAGGCTGCTCTGTGCCTGCTCAAAATTCTGTGTTAAGACGCAATGCAGCATAAAAGCCAGATTAAATTATGCCTGCTCTGACCCACCTATATGCAGTTAATTGTGTAAATGCATTTATGCCACCTCTGAGCAGCATTAAACAGACTCTGTAAAGACACCTAATTGCCACTTCAGAAGCGCTTCTGTGCCACCTTTGCCAATGCAATGCCATATAGTTTTGGTAAGCGCCTGTTCACAATTTTGATAGCGTTCAACTTTAGTGACAGTAATGAACATGTACCTTCAAAACCCTAAAACGCCGAACTCTCTGGAAGGACATTATTGCGAACATCCCTCAGAAGTCAACACTTGATGGCTCCTTTTATGGCGGAGAGAATAAACAGTTACAGGATGAAGACAGTGAACGTGCAATTTGCAAAGCAAAATACTCGAGTTTTCTCTAACCAAGAGTATAAAGCAGTACGAAAAATTGCCCTTGTGTTAACCCAGTGTTTTTACCCTTTCAGCGCTTTGGTGTTGCTCTCTTTCGACTCTTCGACAGTGTTTTCATAGACACCTCTTGTTTACGTGTCAATCGGAAATCAGGACACGCCGTTCAACGGGATTACAATTGAATTAAGGCTCTCATTTAACAACGGCAGTACAGACGATACAAGCAGGATTAGTGTTCCATAAAGAAACAAAAAGTATACATAAACTTAATCAAGTAGTTGTTCAAATTGTTCTGTGAAGCCAAAAGAAGTTGCGTAATCAGACTGACACGCCCTCACATGGTGCGCGTGCCAGTACGTAAGTCGCGTGCCACTGTGAAGTATTTTCTTTTCTCTCTTCTTCTCATGATGTAAAAAACAGTAAGACAAAATAGACCTTACCAAAAAGTAAAATACTTTGATATATGGGAGCTGACTTGAAATTTTCAAAGAAATCCATTGTATTATTTTTTACTAAACATGCATGCTGTTTTTGATAGTGTAGTAAACACTGTATTCAACGAAAAAAACTACGTGTACCACTACATGACAATAATTTGGACGACGATACCTTGGTCCAATTGAGTTTTATTTGCAACATAAAGACAACACACTGCTTCTACATTGATAACAATACGCTGTTATCAACATATTTACTTCTCAATTTGTAATATATTATACTCCATTCAAAGTTTTAAACATAGACACATATATTACTGTTCAATCAATGGGACTTCATTAAAAAATAATGAAGCTGGGGGCAAATCTTCTGGTCTAAAATGTACAGTGTGCGTGATAAGAGATGAGGGAAGGTCAGGAGAACAAGAGAAGAGATGACAGCGGATAAAAGGAAAGATGTCTGACCATGACCCCTTGCATTGTCTAAAACACACTTCTGGATGTGGTTTGGGAAAGTGACCCAGCAGAAAGCATTCAAAGCACTATAAGTCACTCTTTCTCACATATACGCACATACACACACATAGAAAAACCGAGTGGAATAACTTGCTGGCCCCACAATAGCTGTTTTCCTTGATCACTCTGGCATCTCACTAGCACAGCAGTGGAATATTAATGTGTGTATTGCATCTAGACAGGAAAACACACACACACTCACACAAAACAGATCCCTGTTACAGTCCAAAAGGAAACAGCACTTTTCTCAGGCTCAGTAGTTTGATAATTGAGGGTGAAAATAAGTGAAAATAACCCTCACAAATTCAATATTTCATCCTCTATGTAAAGAGAGCTCTTTCTGGAGAACTGAAAGTATTTGCAGCAGATATGAGTGATGATTGATCCCTTTGCTCTCTGGTTCATGTAGGATTGTTTCAACGTCATTTCTACATGCTGCAACCTTCCAAAGTTTTAGCACTATATCCCATTTTTTTTTGCAAATAAACAACAAAAAAAGCAAGTATGAACAATTAAAATATGAACTGACATCTCGCATTTTTACAAATATGACAATAGTTACAGTGTTGATCACTAATGCCTAACAACAGGACAAGAATAATAAAAAAAAAAATCAACATACATCAATCAAAAACAAACTGTGATCTCATTAGTAATGCAGTTTCAAACTTAAATACAGTACTATTTTAAATAGTTTACTTTGTGAGGTACCACAATAAAACTACCAGTAAGAACTGAAGAAAATCTGGCTGAATTATTGCTAAAATCAAAACTCATGCAGCCACCACATATTTTCACCGGTTATATTAGTAGTTCAGGGATATTTCAGAGATATTTGACACGTCAGGTTCTTTTACGAGGAAATGTCCCTTGAGACCGGCAATGATATTTCTGTGAGGCCTCTGAGATGTCCCATTCTCAAAAACATAAAAAATAAATAAAAGTTACATAACAAAAGATACTGAAAAACACATAACAATTTCCAAAACAGTCTTTCCATGGAGCATTTGTGGCTGTATCTTCTCGAGACTTTCTGCAAATTTTCCTGAAGATGCTCACGTTTAACGGTCCCTCAAAAACAAACATCTTGAGTACATTCAGTTGTTAAACTGTCACCAGTATCTTTCAGTAAAAATAGATGAAAAAAATAAATAAATAAAATAAATGAGTCGGTTGACACTAGAAAGCTTTGCCAACAAAACCTGGTCTTAGTTTTTAGTGTTAATGACAGAAATAATTTAATAAAAGTTGAATTGGGTGAATCTCACAAAAAAACATGTCCAGCTCACCCCAAAATAGTTTGCATTAAAAAGTGAATTTGTTTAAATAATTTCAAATTTTTTTTTTTTCATTACAGTTATAAGAATGAGATTTTGTTAATAAGAGATTTATGAGACTCACCCATAATGAGATTTTCACTGGAATGGCACATCATTTGTAATAATTCTGTGTATTCTAGAATGAAGACCTCCAAGAATATATAACGTCAAATGGCACTACTGTTCCCGGGTCATTAGAGCGTTAAACAACTACTGTATGCTTGACTCTTTAAGACTCACAGCATCCTGAGACATCCTTCACATCATTGCAGAACTGAAATTTCTCCTCTACACTGCATCCTTCATTTTCACTCACACACTTGACTTGTCTTGAAGCGGTACCTAGGACAATAAAAATCCAATCGGGTTGGTTGGATTGATTAAGACTGTTACAGCATTTTGCAGACTCACAGATGCTTGTGCAAATACACACATTCACACACTGGGATTTATGATGCTGGGTGGAGTGGGATTGTCACATTAGGCTGGTGGGCTTTCACCACGGAGGAGTAGCGGATATGGAATCTGGGGGTCAAATGGCCAGGTCATACAACATGGGTCAGGGTTCGTCAAAGAGCTGAAGGTCCAGTCGCACCACAATCTCTCCCGTAGGGACTTCGTGTAAAAGCAGACGCTTGGTGATGGGGCCCTTCGAGCCCTGGTCCTTCTTGATGTCGGCCAGCCGAATCTCTGTCCTGCCCAAGAAATCTAACAAGACAAGAAATGGAATGGGGTGAAAGAAAAAATGTATGTGGTTATGATTGCACACTACTGTTCAAAAGTAAGATTTTCAAACGTCTTTTTTGTTCACCATAGCTGAATTTATCAGATCAAAAATACAGTAAAACAGCAATATTGTAAAGTATTATTACAATTTCAGTATCACATGATCCTTTCGGAAATCGATTTCTTCTGCAACATTCAGATGGTCGGGTCAGAATTTGCCGTAAACAACATAACATCCTGCCTTGTATTAGCGGTTCAGGCTGCTGCTGGTGTAAAGGATATTTTCTTGGCAGACTTTGGGCCCCTTAGTACCAATTAAACGTCGTTTAAACGGCATTATCTTACTGAGGCCATCCTTAAAAATATTTGGGTTTGCAGTAACAGAAAAAAAGAAAAAGAAAAAAAGGTCTATAAGTAGGTAGGTCTATATATTTTTTTTTTCAAGATTCAATGTAAAAAAAAAAGGACAATTTTTGTCATGGTGATTACGTCGGTATGAATTTAAACAAATTTGCATGTCGTGACGTCACTGACTGGGTCTTCAATCCATGCCTTTGGGCACACCATTGCGAACCTCATTCTGATACAGGTTATAGACCACAAACAATTTGAAATCTTTGTCAAAAAAACATATTTATTGCATTAATTTCAGCTGCATTCATTTGGGGAAAAAATAGGCAGAATCAATAATAAAAAAAAGAAGCCACTAGATTTCAATGAAAGTGGATTTTCAGAGGGAAACAAATAAATTAAAATGACTATTCTCACCAGCGCTGCGCCGACCAAAAAAACAGGGCATTTGCCAGTTTGGCACCATTCGTTTACATTTGACCCATAAACCTCTGCTATTATTAACGGAAATCAGTGAGGTGGTCAAATGGCTAGGCGCATTGTAGAAACTATAGGCCTATTAAGTAGTCCTGACATATTATGGAATGGTCGATTTTCTTTAGTGCAATTTAGTAGCCTACATTTCGGTATGGGATGTGCTGTTTTATTGGTCAGCTGGTGAGATTAGTTCGCTGGTGAGATTAGTTCGCGCCACGCTGACCATTGGGTGGCGTAAGCAAACACTTCCTTAAAGGAGCTGTATGTAAGATTGTGGCCAAAACTAGTACTGCAATCACTTTCAAATTACTGTAGAGTGGTGTATCCCCTCCCCCTCCTCCCTGACTCGAGGTTGCCAGATCGGCTGCAGGATCCAGCAGGAACGTGACGAGCTGCAGCTGTGGTAACTAGAGCAGAGCTGGCAACCCGGATGCCGCAACACTACTGACTTTGTGATTGGTCGATAGGTGGAGGGTGGAGCATCAGACCAAAACACAACATGACAACATCAACATCAGTTGAGGGCTGCAACTGCACTTTTTAAATGACAATATCCTGGCCAGACTACTGTTGTCAGTGATATAAGTATTTGAAATGTACATGATTTCTTAATGTCTAGTGACATTTCAGGGCCATTTTATGATTAATTGAAATAAATTTCTTACATACAGCTCCTTTAAAAGAAAGAACGTAGCCTACGCAATTTATATTCACAATATTTACTATAATATCAATTATATTATTTTATTGCATTTGTATTAGTTGTTTTTTGAAGAGTAAAAAAAAATCGCTCGGTCTTAATGCAAGTTTACAACCGGCAAGTCGGTCGAACTAAAAGGAAAAAATAATAATAATAATTGGGTCGGTCCTAATTTGACAGGGTCGGTCGGGTTACGGCAAACAAGAATATTTTTAAGGATGGCGTGAGTATTGTTTCTGACCATGTCAATCCCTATTTGACCATAGTGTATCATCCTCTGATGGCTACTTCCAGCAGGATAATGCACCATGTCACAAAGCTCAAATCATCTCAAACTGGTTTCTTGAACATGACAATGAGTTCACTAAACTCAAATGGCCTCCACAGTCACCAGATCTCAATCCAATAGAGTAGCTTTGGGATGCGGTGGAACGGGAGATTCTCATCATGGATGTGCAGCCGAAAATCTGCAGCAAATGCATGATGCAATCATGCCAATATGGACCAAAAATGAATCTATGCAATGAAGAATTAGGGCACTTCTGAAGGCAAAAGGGGGTCCAACCCGGTACTAGCAAGGTGTACCTAATAAATTGGCCAGTGTGTGTCTATACATATATATTATATGTGAGAGAACACATGTATAAATAAGCAAGTGCATATGTGAATGAGTAAATTTTCCATATACTGACCGTCCGGGGAGAACTGATCCCTCTCGAACACAGTGACACACAGCACATCCTGCTCCAGGTCTTTGATGAAGAACTGGCAGTTTGAGTTCCATTTGGGGTTCAGAGTGTCCTGTAGAGTCTTAGTGACGTGACACTGAGAGCCCATCGTCACCTCACAGTACGGGTTACTCTTACCTGCGCACAAAGGACATTTATGATATGCTTATAACGTAGTAAAGCACCTTATAGCATATAGTTTTAATTCTTTACCGTTTGAACGGCAGGGCTTTAGCTCAATGCCTTCAACAATGTTCACCATTAGCCGGCCAATACCAGTGGCCCTCTGAGACCTTACTGCAAACATAAAAGTAACACAAAACCAGTGCTTAGCAAACACTCAGAGCATTCATAGCTTTATTAATGCAGTGAGGCGTGTATAAGGAAATAAGTGAGACAGACCCAAGTAGGCCTTTTCTCTCTTCTTCTTCTCTGTTTCGATGAAAAGCTCAGAAGCGGCTTTGATCTTCTGCACCCAAGCCGTCCTGCAGGATGGAACAGAGGAACGTTGTCAAAATATGCGTGATTTACAGCATTTATAAGAGCGTTTGAGCACATATATTGCCGGATAATGGGTACAGATCTAATTAATAAACAAATAATTAGTAAATACCGCTCGTTGATGCTCTCAGCGCGAATAGTGTAGACTCTGTCTATGTGAGATATGTGGAATATGGGTTCATCTCCTGAAGGATCGGTGGGCAGCTTCACCAGCACCTCATTAAGAAAGATGGGCTGCAGAGGTCAACGAGTCAGGTTAAAGGTCAAAAGACCAAATATCATAATAAAGGTCAATGCAAATAAATAAGATCTTTAAGAATGTCTCACCGTTTTGTACATGCGATACTGCAGGTGGGATTTCGCACTGAAGACCTTGTCCGATCCAGACGAGCCCAGAGGTTTGATGATCTGCGTGAGGAGCAGGAAGTCGTTAAACAGGAAGCCGTAAAGCTCCTTGTTGCTCTTGGCTTTGTAGAGTTTTCCACTGTGTAGAAATTTCCGAGGGCCCAGGCAGTTTGTAACCGAGTTGAACACAAGTTGCTGTAAAGAGAGAGAAACTTTTATTGTAATCAGATTTGACCTAGATCGTCACGAGGACAGCTTGACAAATACACACTACCATTCAACCATATCATTTTATGATGCGAAATCAATGTAAACACAGTCAGTAATGTCTTAAAGGATTAAACAGTGAGGACAAACCAGGTCTTATATTTCAAAAGAGATCTGTGCATTAGATACGATGACGCAGAGGCTCACGCTCGGGCTCTATGATTGGGTGTCATCAGTCATGACGTATCCTTCCCTGATTCGTCAGCCACCCATCACATGTCAATCCATTTCCTGTTTACACCGGCATGCGCATGCCCAGTGTTGGTGAATGGTCACGTGATCCGCGTTTTCAGGCGTTTTAATGTGGACGGAGATCAATTCTAATACGCAGATAAAACGCTGGTGTGGACGGAGATCGTATTCGTTTTAATTCTCCGTTTTTAAACGAAAACGCAGTAGTGTGGACGGGGCCTTAGTGTGAATGCTGCTTATCAGATCTCCCGCAGTCTATGATGTCATCAGTAATAATCAAACAGTAAAGATGAGAAAGAGAAAAATCACTTACAGATCTTGAATGGAAAACGCTGAAAGCACTCTTTGTTTATTGCTTGTAATGTTTATTTATTCCTCTTTATTATTTACTACTTGCTTTTGTTTTGAAGCTATATTCGTTTATATATTTAAAATTCTTAACATACAATCGTTTTAATTTGCAATTATTTCAAAAAGTGCTTATGATTACATATGTAATTAAATAAAAAAACGATTTTAAGATTTAAGTCAGTAAACGAATTAATTAATAAGAAAAAAAGTAGATTATGAATCGTTTTGGAATCGGATCATGACTCCCAGAATCGGATCAGATCGTGAAAGATTGATTCCCACCCCTATTCGTTAATGGATTTCTTTTACTGGTGCGCAGAACAAAATAATCTCTTTTCAAAATATTGGAAAGCTAATTAAATACAATCCACTGAAAAATTGTTTCACTTTACTGGGTGACAGCCTATAGACTGTGTTTAAGCAGCAGGTTTGTGTTCTGATACCTCGGACAGCCCCTCACACTGCACATGTGCCTGGATCCACTCCAGCCGGTCTGAGTTCTCTTTCTCACGCACGCCTTCGTTGACCTGCGAGCACAGCTCTTCAGCTTTCTCCAGAGCCAGCCGCAGGTGACTGTGGTCCGGGTGGCTTTCTGGAGTGTTCTCTATAATCTGTGTGTGAAGCGAGAAGAAACATGAGACGATGCTCCCAGATACATGAAGCCAAAGGGATGTGATGTGAACATTATGGAAGCTTGTTTCCGCCACGGAATAAAAAAAAATAAAGCAATTGCGACTTTTTATCCCTCGCAATTACGAGTTTATATCTCACAATTCAGACTTTATAACTCACAATTGAGAGTTTATATCACATTTCTGAAAAATAGTCACACATAAACTCGCAATTCTAAGAAATAAAGTCAGCAGACAATTCTGACTTTATAACTTGCAATTGTGAGTTTATATCTTAATTCTGACAAATAAAGTCAATTGCAACTCGCAATTATAAGGAAAATTCACCTGACTTTTGGCTTTTTTCTTTATATATATATATTTCTTTATAGTTTTTATATCGCAATTCTGACTTTTTTTCACAATTGCGAGTTTATATATCATAATTCTGACGGTCTATTTTGCATTTGTGAGTTTATATCTCAATTCTGAGAAATAGTCACAATTGGAGAAGTAAACTTGCAATTCTGAGAAAAGGTCTGCTGTTTATATCCCAGAATACTTTATAATAATAATAATAAACTTTATTTTCTATAGCGCCTTTAAAAGTAACATCTCAAAGCGCTTCACAAAAATAAGAAAAAATAAAAGAGAAATACAACATTTTAAAAGAAAAGCATTCATAAAAGAGAAGTACATTCAAATACACAATACAAATATAAAATGTTATCAAAAGAGTTCCATAGAAAAAATTGTTAAAGAAATCAAATAAATGCTACCCTAAAAAAGAACGATTTGAGGGAAGCTTTAAAAACACAGCAAATGAAGAGAAAGCCCCATCACCCATAGATCTTAAACGAGTTGGCGGGACAGTTGAAAGACCAGCTTCGGAGGAGCGGAGAGCACGTGTTGGGATGTACGGGATTAAAAGTTCTGACAAATATTAAGGAGCCAGGCCATGCAAAGCCTTATAAGCAAGCATGAGAATTTTAAAATCAACACGAAACCTGACAGGAAGCCAGTGTAAAGACTCCAAAATAGGAGTGATGTGATCCCTAGTCCTGGTCCTAGTCAGGATTCTGGCGGCAGAATTTTAAACAAACTATACTTTGTTTAGAGTAGCTTTTGAAACGCCGGCCAGTAGAGCGTTGCAATAATCAATGAGAGAAAATACAAAAGTGTTAATTAACTTTTCAGCCACCAGAAATGACAACATAGGACGTAGCCTGGCAATGTTTCTAAGATGAAAAAAATATGTTTTATTATAATATATATTTAATATGTTAAATTAGCATCAAATATAACTTATCAAAAATAAGAAGTTTTTATTTAGTTTGAAACTCTAAATTAGAGCCATCCTCATTTAAAGTTAAAGACCCAGCTTTACGTAGCTGGTGGGGTGAACCAATGAGTATAACCTCAGTCTTGTCACTGTTTAGACAAAGAAAATTTCGAGATTTTTTATTTTTATCTCAGAAATGCATTGAGACAGAAAGGCAACAGCCATATTATCATCAGGTTTTGAATGTATGTAAATCTGAGTATCATCTGCGTAAAAATGAAAGTTAAGACCAAGTGATCTTAAAAGTTGACCAAGTGGAAAAATTTAGATGCAAAAGAGTAAAGGGCCCAAAATTGATCCTTGAGGAACACACCAGATTTCACCACACCAACCTCAGACGTACAACCACCCACAGCAACAAACTGCTTTCGATCTGAAAGGTATGACTTAAACCAGTTTAGTGCAGTATCAGAAACACTAAAGACAGACTCCAAACGGTTGATTAAAAGAGAGTGATCCACTGTGTCAAAAGCGGCACTGAGATCAAGAAGGATCAGGATCAAAATTGAAAGACAGCCAGAATCCGAAGCAACTAACAAATCATTTGTGACCTTAACTAATGCATGTTTCAGTGCTGTGGAATTTACGGAAACCAGATTGAAGGGGCTCAAAAAGACTGTTTGCAGTAAGATGAGAGTGTGCAATTGAGAAGCAACAATTCACTTTAAAAGTTTAGCAAGGAAAGGAAGATTGGAAATGGGATGGAAAGATTATCAAAGTCTGTGTTAGCTTTTTTAGGTACAGGGGTTACAGCAGCAATTTGAAATGCTGCTGGCACAACACCAGAGCACAGGGCGTCATTTATAATACTCAAAACAACAGGACATAAAGAAGCAAAACATGACTGAAACAGACAAGTCGGTATAGGACCAACAATGGAAGTGGCAGCTTTCATTTGTGAAACTTCATTGCTAAGAGAATGAATGCCCAGTGTAGAGAAATTTGAGAGAGAGATACCAGAAAAATCTGAAGTATTTAAAGGAGAAACAGACGAAGGAGTAGTGATAATCCATTTACGAATACACTCAATCTTCGAGCTGAAGAAATCAGGGAACCTACCTATTACAAAGGTGAATTGAAGCAGGGACATTTGATAGACTGTCATATTTGAGCAGAAGGCACAAAGGAAACAGATTTTATCTCGCAATTGCGAGTTTATATCCCACAATTCTGTCTTTTCTCTCGCAATTGCGTGTTTATATCACACAATTCTGTCTTTTCTCTCACAATTGCGAGTTTATATCCCACAATTCTGTCTTTTCTCTCGCAATTGCGTGTTTATATCCCACAATTCTGTCTTTTCTCTCGCAATTGCGAGTTTATATCCCACAATTCTGTCTTTTCTCTCGCAATTGCGTGTTTATATCCCACAATTCTGTCTTTTCTCTCGCAATTGCGTGTTTATATCCCACAATTCTGTCTTTTCTTTCGCAATTGCATTTAAATCCCACAATTCTGTCTTTTATCTCGCAATTGCGTGTTTATATCCCACAATTCTGTCTTTTCTCTCGCAATTGCGTGTTTATATCCCACAATTCTGTCTTTTCTCTCGCAATTGCGTGTTTATATCCCACAATTCTGTCTTTTCTCTCGCAATTGCGTGTTTATATCCCACAATTCTGTCTCTTCTCTCGCATTGCGTGTTTATATCCCACAATTCTGTCTTTTCTCTCGCAATTGCGTGTTTAAATCCCACAATTCTGTCTTTTCTCTCGCAATTGTGTGTTTAAATCCCACAATTCTTTCTTTTCTCTCGCAATTGCGTTTAAATCCCACAATTGGCTTTTTTCTCGCACTTGCGAGTTTATATCCCACATTTCTGTCTTTTTTCTCGCAATTGTGAGTTTATATCCCACAATTGATTTTTTTCTAGCAATTATCCTGCAATTCTGACTTTTTTCAGAATTGTGATATAAATTAGCAATTCTGAGAAAAAAAGCCAGAATTTTTAGCCAAACTGGTAATATAATAAGAAAAAAAATCTAAATTCTTTATGTGCTTTTATAGATGACAGAGTTGTGTTTGTTTTCAATGTGCTGTTGGTTCTTCATACAGTAGTTAGGAAATAGTCAATTAACTAGATTAGGAGCATGTACGTACATTTTTGATGATGAGCGGGTATCGGGTGACTCTCTGCATGGGTTTGAGAAGGAAACTTGACAGAGGCATTCCCTTACAGCGAGGGTCCATCGCCAACCTCTGTAAAACATGCATATATTTTCTTCATGCAGGATTTTCTTCAGAAAATATAAAATTCTTGTTAAAATGCTTTAAAATGAGGTGTATTTACAATTAAAATGTGCAAACAAAAACACAACAAAGAGGGAAACTGGACAAAAAAAACTCCTTAATTAAGTGTCACAACATATCACTATGGATTAACCGGATGACTGTCCGCTAGTCTCACCTTAACAAAGTCTTTGAATTCGGGCACCTCGTCTGTTTTCTGCTGAATGAGGGTGGCGCCGTTGAGCTGGCAGCTGCAGAAGCGGATGTATGGCTGCATGTGAACAAGCTGAGCGGTTAGGATGTCACCAATCATCTTCACCGGCATGCGCTCACCTGACATCTTCTTCCTCACCCGCAACGCCCTGGAGAGACACAGTTAGATAGGGCATTCTGGGTAAGCCACGTAATGTTCATTATATGGAATTACATCAGTTCTTTTCATATAGTTGTCGTAACATCTGTTTAATAAAGCTGTGAAGTGTGAATATTTAATTAATTGTCCTGACATGCCACATTACTTAACTGATGCACTGCATTCTGATTAATGACTTTAGAGCAATAAACAAAGAGGGAGCTTAAAATCAGGAGTTAATTGCATGGTGACTAATGATGAGGTAAAGGATATCACTGTATTAACCAACAGGTGGCGTACTTGAGCAGTTTGATGTTGCACATGATCAGCTCTTTCCAGTTGACAAAGATCATGGCCACCTCCTTCTCCGTCAACAATTCCGAGTCCAGCAGAGGCTTCTGGAAGGTCTGAAAGCAAACCATAAATATACATGTATACATTTTTTGTCCTATATGAAATTCTATCTATTAACTACATTGCGAACTAGCATAATATGGATAATACACATTCAGTAAATGGCATAACCTCAGCTATTCCTACTTCCTGGCATGACTTTATACTGAACATCATTCAGACAACAACCCTGACTAGGCTGTTGATCTTTGCCAGTCTACAGCTGATTGAACTGTAATTTCCTGCGAGTTTTACCTCAGTAACTAGCTGCAGGTCATTGACATAGTTCTCCTCTGTAACAATAAGTTCATGTATGTATCCCTGTCTCTTCCGTTCCACTGGCGTCAGCATGTCAAGCAGGTGGAGGTCGGCACACCCTGTGAGACGCACAGAGGTCATGCAGTCAAATCTCATGCTTAGATTAATACATACAATTTTTGAATAATTAGTACATTAATTCAGTTACAACAAGCTGATATTACAGTCACACTTTATATTAGGAGTTTTTAACAACTATGTACTTATTGTGTTGATGTTGTATTGCAAATAAGGTTGGGGACAGCCTTGGTGTTTGGTATGGGTAAGGGTCAACAGTGTAATTATGGATGAAATTACAGAAAATAATAATTTGTACAGTGTTTTTTATTATTATGTAAAAACATTTATGTACACAATCGTATCAAATGATTAATTTAAATGTTAGTACATAGCAGTTAAAGACACTTAATATAAAGTGGGACTTTGGTAAGAATAATGCTGGAAATAAATGCTGATTTGTTTTTTTCAAATTTAATTTTAAGTAAGGAATAAAGTACGATCATTACCTTTAAGTAAAGGGCCCGACATGCTTGTAACACTTATATAAATACCTGGACATGCAACATTGATTTGAGTTGAACTTACTTTATTATGTGAGAAGAAAGAGATGGCGGAGTGATACGAGCAGTTATGCATGAACACGCTCGCTCAATTATACAAAAATATTTGACAGCAGAATGCTGCGATTGTCCAATCAGAATCAAATGAAAGCCGTTTAGGAAGGCAAACTGATTGTTTATTCACTCCTATAGAATATCCATGCAGGTATATTGCTCTAGCAGTTCTCATTTCTTGCCATATGTGCGGCTCATGAATTAAATGACAGCATTATGCATTTAATAAGTAACAGTCACTTCCTCTGGTAAAGATTAAAAATAAATAAGCCAGTCTGCAGTTGCCATGGAGTTCTTTAATGGTTACACATCATTTTTTATAAAGGTGGTATGACACTGTCTTTAAAGCTAGGAATTGATGTATATATAGTTGAGTTTTTAACTGTACATTCATTTTTTTTTTTTTTTTGATAAAATGCTTTAATCAAGTACAATGGTTAATGTTTTGGACATTGAGGTGAGATATTCAGAACAAATGCATTTTTTACAGAGTATTGCAAATATCCGATGGGAAAGAAGCAGTTGTGCTTCTGTAGTCCGAGGATGGTTATGTTCACTTAAAATAAAAACAAAAGAAAACCTTGCAACAGATTGATCACGGATATGATGGACAGTCCTTCCATCCAGCCAATAATAATAAAGCAGCACACTGTGGAACCAATGAAGAACCACACTAACATGAAATAAACTTGGAAGGAATTTCATGTCTTGTTTCTCAGCACTAAAAATTACAATACTGTTATGAGGCAGATAAAAAAGAGATTAAATCAGAGTTCATGTGTTGCAAGTACAATATCGTAGGATTAAAAATTAATGCCATGCTTTTTTCCTACACTGGATGAACAAATGGCCCAAAAACTCTTTTTTTTTGTTCTTATATGTTCAAGAAAATTCCAGTCTTTCATGTTGCATTTGTAAACATCTATTTATTCATAAGCATTTGTAATTAGAAGGGTATTAAGCTTATATTCAGTATGTTATTCTCTTTCCGTAATGCAATTTAGGGTTTCACTCAAAGCATGACAATTAAATTTCATAAAATTTGGACTTTCTAAATGCTCTCTACTCACTACTTGTACTTTTTATGTTTTCCAGTAAAAAGGACGGTGTACATACTGCAGTGGATTTTTTTTTAAACACTATGCATAACTGTTTTTGATCATTATAAAAATAGTGAGCTGTTGTATCAAGAACAACTTAAAATCTAGTGTTCTCAAATCAACAACATTTCAAAAATAATTGCAAGTTCAATCAACATGACAGAATGATGACAGCAAACGATTGAGAATACAAAACAAAAGCATTCATCCATCTATATGGGAAATACATTTGTACAAGCGATGAACCCCCAGAAAACCCAATCATTTGAGGGAACCCTTCACGAGTACGTCCCTTACAGCAACATTTGATCCTGTACATGTACGCACTTTGTCTATCACTGTACCATTAACCTTAAGTGGCAGTTGTGCAGTTTTTTGGTTTGCAACACCAATTCTCAACCCCATCACAGACACAACGAAACAATCGAAATGAAAAACAAACAAAACAAAAACAAAGAACAAAACAAGAGACTAGCAAGCACACAAATAAATCCATCCACTGTTTTGGTATGAACATGTAACAAACAATGACACAGAGAGGCATGTGACTGGACCGGATGAACGGAGACGTCCATCTTGTCCGTCAAATTGACTGACAGCACCTGTGTGTATTGGAAGGGGTGAGGGGGGAGGGGTGGTTCTGAATGACACACAATAGTATTCTACATGAAGTCCACACATATCCGACCATTTGGGGACATGGTAAATACTTGGTTTCACTTTTTAGACACATTTTGGCAACCAAAAAGAATGACATCTTGATATTTCAATTGGTCGGATATGCTGTACACATCGCTGTCTCAATTCCACACATTAGAGCCTTGATGAGTTGGCAATGACACTAAAAAGCACGTCAAGTTATGACACGTTTGATACTGCACCCCTTACGTCATGACTCATGAATAGTGGGTCATTCTGTGGTGCTATGGTCCATTGAGAAACCATGGGGGCGGGGCTTGGTGGAGCGAAAAGCGTGCATTAGTTGGATGAAGCGGTGGAACTTAACACTGAATGGAACCATTTTGATTGGTTGCTTCAAAACAGCTTTTTTTACCAACAGGCTTTGGGGCGAGATCACAGAAAGCCACAAAAGGACCCACTATCCAGCACTTTCATTTGATTAGTGTTTCAATTCATTGTACAAATTCAGTGTGAATGATTAATTTCATGAATTTGTAAAAGAAAAAAGGAAAGAGATCCTTTAAAATATTAGGCATTCTTGTTTATTTAATTGCTTTAATGCGGAGGATGCTGGCTGGCAATTTTGGTGAGCGTCTACGGTTCTGAATATTGAGGTTAACGACTGCTCTCTGTAGTATTCGTCTCTTCTGGCCACAAAGCCAGCTGTGGGGGGGGGGGGCAGTCACATGATCAATGTTCCATCTCCCATCATCCCGCTGGACACAGTTTAAGGGATAGTGGGTCGCTTTGAGGACTTTCAAGGCTGAGTGGGATATGGGCAACATAAGAGTCCTAGAAAGAGGAAAACACAGCACATAAGCCAAAAAAAGAAAAAAAATCTAAAGAAAAAAGGAAAGAAAAGAAAAGAAAAACCACAATGTGCAAAAATCTTTACGAGCTAGGAGAACTAAATGAACTCGGCAAGACACTCTTCACAGGACGCCACAATGACAAGGACACAAGCATGCAGAGAGAGAGAGAGAGAGAGAGAGAGAGAGAGAGAGAGAGAGAGAGAGAGAGAGAGAGAGAGAGAGAGAGAGAGAGAGAGAGAGAGAGAGAGAGAGAGAGAGAGAGAGAGAGAGAGAGAGAGAGAGAGAGAGAGAGAGAGAGAGAGAGAGAGAGAGGAGAGAGAGAGAGAGAGAGAGAGAGAGATGAGATTCTACTTAATGCTCTACAACATGAGGTGAGAGGTTGCTTGGAAGCAGGAAGTGGAGAGGCTTCAGTGTGGCAGAGGATAAGGACTGGCCATTGGACACTATAACTCACCACACTGTGAGGACATAACTAAAACTAATTTTGAGAAGGTCCTCAAAGATGTGAAAGAAATGATTGTTATGAGGTATTTTAGATCACACTGGTACTGGATGTTATCGGTGACGCTTCAAGCCAATTCGTTTCTCATAGGTACATGAATTTTCAGAATCGTATCATCTGTATTTTGTTTTTGAGCAGGATAGAGAGAAGTTCAGTGTGAGCGTGTGTATAAGATACAAAAGAACATTCTGGACTCACATTGTTGGCTGGGGTCTGTGTCGGTGGTCATCTTGACGTAATTTGATGGGAAAAGGCCAACAGAACCATTTAGCTCTCCTTTCCACCAATCAGGATCCTCTCTGCTCAAAACATTGATGATCTGGCCCTTCCCGAAAGGCAGCTCGTCATCATTCTGAGCTGTGTAGTCATACATGCCAATCACCTGGCACACTATGGAGGGGGAAAATATGCTCATGTATAATGTATATATAGTTAAGAGTAGATTACCTTTATTTATCAACCATGACAACATGCAAATACTATTAAAACAAACTTGTTAATGATGTGTAGGTTCCTTACTACAGCATAGCACTATAACCTAGCTCTGTACTAAATGACATTAGACAACATGCTCAAACTCGACAAACTCTTTTTAATTATGAGAAGAGCAAGAACAAAAGAGAACATTTTCAAGCGAAACCACTTTCTTTAAATGTACAGCAAGTTCTGTACCTGCATTGGGTGTTGGTAGCTTGGGTGGGTTGGGCTCTGTGGGTGTGGTCTTACTGGTGCTGGGGCTCAATAATTTTACATAATTAGCTGGAAACCAGCCAATCTGACGCTTCTTTCCTCTTGCCTGCAGAGATCAGTAGCAGTGGGCCATTAAAATGAATTTGAAGTAAAAATTTAGCATTCAATCTGAATAAAAACGATTTATGAGGAAGAGCGATATCTCACGGTTATCATCATATCACTCCACATGTACAAATGTAAAAAAAAAAAAATAACATTCAATAAATCAAAGTACAAAGAGTAAGTATAACTACAAAGAACCAAATATGTCACTTTTATAACTAGATTATATTAAACGTTTTATTAGTAAATGTTTTAAGTAAAAGGTGTGTGTTGCTGTGGTAGAAAGTGTGGGTGCATTTAATAGCATGTCTCCGAGTGTGTTTTTCAGACCTGAAGTTCTCCTTCCCACCATCCTCCTGGGTTTTTCTTGCGAATGAGAATGAGCTGGCCTGGTGCTAGGGTGAGCTGCTCCGCCCCGGTGGCTGTGTAAGGGGCGATCACCTGGGCAATCTCTGAACGCAGACGGAGAACAGTTAAAAGGAGAGAAGAGCTGAAGCATTGGACCGATCTCTAATAAAATGCTGTTATGGTCTAATTTTGGTCTCAGAGTTCAGTTATGAAGGACACAAAACTGATGCTTAATTATTATTATTTTTAGATAAAACTTGAGCACCAGCACTCACCTGGTTTCTTCCCTAAACTTCCTGCTTTCCCAGCAGATCCCAAACCCTAGAAATTAAGTGGAAAGAATGCTATTGTCTATTTGGTTTTTGACTACAGTAATAACTTTTTGCATGCAATTGTATTTACATAGAAAGTACTGCTTATAAACACTTCAAATTCTAAGCCATTACCTCTGAATCTTTAGGTTTGACATAATTGGAAGGGAAGACTCCGGTCTTCCCGCCCACTGTGCCAGTCCACCAATCTCCTTCTTTCTTTGTGACCGTGATGACATCACCTTGCTGGAAGGTCAAGTCACCCTGCTCACTGCTTTCATATGTATACATGGCCACATACTCTGTAATAGACAAAATCACACAAAGACTTTCAGATACAAAATGATTAAGATGAGAGAGGAAGTTACAGATGATCCGTCGAGTTGTCGCTGGTATTCTGACCTTCTCCGAGGTCCGTGGGTTTGTTTGGAGAGGGGCTGGGTCTCTTAACACTGGGAGGGCTGTCCGAAGAGCCAGACTCAATACTGAAACAGAACAACAGCATTCATATACTCAACATCACAGTCCGGATGAAACACCTAAGCAAGCATTCAACATCACTCTTAGGAATAAAAGCCAACAGGTACTATACAATGGAGTCTGGATTAAAGTATTTTTACATACTACCAATGATTCAATATAGGCCTAGCACAGTTTATTATTATATCCAGAGGTATAGAGAAACTCAGTGCTAATAATAAACTGTGCTAGGCCTATATTGAATCATTGGTAGTATGTATAAATATTGTCGTGTTTGTGTACTATTAGTATGTGATTAGAACTTTTTGAATATATTTTCTCATTGATTATAGATTTATTATCTCCGCAGATTTATTATTTTGTAGTTATCTCGTTAAATATGGTAGTAATGATATAGGGGTAGGAGTATATAAGTTTTACTTCTTCCTACCTCCTTTTGTGCATGTAAATAGAAGCCTTTAAGTTTTTGAAAGTATGGAGTTTTTTACTTTGTTGTTCATTTGTTTTGTTTTTCTATTATTAGTTTTTTTGATTGATTTTAATTTATTCTTATTTACATGTTCAAATAAATAAATACAAAAATACAAATACAAAGTAAATATAATTACAAATATCAATTATCATGAACTTCCCTTTCAATTAAACACCATGACTTTTAATTAAATTCCATTTTTCTAAGACTTTATGTTTATTAAAAAACATGACTTTTTGTTTGTTGTGTTTATTGTGCAAAGCTCGAAAAGTAATACACGATATTACAAATATAATTGTATTAAAAATCTATGATATTTTGCAGATACATTCACTGAAAACTGAATCAACATTTTAATAGGCTAACTTAGTGAATTTAGGCATCAATATTGACTGATGAACTATCCCCTGAAAAAAAATAATCCCTCTAATAGTAGCCAATAACCAATATAGTAATGATATAAGCGCAGAGATACACACCTCATAGATTTCCGGACGGGCCCAGAGATTAGTTTGACATAAGATTTTGGGAACCAGCCTCTCTGCCCTTGCACCTCTCCAAACCACCACATATCCTGCTGCTCCAGTACAGTGATCACGTCATTTTTGTTAAAGTTCAGGTGATTGTCTTTCTTTGCTCTCCATGGGTACAAAGCCTGTGCCTGCAGACCCTCCACCTTCTCACCCTAGAAATAAGGGAATGAAAATGAAACCAATAAAAAGATTAGTTTTTCAAAAAGACCCCAGTACCTAACCATAACTACCATCTTAAAGTTCCCTTATTATGCTTTTTTTGGTAGTGAAAAATAGCTGTTTGTGAATAAGTTTCAAAGCTCAAAGTGCACGATAAATGGAGTTATTGTCTCCCAAAAGAAAGAACCGATTCTGAACTGCTGAAATGAGTCATCAGTAGGGATGAGTCACGATCTTCGAATAGTCGAACTGCGTTCGAAATTCGATCATAAAATTGCTTATTCGAATATCGTTATATTTTCGCGCAATTCCAATGTGACATAATATTCCAAGCGCGCTGTGTATTTTTTATGGGCATGAGCGATGCTCCATTCACAAATGAATCACTCTTTTGAGTCGATTCTGTTCAAAGACTTCATCAAACAAGTTGGCAGATCTGTCTAAATCGGTTCGCGAATCAGTTTGAATGATCTGTTCAGTTTCCTCGCGCACTGAATCATCTGAAGCGCTTTCGATTCACACTCGACACGGAGTCGTAACAGGAAGATTTAAGAACATCAAGAGCGTTGGATGAAGTGGCCGTGGACCTACAGTTTAGTCTAGTGAAAGCAAATCTGCAAATGCATCATATTTTTGCCAGCGATGAAGATCTAGTTGAACATCTTCTTATGATGTCTGTGAATGAATGATTCCACAGGACGATACATTCTAGTTCATTTCATTCAGGTAATATATTTTACAACCAAACAGATTATTACTCGATGATAGCACTACAAGTATGATGACATTATCCGTTTTTTGGACATATACATTCAATTATAGGCTACATTAATTAAGCTACCATTGTCCACAGTTTATGAAATGAACACCCGCCATCCCGCGGTAATGTGTGTGTGTATTGCGCAGTGGCATCACACGAATAGTTTTGATTGAAACTAATTTGTTTAAAAAGTAACGTTAGGCTTTTGCAGTAACAAGGCAGGTTTGCATAAAATCATTATGACACTTTTTTTTATCTAACGAGCATCTGGTTTGGCGATGCAAAAACGGACTGTCGTGCTTATTGTTTTTTTCTTATGTTAACTACTGGTATGTTAAAAAAAAAACGACGAAAACATGTTAATTGTTCGATTAATAAACAGTTTGTTTGATGACAATTTGCTAAAGATGAAATTGGCCTCCCTTTCTGTCATTGTGAGTGTGCCTTTTTTTTCTTCTTTTTTTTTTTTTTTTTTTTTGAACGATAATTGACTTTTGCTCCTCAATTTTCGAATGTCATTTTTGGCAGAAATTCACATCCCTAGTCATCAGTAATTCCAGTCTTTCTTGCAGCACAAACCTACGTAGGTTTGTAACAAACTTGAATAATGCCAGCCTATGGCCATAGGCTGCTGTGAACGTCTACTTTGCCCTGCCCTCAAACACTGTAGTTGTAGCTGAGGCCTGGTAGAGTTAGGTTTGTGTTGTCGAGAAGACACAGTTTTCTGCGCTGTGAAAGCAAATCCACTTAGCATGCACTTCCAAAGGATGAGGACTCGGGCTTAAATTGATACAATAAAACCAACACCATCGTTATTGTTCGTATTACTGTGTATACTGTGTATTTCAGACAATGTTAGAAAAGAAAAGTAGAATGTATATTATGCATTATGTATATTATGAGAAATTAAAGTGTTTTGACCTTGGATGCATGTAAACCTATTATAGGAGAACTAAACAAAATTAGAAACCTTTAATATAGCATAATAGGGGCACTTAAACAAATGATGAATGCTATGATTCTTTTCATAAGCAGCAACAATGTAATAGCCTGAAATAAAGATGCCTTATATTTTTGAAAATATTGCAACATATTGCAATTTTGCATCTATACAGATTTACTCCTTAGTAGAAGTTGATAAATTGTAATAAGAATTTTACTGTAAATTTCCAATTCATGGAGAGGAGCAGTATTTGAGAGGGAATCTCATTTGCGTACCTGGCCGAGCACAGGTGAGGGTGAGGAACCGGAAAGCGTGGCAGGGGTGAAAGCAGAACGCTGTCTGATCTGCCCCCCACTGGGCACTGACAGGGACGGCTGAGTGGGCTGTGTTGGCCATGCATCCCATCCATCGCTGTCCTGCTTCTCCCCAGCAGAATTAGATGGCCATCTAAAGTCACATGAGCACAGAATAAAAATGGATGCAGATAAAACGCAGGCATATTTAAATGACAATATTCTGCCTGAACTGAGAAAAGGCATCTGTAAATATTTTGTCATGGACAAATTACTTACGTAGTGCTGAAATCTGCCCAGTTACTGGATGTTGAGGAAGAGGAGGAGGTGGGGCATGGAGGGGGAGGGGCTGAGGAGGGCGGGGCTATCGATGCAGGCTCTGTGGAGACTTGCTGTATGGGTGTGGTTGTGGTCGATGAAGAAGCGGATGATATATGGGAACCCAATTTAGGGGTGGAACTAGAAGCAGCGCTAGTCCTCAAACTGAGAGGAACTTCAGATTCCGGAATCTTCTCTGCATAATTGGCAGGGAACCAGCCGGTCTTCCCTTTGATCTCTCCTCCTAACCATCCAGGTTCACCGGTCTGAGACTCATCCACCTGAAAAGAGAAAGCAAATGAGAGACACGGAATCAGGATGTGAAAGGACACAAAACAATAATCTAAAATAACTGAGTGATGAAAATCACAGGGAACCACAGGATCTTCATTGTGATATGCATCAGAGATCTGAATACAAACACAAGAATCAGAATACAAAGTGACTGTATGTAATAACAAAATAAAGGACTCATGTTGATTGAATACAGGAAATTGTATTGCCTTTCTGAGTGAGCTTATGCCATATATAGCAAAGCCTCTGAAATCTAGCAAAAGACTCAACAACAGACACACACAAATTATGATCTCTGTACAGGGTGTGTTTTAGCCCAGTGACAGATGAACAACACAGAAAATCATCAAGGACAAAGACAAACTAGAAACAAATAAAAGTTCACGAGGAGCAGAAAACCTCGACTTACCCACTCTCCCTTCACCTTCAGGCAGAGTGAGCAAAGGGAGGACAGAGGCAGGGTCAGAGGTCAGTAAATGTCCACACTAACTGCACACATGCATTCTCTCTTTCACATGAAGAAGAAACAAATCGCACACTCTCTGACAAGCACACATCGGAACATAAACACACACACACAAACACACACTCCAGGACTAAAAACTAATCCTCAGATTTCCCAAGAATGTTATTGATAAGATTTTTCTATTCTCAATTACTGTAAAATAATATAATATAATATTTGGATTAACTGTTGTTTTAAATCATCTATACACTACCATTCAAAAGTTTGTAGTTGGCAAGATTTTTTTTCATGTTTTTTAAAGAAGTCTCTTATAAGTCTCGACTGCCTTTACGTCGTCAAAATACAGTAAAAACAGTAATATTGTGAAACATTACAATTTAAAATAACTGTTTTCAATTTGAATACATTTTAAAATGTAACTGATGTCAAAGCTGAATTTTCAGCATCATTACTCCGGTCTTCAGTCACATGATCCTTTCGAAATCATTCTAATAAGATGATTTGCTGCTCAAGAAACATTTCTTATTATTAATAATGTTGAAATTATACTGCTTATTATTTTTGTGGAAACCGTAATAATTTAAATGGAAATCTTTCACAACCTTATAAATGTTTTACTGTCTTTTGATCAATTTATTGGCTCCATGCTAATAAGTATTTATTTCTTTAAAAAAAAAAGTCTTACTGACCCCAACTTTTAAAAGATATAGTATGTCTATCAGAATAATTAAATAGATATTTAATGAGTAGAATAATAATTAGTTGTTACCCTAATACACATTTTGGTATTAAAAAAGTGTGAATACAATTCCTAACAGTTGGCTTACCATCACTATGTCTCCAGGAATGATGGTGATCTCATCGTGGCTGCGGGCCTCAAAGGGATACAGTGCTCTATAGAAGACCACCTTTACCTTCTCCTGATTAAAACCAGACACTGGGATCTTATCTAGAACACAAAAACATGAGTTAAGTCGATTTATGCCATTTAGGGTCAGCCTAAAACATCTCAATATTGATAAATAAATAAAAAACAGCTGCAAAACTAATCCAATTCATGTCTGGTTCTACAATCTTGTTTTCCCTCACCTGTCATAGACCAGGGGGAATGAGCCTGTAGTTTTCCCGGTATCGGATGCTGTGTGAAGAGTTTGGAGAGGTTCTCCTGAATTTCGCCTCTGCTGTGGTTCTCCTCTTCACTCACTCGGCTCATCCAGGCCTGAGGCACAGGAGGAGTGGGGGCTTTACCCAGCCCATCGTCTCTCCATGCTGGAGACACACCATCATCTGCCCCTGACAACCTGGAGGAAAGTAAGAGACTAAATGAATGCCTGTTAAAAAAGTTAAAGTGAAGTTTTTCCCGCAAAGAATAGCCATAGAAGAACATAAAAATACCTAGACTCTTGTAATTCTGTGGACTTCCTGTCATGTGACGGCTGGGTGATGTCAGCCTCCAGCTCCTTTTGTTTGTGCCTCTGTTGTTTGTTGTGGATTTCTCTCAGCTCCTGCAATGCATGATGGGATATTGGAGGACAGGTAAGGGGGAATATAGGGGGCAATGGGGCTCTGTTTGCACTCTCTCACATTCAGACACACTCGACACGTTCACAACTGCGCCCTGCAAGTGCTGTCTGGACAATCTGTCTCAGTCGTATAGACTTTGTTTTTTATTTCTGACCATCTTACTAAAGTATTGATATCAAAAGTGTCTACAGTCTATTCCAAACTACTAAAAACTCCCCGCTCTCTCTAAACTTTTTAAATATTTAAAAAAGAAACCATAAAAAAAATTGCATATACAATTTGTGTGCTTGAATGTATTATATATGTAAATGTTTATAATGTTAAAGGAGAACTCCGGCGCAAAATGAACCTTTGGTCTAATTACACATTGTTACCTAGTCAACCGTTATCTGAGATTTGTTTTCATGATTATCGAATGTAAATAGTTTTATCTCTAAAAACAGTTTAGCCTATAAAGCTAGTATAACGCTAGTATATTGGGCATAGTGTAATGACAAATAAAAATCGCTTGTTAATACCACTAACAAGGCTGAAAATAGCCCCACACTAGCACGGTAGCATAATGAGGGTCCCTACCTTCAAACCGAAGCATTGAGAACTTTGTAAGTGTACAGACAGTTTAATAAGAAGATATTTTAAACATACAGTCAACTTCGCGTATACAGGCAGAAGCCATCTTTGAAATACAGTCTTTACCAGTCGATCTACGAACGCCGATCCAAGTGCGCTGGTGAGATGTGAACGAGCTATAAGTTGTGATAAGGTGAGCGCGAACAGCAGGCTTGGATCGGCGTTCGTAGATCGACTGGTAAAGGCTGTATTTCAAAGATGGCTCCTGCCTGTATACGCGAAGTTGACTGTATGTTTAAAATATCTTCTTATTAAACTGTCTGGACACTGACAAAGTTCTCAATGCTTCGGTTTGAAGGTAGGGACCCTCATTATGCTACCGTGTTAGTGTGGGGCTATTTTGAGCCTTGTTAGTGGTATTAACAAGCGATTTTTATTTGTCATTACACTATGCCCAATATACTAGCGTTATACTAGCTTTATAGGCTAAACTGTTTTTAGAGATAAAACTATTTACATTCGATAATCATGAAAACAAATCTCAGATAACGGTTGACTAGGTAACAATGTGTAATTAGACCAAAGGTTCATTTTGCGCCGGAGTTCTCCTTTAATAAAATGGCAAATGACCCACTGATGTAAAAACTGACTAATAAACATTTAAATTTAAAGATTGCATGCATAAATCGTACACTTGCATGGTACATGGTGCAAACTGCATAGCGATTGTGTTCATGATGGCAGGCTGCAATGCCTGCTTGATAACTTCACATGAACCACTGGAGTCACAAGAGAGGAAACATGGAAATCTCTAGAAAAGAGGACTGTTTCAGCCCATACCATTCCAACAATAAGCAAGCTCTTTAGAACACCATCTGGATACGGTAGAGGAGTCATATATTATATATATAAAAAATATATAAAAAAAAATATATATATATATATATATATATATTAAAATGACAGATCTATAGATAGCATATACTTTTATGCTCTGGGATCCCTTATTGAAGTTACATTTCTGTTCAAGATTTAATGTCACATAAGCACAATTTACATAAGAGAAAGATCACATGGAAAGATCACTGCAAGCGGTTTGGTAATAGACAGACTCAGAGAGAGTTAGCCATTCGAGTGCAAAACACACACATACACACACCAAAGCAGTGCCAACGGATGTGAGTGTTTAGATTTCATGAACCAGACGTGCAATTTCTAATGCATTTGTAAATTCACACACTGAAGTTTGCTTCTGCAAACAAGTTCAATGACACAGATTTTCTAGTTAATACCACCTATACTTTAGTAATTTTTTAAATGTAATTTTTCCTGGGCAAGTCTATACAGCATATTCTTGATCACGCCAGGACCAATGTAACTAAATAATATGAAGAAAAAGAAACTATTTCATATTCATGTCAATTTCTGAAGAATGTTTGAATTCCAGAATGAATTGTTCATTATCCAACTTAATAAATAAATGTGTTTTTTTCACTAGCCAGAGGGGGGAAAAACAATAACAACAACAACAAAACAGAACACTGGAAAACAACATGTCTCAAATTTGGTGCAAAGGAGTTCCTGAGGATGCACCGTTTTGCTTTACAGCTAGTTACTCTATTTTGAAAATGTTTTGGGCAGATTTCTGGAAACTTCAAAATTATGTTCTCCTTAAAGCTGCCGTCGGCAACATTTTTTTTATCATATTCAGTGAAATCGACACTATAATCTGACAGAACAACATAAATAAAGTGGTTTTAGAAAAAAACCCGAGCTTCTAACTCCACCTGGAGCGTGTTATTTGTTTTGCAAAAATCCACAGCTCCCGGTTCATCATGTCCAATCAGCGCAGGGGTGTGTGAGATCTGACTGTCAATCACAGATCGGGCACACGCCACCCCTCGCGCACGTTACAATCAGAGCTCTGGTTACAATCACATGCAGTTCGCGGAAGTTCGCGCAGTAACGAAGAGTGATGGCGGAAAATCAAGTAAGCTCATTTAGAGTATAAATGACGTTAGCAATTGCAATCTATCGGTAGATTAGCCAGGACAGCATACCTCCAAATACTCCATGGCGTTGATGGATGCTGATGAGACGGGCGCGTTCTGAGTTCACTGAAAATCTGGTGCACACGCACTGACGAGCATGAACTCGGTCACGGCGGTGGGAGGGTATCCGTTGATAGTGGGGGAGGGGCATGAGAGTTGTAAACATTCAAAATTTTCCTAAATCCACTCAATCTGCCAGACTTGCCGACTGGAGCTTTAAGTGACTAGAATTGTAAAATGACAGTAAAATGTATGTAATAGCTGCTAAGAAGAAACAAAACACTTCAAAGAATGTATCCCTAAAAATGTTGAAGTCCAGGTTCATGCACAAGGTTGTTTTTGGAATTAACTGACGCACATGGCTTGGAAAAAAAGCAGCACGATCAAACGTAGGCGTTAATTACGCTGATCTAAAGACCAGCCTCAGATCAGTGTGCAAAAAGGAAGGGCTTTCTACAGATACGTGAAGGTTTAGAATAGCTACAACGCTGCCTTTGATGGGCTTCTCAAAGGGAGCTGGAGGAGGTGCAGTGAGACACACGAGCAGGGGACACGGTGTAGGGTGAAATCAAAGGTCAGGGGGGAGGGGGATGACCTGGAAGTAGAAGTGTATATGCTTCAAACAGGCCAGCAGTGCTGCGAGACAGTCCAACAGCACCTCGTCCACAGAGCTCCCTGACTGCAAGAGACACAGATCCACCCATACGGTCACACCACCATCATCATTGTTATCATCATCAGTGTTTGCACTCTGTACTAATGTGTACTCAGCTCTACCCAGTGCAGAGCTTCTTAAAGTTAATAATCATTTTAAGTATAGAGCGTAAGACAAACGAACTACACAACATTAACCAAAGCAGAGCAGCAAAGCCCATTGCTCTGTTAATTAGTGCAAGCTACAGGCTTGGGGAAAACAATTCTCCAAACTGATTATTTCAGGAATATTATCGATCAGGGCTCGACAATAAAGATAGACCCATGTTACAGGGTCAGTACGAAAGACTCGAGTACGATCAAGATGGAAGATGCACAAAAAAACAGCGAGACGCGATACAATGACCAAAGAGTTTCGTCTAGTGTATGTCCGAACCAAAAAACAAGAGCACATCCTACATATACACACCCTTAAAATCTGCTGTTAACATGACAACTGGTACACATCTTCTTTTCTATTCCCACCAGGATTTTTTTGGTGTGTTTTACGTATCCTTAACCATCTGCGTTTATGTAAATACAGCAACTTGTGTGCATTTGACCATTGAAGCGGGTGTGCCAGTCAGCTTTCTGCATACACGCAGTTACTATTGCACTTAATATATTTTTTAACATTAAACAGCACGTTCGCTTAATTTTCTCACTTATGCATATTTATTACACTAACCTGTCAATAATTTTATGTAGTACAGGGCTTTTTGCAATTAATTGCTGTTAAATGGCTAATTATGCTGTACAGCAAAAAAGGCAACATTTTGATTTTGCATTGTGTTCCATGATCGTAGAATCGCAAATAAATTGGAGGGACTGGTTTTCCAATGGTTCGTTACAGGACTCAAAACAGAGTCCAACATTCGGTCAAAAAAGAACCATTTTAGACCATAATATGTTTCCTGCGACTGTTATATTTTGTAAACACATTTATTTTAGTATATTAACTGTTATATAGTAATAATTATTATTAGGTGTTGTTTGTATTATTTTAAGTATTTTAGTCATCCATAATGAAGATGCGACTGGGGCAAAATCTGAGCAGATAAAATATCCTTATAGTTGAGCCCTGTTGATGGCTTAGTAAAGGGAAGTAGTCAAGACAAGACACAACTGGAAGTGTGCTACTCTAACTACCCTTCATGAAGGGCAACAGAGAGCACAGTGCTGTGAGTAGAGGGTAACAGTTTGGTGGTGGTAGTTTTCTGGAAGGTTAGCAGCATTTTCAGGTTGTCTACCTGTCGCTCCCTCTCCTCCTCAATTAGTAGCTCCGACTGAAGGTTCTCCATCCTGACAGCGTGGGTCTGATAGAACAGCCCCAAGGACTGTTCCACCACGAAGGATAAAGCGGAAAAAGCCAGAACAAAGAGGGCCAGCCAAGTCGTATAACACAGCGGAGGGGGGGAGTTGACAGGGATTCGGCCAGGATGAATGGAGGATGATGGGGAAGACGAGGGATGGGGTGACAGAGTGAGCAGCAGGCAGATACAGTGAGGAACAAGAGATTGTGTGATGTTGTGAAAATGCTTCTACTTTCTCTCTCACACTCTCTCTTTGTCTCATTCTGAATGAAGGCACATTAAGGCAAAATTAAGTGTGTTCTGTTGGTTTTATCATATACATTGTATGTATGTTTGGGTGGAAGGTCAATACGATCTCAATATGCACTTTCTCTTACTTCCTCTATCATTTGTACAGACACACACAAGGTCCAAAAGTAACACATTGCCTCTACAGTCAAAGGTGAGTGGCTTTTCCCCCCAATATTTTTCTTACTGGCCATGAAACAGCTGTTTGCATTTTTTATAAATATATATACACACACAACCATTCAAGGGTTTGGGGTCAGTAATATTTTTTAAAAAGAAATTAATATCTTTATCCTGCAAGGATGCATTAAACTGATCAAAAGTGACAGTAAAGACATTTATAATGTTACTGAAGATTTCTATTTTATTCTATTATATGCTTTTGAACTTTCTATTCATCAAAGAATCCTCGAAAAAAAAAATCATGGTTTTTAACAAAAATGTTAAGCAGCAAAACCATTTTCAACCATGATAATAATAAAAAAAAATTTCTTGAGCACCAAATCAGCATATCAGAATGATTTCCGAAGGATCATGTGACACTTAAGACTGGTGTAATGATGCAGAAAATTCAGCTTTGCATCACAGGAATAAATCAGTTTAAAATAGAAAACAATTATTTTAAATTGTAATCATATTTAACAATATTACTGTTTTTAGTGTAGTTTTGATTAAATAAATACAGCATTGCTGAGCATAAGAGAATAAATGTTTCAAAGACATTTAAACATCTTATACGCCCAAACTTTTGAATGGTGGCAATTATATATAGGTTTCTATAAACACTATTGTGTTTAATAGTATTATGTCACAGCTCTAATAAACCGGAGAGTTACTCAATTGTATTCACTCACCAAAGACGATTTTTACTTGGATTTTGCACAAATGTTAATTTTGCACCCTGCACACACACACAATGCTAAATATAAAAGTATTGAACCTCTAGGACTGACTGTCTGTGTGTGTTTAGGTATTTCAGGGCTTCAGTACCTTCAGCTGTGTGTTGAAGGCATCTATCTCCAATAGTTTGGAACGTGTCTCCTTCTCCACAGCGTCCAGCTGTTCTCTCAGCTGCTGTTTGGTGGATTCCTTCATATCAATGGCCCTCTGAAGACTGGACAGAGAGTCTCCTACAAAGTAGAAATAAACAGACAACTATTAAAGAACATTTCTGAGATCTAAACATCCTCATGAACCATTCTGCAAAAAAAGAAAAGCTTTATTTTTCACTCTGTTACACTGATGTAAACAAAAGGAAGTTTTAACCATCAATACGATCACCAAAAAAGCTCAATCTGCAAAATAAATAGTAATACTGTTCAAATAATGCCTAATTCACCAATCTGATTACGTAGTTAATAAGATCATGACTGTTTTCATACCTCTGTGACCTAAGATGCGGTTTTTGTGTTCAATTAACAACTGTAGTTTGTAAACTTGTTCCTGCAGTGCCAGATGTGACCAGCCAGCAACTACTTTTACAGATTACAGTGATTATAGTACATTGTTTTCTTAAATGTTGCTAAAGCTTTATGTGGGCGTGCTGAGGGCGAGGACTTTGAACACACCTTGATCTGAGTGTCCTGAATTTCAAGCAGTTTGCAAAACAAATGTTGGGTTGATCATCAACTTCAATCTCAGCAATTTTGCAGAGAATTTGAAAATTTGAAATAATAAATGGCAGAAGAGAGTACCCCAGTTGCCACCACAAAACAGATATGTTTAATTTTCACTGAATCTCTGAAATCCAACAATATAAATTTTTTATATAACAGTGTCCAAAGAAACATAAGGTCACATGTTTGGGTCCAAACAGTGCATCTGTGCCATCAGCACAAAAACCACACCAAGTACTAATGGCAGCTGTTTACCACTTTAACTAGGTAACAACTCAGGACGAGCAGATACCAGCTTTACTGTTTCAACACGTTTTTGTCACTTTAGACCATGTATACCTTACAAGCACACAACGGCCCTAGCATTTGTGTGCTGTGGCTGTATTTTGAAGATATGCAAATATAAAGCACTTTACTCAAAGAAATACATACTAGCAAGTGTGACAGTAGGAGAAAAGAGGCAAAGTATGTTTAAGTTAGGCTGAATTGATTGGTTCACAGAAGTTCACAGTCTGGAATACACTTTCACAACTAAATTCCAACGTCAATTGGATTTGGGATTGCACCAAAAAGACTAGTCTAGAGTTTTGGATCTTTAAAGCAGTGTTGAGGAAAGTGTTCTTACTGTGCAAACTGTTCTGCTGAACCTGCTTCAGCTGGTCATTCAGACACTGTTTATCAGGAATCAACCGACTCAACCACTGCTGAGACTCCTGATGGATACAAAAGAGAGAGAGAAAAATCACAAAATACTCTAATTACTTTGAAAGACTTATGTACAATGCAACTTAAAACTGATATCTTGTGTATACATTAAAAAAAAGACGACATCTAGTCTAAGGGTGTATTCACACCAGGAAAGTCCGATAGTTCACTTGCTTTGGTCCAGACCAAATAATTTTTTTTTTTTTTTTTTGGTATGGTTCGCTTTCACACTGCTCTTTTTGCAAGGGAACCAAAATTTGTAAACAAAACCACACGTGTGCTAAGGTCGTACATTCATTGGACAAGGATTCTCAAGTAGGGAAATCAGGAAGTCCAAAAAAGGCTCAGCATGGAGATATTTCGTACTGCAATATTTGTTATTATACTAATTTTGTGTTATTCTGTACAAACGCAATATGAAGAAACTGCACAGAAGACGGATAAGGTATAAAGTTTTCATTCATAGAGAGGGGCTATATTCACACATTCAAATAATGAGATTCTTATTGTATAAACTGCTATCAAGTGCTGTCAATGTTAACGCTTGCGATTAAGTTTGTCCAGTTTAACGCAGCATCATCCTTGTATTGTAACTATCGTTACATTATATGAACTGCAAAAGCTTTTTTTGCATCTATGCACGATTAAACTGAAGAGAACGCTCTGTATTTGAATGTCCTGATGCACACACTCATTCATTCATTCCATTCCAATGATACACACACGACGCGCAGAAAGACGCGCAACAGTATCGTGTGGCCAGACAGCGCGCCGGAATGGAATTCTCTTTCGCACATGAACAACAATAACACAAACCATTATGCCAAAATCTCCGACTACGGAAGCCTTTTAACTAAAAGCCGCAGTGCTTTCTTGCAATTGGGTCGGTTCATGTTCACACCGTAAACGAACCGTACCAGAGTTCGTTTGGAACCGTACCGAGCCCACCTCTTCAGCTGGGTCTCGGTTCGTTTGTTTGGTTCGCACCAGAGTTCGATTGCTGTATTCACACCTGCCCAAAAGATCCGCACCAAGGGGGGAAACGAACTAGAGTTCGATTCAATCGATCCAAACAAGGCAGGTGTGAATACACCCTAAAGCTCTTGTCTGCTTATGAGGGGTTTAAATTCCCTCTTCTCTTCCACACACTCACCAAAACTGGAGAGGAGAGACCTTTTCAAATAGAGTGAATGCTGAAAGGACGCTGATGATGCTTTTGAATGAAGTCAAAGAAGGGAGAGATGAGGAAAGAGAGAAAAGGGAAGAAGTGCACACCTGCAGCTGCTGTTGCAGGCTGGTGATCTCTGCAATGCGGAGCTCTCGCGTCTTATTGGTGCTCTCGATCTCGTGTCTCTGAGCCGAGAGACGGAAACGAATGTCCTGCAGTTTACCATCCAACTGAGATTTCTTATCATTCTAGATAAGAACACAAGTCAATCTATTAAACTCACATGGAGCCCCTCAAATAGATTACAATTCTGTTTGGTGCAACTAATGGTACAACAATCACAAATGACAACTTTAAAATGAGCCTACATGATTTTTTAACTGCTTTATCAATGTGATGACATCTGATATATGACCAAGCTTGCATTTTTAAATCTGTTAAAACATTGAAGTGTAGTGTACCAGAGCCTCCAGTTCAAACTCGAGTGTTTTCTTGCGTGCTTTGAGCAGGACGATGTTCTCCTGTTCTCGGTTTCTCTGGGTGAGCAGCTCCTGTCTGCGCGATCTCTCCCACTCTAACTGCCGCTGACGCTCCAGCTCCCGCTTAGCAGCCTTCGTAAACAAAACACACTCAAATTAGGGCTGCAACGATTAGTCGACAATAAAAATTTGTCGACAAATATCTTTGTTGTCGAGTAGTCGTTTGATCTCACGTGACCTAATGTAAGGGCCTGCAATCCCGCGATTTGACCGCTACGGCGCTGTAGCGCTAGAGTGTAGTGCAGCCCTTACAAATGCTATTGCGGTAGAAGAAAACACAGCGCGAATTATGACAGTGCAAACGAATCCGAACTAGCAAGGTTTAGGTTTGGGAAAGTTTCACAAAACTTCAAATCAAGAATGCTGTCGTGTGCAATTTTCACGGGAGCACAACATGCATGTTGGAGTGCAAGAGGAAACATCCCGGCAAAAGAGGAGCCGGTGAGAAGTGAGTGTTCTCCAGCTGGAGCTTACTAACCAGCGGTAAATCTCTCTTTATTAGAGAATGCAATACTACTAATAATAGTAATAATATTATCAATAGTAATATAATTACAGTAATGTGATGACTTATTTTGTATAGAATAAAGCTTGATCGAGCTTAGGAGTCAGGGCTGTTTTTATTATTGTAACACTATTAGTATATTAGGTATTATTATAGTCTTATCACTTGACTGTATTTTGTTCAATAATCATGAAGACTTACAAAACGAGATGTTATATCCTTCCTATGATATAGGAAGAATATCATGGCAGTTACTTTTTCATACTATAAATTAAAAGGTGAATGAGAACGTCTCTGTCAGCTCAATTGTCATGTAAAAAAAGATTGTAATTTTATACTTATAATAATTGTTTGCAGATTAATATTTTACCATTCTTTGTGTCCTGAAGTAAATGTCCCTTTTTCTGTTTCAGTTCTAAGAAAAGCAGTGGGCCTATTAAACAATGCTTAGAGAGCATTTGTGTGTGATTTGAGTTGGACCTAAATCTGAAAACTTAAAGAGAATGACCTGTTTAGTTGGCTCAAAGTTCATTAAAACAACTATTTCAAAAGCTGAAGTGATTTTCTTTTTTTATATTATAGTTAGAATATGTATAACTCAGTGTTTTAACTAATTGGAAAAGCTGAATAATCGTTCCAAACTTACTGATTAGGCTGCGAAATAATCAGCGATTAGTCGATTAATCGTTCCAATAATCGTTAGATTAATCGATTATCAAAATAATCGTTTGTTGCAGCCCTAAGGGTTACAAATGCTGTCGATAGTGCTAAACATGCACTGAATTTTTGAACGCACCTCTCTTCTCTCGATCTCCTTGCGTCTCTCCTCCTCCCTCTGCCGCTCCTGCTCTCTCTGTCTCTCAAGTTGTTTGTCCAGCTCCTGCTGTCTGCGTCTCTCATGCTCCATTCGTTCTCTTTCCTTCCTTTCTTGCTCCTCTTTCTCCAGCGCTGCCAGTCGCTCCTGCTCTTTCCTCTGCAGCTCAAGCAATGCCTGCCGACGCTTCTCCAGCTCCAGGTTCCCACGCTCAAAGTTTTCTCGTTTCTTATCCTCAAATGTGACTGCGGGGAGGAATGGAGAATTTTAAGATATTTACATACAACATTTAAATGTTTCAAAAGACTTGTAGAAATCTTAGACCCCCATTTTACACCTAGCATTAACATGTAAATAGTATTAGGATTGGGATCACCGAAACCAGTTTCAGAGGTGGTCATGATAGCTTCTGACCACATTCACTGAAAATGAATACATGCCAATGCAGTTTTGTTAACCATAAACAACTATGCAAGTAATATGTAAAAGGTTGCACTACACATAAAAGATTAACTCTCACTTTGACAGGTTGGGTTGTAAATTTGCCGTCATGCTCTACTTTTAGTATGTCTTCTGATCTGGTCAAATAAAAGAACAATATCTCATGAATTATTCCACTGGACTATACTTGGAATTTATTCTCCCTAGATCCTCAATCACATCTCTATCAGGATGCCTTTATTTAGAGAGAGTAACTTTAAAACTTCTTTCACCCATTTTCTTGACTTCTATTGCCTATTAGCATCACTTTCAGTGGTAATGTTTGTAAAGTAGGTAAAAGTAAACCAGAAACCTGATATTTTATCAGCCAAAATGAGGGAAAGCACTCTAAATTATCCATCAATATTTTTAAAGGTCTTTTAATGGTGGAACATTTACAATTAACGAAACCTCGGTGGCGTTTTCCTTTTTTGTCTCGAAAAGTGGTATCAGATCTCTTGGATCTCCGATCTCAATGGACCAGATCATTACATTGGAAGGTGTTAATGCAATTTAAAGAGCTAAATCCAGTTAGAGACTATCCAGATACAAAATGCACCAATACCAAAGTAATACCAATGTCACCTGAGACAATGTGCAGTAAGACAAATCTCACTGACAAATAGTTTATCAGTGAGCGAGATGAGTTTCCTTTTGAAAACTGGTCAGTAATTACTCTTATCCCCTGACCTGGAAGTTTTTTATCTGCCTCTTTCTCCTCCTCCTCAGGCTCATCCTGGGATCGTAGGTCTGTCGAATGGATACTGGTCAAAGACACACCGCTACCAGAACGCACTCTCCTACACAAACAGGAAGGAAATCAAGTGCATTTACATTTAGAACATTCTTGTGCAACCTGACCTCTAAATGTAACAATTTACATTGTTATGATAAAACTTCTTAACTATTAACTTTCAAATAAATTAGCAGCTATTTTTCAACTAAAATTGAAGCTGATAAATGTACTAACACCTTTGAATAAAATAAGTGAAAATGTGAAGTTGTAGATTTGTGCTGTCACCTGAATGTTGGAGGTATGAGGTCAGGGGTCAGTAAAGGGGGGAGGGGCAGACCAGACATAGCCATGTCAATCAAGTGCATGGCCAGAATAAACTCTTCTGCAGTCAACTTCCCATCCTGATCTATATCTGACAGATTCCTATACAAAGAAACAAGCAGATGTTATATGGAGTCAAAACAGCAATTTAATCTTTCCTGTCCACATGTGACCAGATCACCGGAGACAGATGTTAACATCAAGTGTAAACAGGGCCCTAGGCGATACAAATATCCCAAGAACAGCATGTTAAAATAAATCGGATGTATTCATAACAATAACCAGACACCAATTCTTATGTTTACACTGATCCACATTTCAGAACTCTGAGCTTTGTTTGAGTTTTTAAAAGCGAGACGGAGATACAATATGAAAAATGTGTTGGATCCGCACCAGATGGTGGCCAGCTGAGCCTGTGGTAGACTGGACTGCATTAGAATAGTTCTGGCTTGTGGACCTGAGGCAGAAGAGAAAGAGAGAGAGAAAGGAAACAGAAGTGAAAAAGAGAGTTGAGCATGTTGAGTCAGCAGCCTTTGTTTGCTTTAAGCTGTACTAAGTAATCACTGTGACACATCACTAAAGCTTTGAGCTCGTCAAATACAATGAATTAAAAAAAAAAAATATTATATTTTCTAAAGAAAATATGGACAAAACAGAAGATTATTTGAAAACAGAATTAAAATAAAAGCAAGTTTAAAAATGACAAACTATAATAACATTGTTAAATATACAGCTATGTAGCGTATAAATTAGATATATAAATAAGATGTGGACAAGGCTGCTCAGACAGCTGGTAACAAAGCTGTCTTGATGCCAAAACCCCTCATAGAAGGAGAAAGTTTCCGTGTATAGAACTGTGACAATAAGCACTTATCAGGATCAACTAAATGCTGGATAATCAAAAGTATGTGAAGAATGTGTAGTTCACAGTATAGACTCTTTAAAATATGTCCAAGAGTTTTACACGCCAGTCTGTTATTGTAGGGACATCAACGTTACATTTTTACGCTTCTAAACATGACGCTTAAGAAAACAGACTATGATTGGTTGCTTTACATGTCAGTCAGATGGCCTCTGGGCAGTCCTTGGCCAATGAAAGCTGCAATGGAGTCCATCAGTCTGAAGGTCTGGCTACAAGAGCCAAACAACAAAAGTGTTCAATTGCCTAATGCTTGTCATGCGTCTTTCTTTGTGTGACCATACCAGTGAGATAGCCACTCATCATTTTGTCATGGCTGTTGAAGAGTTGGCGGTACTTGAGCCGAGAGGACTGAGGCACGGCCCAGTCAGTGGGCGGAGGAGCAGCTGGAGCACTAGAGAGACAATGTTTGTGTTGTTAACATCTATGAAATGTCTGCGAATACAGTGTACGTGTGTGTGTGTGTGTGTGTGTGTGTGTGTGTACCTGGGTGCCTCTACAGACTGGACCTTCTGTAGCTTGATACTGGAACGATTGAATGAAGAGGTTTTGTTGAGTGCAGCAGCTGAGAGAAAGAGAAACACCCATACATTTTCCAGCAAAAGTAAATAAACTGCATGAGCTGGTCTGGGTAGTGTGAGTGTGTATTTATATTACATGGATGCGTGAATCCACTAATGGGTTGCATCATAGCGGGTGCTCCGTTGGCAAGGGATGGAAGAGGTGGTGTCACCGATGCTACCAGTGGAGGAGACACACCTACTCCTGGAGGCAGAGGGGGCAGGGGCATTGGCGGCACTGCTGGCAGGCCTGGCATGGCACCCATACCGGGCATCCCTGCAATTGGCAATCAAAGACATAATTGATTAAATTTTGTATAGAATTAAATAGTGGGACAAACGACATATGCTAGTAATGTTGATGTACTGCTTATTTAATTTACTTATAACATTCAATGAGCGACTCTAATTCTTTGAGTGACTGAACCAGGATCCAAGACATCGCCCAGATCAAGGGGTCTGCCATTAGCAGAGAGGTCTTGTCTAATGTAGACATAGACCAGCTGCATAAACTGCTTAGACTAGTCTTAAAAGTTAGTCATCTAAATTTTTCTTTAAGACTGGTCCTAACTTTTTAAAGTCACATAAAAAGGTATATTTGTCTAATTTGAATTTGTATAAGTAAGACTGATTACCCCTTTTTTAACTGCTAGTTGGTCAAACTAGTTCTTAAGACAAAGTCTTAACATAGTGGCTAAGTTTATGCAATTGGCCCCAAGGCTGGGCAACTTTGGCCCTCGAGATCCACTTTTCTGCAGATTTTAGCTGACCCTGATCAAACTCAACTGTCTGTAGCTTTCTAGTAACCCTGAAGACCTTGCTTAGCTTGTTCAGGTGTGTTTGATTAGGGTCGAAGCTAAACTCTTTAGGAAAGTGGACCTTGAGGGCCAGAGTTGATCTACTGTCCAACAGAGTTTAGCTCCAACCCTGAAAAAATCACCTGCCTGTAACTTTCTAGTAATCCTGAAGACCTTGATTAGCTTGTTCAGGTGTGTTTGATTAGGGTCGAAGCTAAACTCTTTAGGAAAGTGGACCTTGAGGGCCAGAGTTGATCTAGACTAAAAGTTTGCATTTAGCATGCAGTCTTTTCTAATATAGACCTAGTCTACCCAATGATGTCTAATCTAAATCAGTGGTTCGCAACAGAATTAATGTATATATAAAACTGTATCATTTCTTTTCACCCTCTCATTAACTATTGTTTTTCTTGAAGAACATTCAGAATGAGAGTTAAATTAAATGTAATATATCAACACTTCCACTTTCAGCAGAATTAGAGCAGAAATATCTTATTGGACGTGGAGGGCCTTTGAATATTTGTGTTGGACAATGGGTGGGCCCTTTGAGTCAAAAAGGTTGAGAACCACTGATATAAATGGTCTTGAACTAGATTTGATATGTCCCAATGTTTTTAAGCCATCAGAATGAGAGTGTTTTTACCAAATGGAGGCTGCGGGGGTATGGAGATGGGCTGCTGCTTCATGGAGGGGGGCAATGAAGGAGGGAGGGGGTGACCCTGCAGCTTCAATTTAATCAGCTTCATTGCGATGGAAAATTCAAGCATGTCCATCTTCCCATCATTGTTCATGTCGGCCAGAGCCCTGCGAAACATTAGGGTGATTCGTTACATTTTATTAGCAAATCTTTATTGCATAATTTTGCAATAGTGATAGTGCCGTGTGTTATCCTGGTGTTTTGTTTTTGTGTCTATGACCCTGTGTACCATCTACATACAAGTAGGGTTGTCAAAAGTACTAGTACTTTGCTACCAAGTTGGTACTGAAATTTTTATTTCACGATAATGTGACGATACCAGCCTTTCTGAAGTACCGGTAGTACTGAGTAATGGGTATATTCGGTACCCACTGATACGAGGCTGTTTTCAAAGGCTCCCATGTGTATCTGTGTAAGCGCTCTATGATGAGCATCAAAGGTTTCTATTTGATCATTGTAGCCAATCACATACACATCTGTTGAGCACGTGAACGCAATGGCCAATCAGAGATGTTTAAGTAAGAATCCGCTCAACACCTCTCAAAACACCAGAGTTTTTGTTCACCGCACCCATGATTGACAGCTTCAGTGATCAAAAAAGGAGCCATAAACCCATGAACAATTTCAATAAAAGTTTTGTTTTTCCTGCTGCTCAGTACACTGCAGTTTCTGGATTTACAACTGTATTTAAATGACCGATTGTATCCGAAAGCGCAGTGATTGACAGTGATATAAGGATAAGGATAAAACAATCTTATACTTTATGTCAAAATAAATGTGCATTAAGTCTAAGGGTGTTAATGCAAACTAACAGACCTGCAAATAAATGTGTAATAGTTCCAACTATGGTACCAAAATTGGTACAGAGAACCATGGAATTTTACTGGTATTGGGACCGATTACTGGAATTTTGGTACCATGACAACCCTATATACCTGTATTGGCCATGCCTTATGGACAGATATTATTATGGTGGTTATCAATGTGTTTTCAAGATAAAAAAACAGATTTAGGTATATTAACCTTGTATTATTTAATGAGATATATAAGATTATAAGCTGTAAAATATATAAGCATCCCAAAATATGGGAAGCATTGTGATAGTATTTTTTCTGTGAATTTCTGGCAACAACAGCTGCCAGTTTTATTTACTGTAAATTTAATCGGATATTCTTTACAGTGTATGCAAATTATTGAACAGTAGCACGTAGTGGATTGTGAATGTAGTGCTCTGGATTAGAAATGAATGTGTCATTTAGGAATTGTACCATATCTGGGCCAGGATGGGGGGAGGAAGACCTGACTGCAGAAAGAAATTTCTTGCCTGGTCACCTACAGAAAAAGAGAAAGAGGAAGGGAAAATAATGAAATGAATATACTTAAATGTATAAATAAATAAACAGTATTATGCATCATTGTATAAACGAACACAATGGAACAGTTCATGTCAATTTTAATTATTCTAGGGCAATTTTATTATTCTAGTAAAACACTGATAACATAATTAAGAGTTACATCAGCCTGTTTAAACCATCTTGTCAACAAACATGTTCAGGGTTTATTGACCACACTTGAGTGACATTGCCCTACGGGGCGAGTGATCTGCCAGCTACAGTTTGAGTAAATGGTAAATGGTAAATGGTAAATGGACTGCATTTATATAGCGCTTTCACAGACCCAATGGCCACCAAAGCGCTTTACATTTGCCTCACATTCACCCATTCACACACTCATTCATACACCGACGGGCGACGGCAGCCATGCAAGGCGCCATCCAGCTCGTCGGGAGCAGCCGGGGTTAGGTGTCTTGCTCAAGGACACCTCGACACTTGGTCAGGTGGAACCGAGGATTGAACCACCAACCTTCCGGTTTGTAGACAACCCACATGAACCACTGAGCCACTGCCGCCCCAGAAGTAAGAAAAGAAAGTGTGCTCATATGTTATCTAACCAATCAAGCCGACTTCCTGCTCTCATGACAGCCTATACTGATGAACATACACACACAAAAATGCTTTTTTTGTTTGTTTTTTTATACATAGACTCTAATGAAAGATTTGACAAATGTCAACTAATAATACCACAGCAGCCTTGAAAACCTATTTCTTCCCTTTTAAAACCTACCAACACACAAAGCAATGAAAGATGTGAGTGTGAGAGTTTGTTCCTCTGCAGGGTTAGAAGCAAAATGATGTAGCAGCTTAGATGACCTTTTCACCTTCCTCTAAACACTTTTCGTCTTGATAACAGGTGTCTTCCTCGGCGCGCACACACACAGAACGCCTTTATACTCTCAGAGCCAAAAACAGACTCAATCTCCTCCGTCTGCCTGTGGGCCACTCACTATTTCAGCCGTCCTTCAGACAACACAAAGAGGCTCTTTGAGATCCACTGGTCAACAGGAAACTCACAAGTACCATCTCTTCAGTAGACATCCAAAGTCCAGCTGGGACAAGCTGGTTTTACTGTTCGAGTCTTGTGATTTTGATTGGCCCTTTGGGATTGGCATACATTGTACAAAAAGACCATGGAGTGTGTTTTGTGTACAATGAACACTTCTTTCATTGAAATGTATGAACAGTTTGGCTTAGACTGAAAATTTTCCTTAGACTGGCAAAATGTCTCCGGTGAGAAAGACAGCTTTCTATAACAGGAACAAACGTGAAAGCGTCAACTAGAGACTCCAAAAACAAACGGCCTCAGCAAAATTGACAGAGAAATGAGCTTTTCTGCAACATGTCACACCCTGATCTGTTTCCTTCTCAGTATTTTTTGTCTCATTGATTGTGTTACAATACACATTATCAACTCACACCTAAAACTTTCAGTACATGTTTGCAGGGAATCAGAATTTGAACTCTAATACACCAGCACTGCGCAAACGTTTACACAAGCATTAGATGTTTGCTCTTCTGACTAATGTAAACATGGGACGGTTTTACTGCAGGCCAGCGGCAAAGCCAGAGTTTGTTTGTTACATCTGAGGAGGTACTGAGACTGATATTAACAGTTCTCAGGCTGTTTTTTATAGTACTTAAAGGGCAGGTCACTCCAAGCTGCCGGTTTTCCGTCGGGCAGTGGGTGAGTGTCGGTTGGGCGGCAGTTTTTGCGGTGTGTTCTAGGGCTGGGCGACATGGCAAAATATATTATCACGATATTTTTTTCCACATTGATCGATATCGATATTTGTTACGATATATAATTTAATAATGCTACCCGTTTGAAGAGTATACTGATAATGATGCCTGAAGAAACCAGAAGGTTCAATAGTTCAATAGTATAGTTTATTAACACAAAAAAATAGAATAACATAATGCAAACATTTAACTGTGCAAACATGGCTTGGTTGAGAATATATTTTGTTATTAAATAATATTGATTAATAAGATGTAAATGTTAACATTTTACTTTTAGTAAACATGCTTTATCTGCCTTGACAAAACAATGCAAGTAGTTAGCTTGCCTTGTAACTTCTTATAAAATATAAAACTAAAAGCTGACTACTATCACATCAAATTTCTTTGGCAGGGCAGCAAACATTTCAAATGTTTGTAGAGGTACAACCAAGACAACAAAAGTAAACAAGCGGACCACAAAGTCCCTGGCGCATTTAAGTACTCAACTGTCAGATATATAATATATTAATTGTGTACTGGTTTTACATATCTCAAAAGTTTTAGAGGTAGAAATCTGAGTAAAAAATGGTAGCTGGGATGGTACCAACAAAAAGATTTGTTGTGTTTCCCGTCTTGGTTATCACCGACCGACGGCATATTTTGCAGACCGTCTTTATTTGTGCTTCGTCGCTTTTCAGATATCCAAACCACTTCCATATAATTGACATGTTACCTTTTTTGTCAACAATTTCCTCCGCTTTGAAAGACAGTGCGAGTTCACTTTCACGTCGCTTTCGTGTCCGTCGGTTCCGCTCATTTTTTCTTTACGTTCACTTTCTTCACTGCCGGTAGCTCAAAAAGTGCTCTGCTAGCAAATGGGCGTGTACTTAGACGCACAAGCCAAAATCTACTAGTTCACGTTCCCTTTTTTGAATGACAAATACAGACTACTGCCATCTTCTGTTGTGGACAGTTATTATCTCTCACGCAGGGACAGAACGTACATGCTAGTTGGACGTCAGCTGGAGTTTTTGTGATGTGCTCAAGCTCAACTTTTTTTGCCAAGACACAGCCGACGTGAGCCGACACCACCATTGGCAGCTAATTCTTTGACGTAGACCATGCAAGTAGATATACCCGTTATGGGCAGAAAACAGGAAGTGGTATGGTTTTAGAAAACTCATGAAGAATATCCATGGAATTTTTATTAGCGTGGGGGATGCGTTTAAAAAAGGATGACGGGAAAGAGGTGGTTGTTTTTGTTTTTCTGTTTTCACTTTATTTGCTCCATCTCTCTGTGTCTGTGTATCCAACAGAAAAATAATAGGCATAAAAATCAGACTACCACAGGTCTATGACTGACTGCACTGCAGGTGGTCTTTTGCAATTGCACAGAACTCAAAGGATTTGTTCACATATTTCAGAGAACATCAAACTCCAACGGGTTTTTAGCAAACATCAGCACTAATGAGAGTTCTTTCCTTTTCTCATAGAAAGAAAACTGGTGATTACCTGTGATGAAGCCAGAAGGTGTGGGGGTCAAACTGTGGAACTGCTGGTCATGTTTGGCTCTCTCGTCCAAAGATATTACCCATGTCTCCGACCCCCCTACAGAGACAGACAAACATCAGTATGATGCTTCAACATGTGTTCAATCTGCTAACATTTTCATTAAGCGACAGGGCACAGCTAATCACAAACCAAATCTTACTGACATTTTATTGTGTAAAAAACAACACTGAGCAAAAATGCAACACAGTCTTATACAGTGTCATCTAAATGTGTGAGATGAAAATCTAGGATTCAAAATCTACCGTAAATTAGAGTTTTGAGATTTTTGAAAACATAAAAAAATAACAGACGTTCACTCATCTGAACATAGTAATTATATTAGATGTATAATCCATTACAATAGATTACTACTGTTGCAGCTCTAGATAATATCGGAATAAAAAAATGATATTCAAAAAGGTAAATCATTTGGATGACTTAAATGATCCCATTATATAAAATCATAAAATGAAAACAGAAAATGAAACACGCACACATAAAAGCCTGCTAACCAAAGTGACAACAGTTCTGTGAGGGCGTTTCTCTTGCATTCACTGACTCACTTGAATTCATTCTCTCTTTGTTTTTCAAACACACACTGCACTTCATACATATCCACCACCCTTCATCACACAAACACGCACGTGTCAGTCAGTCAGTCAGTCAAGGCATCAACTCACCTCCGAAGGGCGTGGGAAACTGAGCCATGGTTCAGTCCGTCAGCTGCCGTCCAGCCTCAAACTCCTGCAAAACAACAGAAAGAAACCTTGAGCTTTCATTCTTACACTCACACTCAAAAAAAAAAGAGGAAAAGACATTTGAGTGGATCGCTTCTGACCTGTAGAAATCTTCCCGAGGAGAGGAAGGACAAAACACACAAATAAATTCCCGCTTTATCACTTAGGGTACATTTACACGACAACAATGTACTAAAAATTGAAAAGTGTTTCCTTTGTGTTTTTCATGTACAGACAACAACGTTGTCAAAACAATCCCTGATCTCACGAATCCACAAAAACACTGTAATCTGCTGCCAGGCCTGTATTGCGATGTCACTTTTTAAAGAAACACTACACACCTATAGACTGAACATTTAATATGCATGACGTCACCGGTTTCATAGCATCAAACCACATCTAAAACCACACTTATTGAAATAAAAATGAACATTTGAACGTGTCAGCATGATGATGAGAAGTGAGAACTACTTAAAATGATAGAAAAATCTTGTTTGGCTCACGTCCTATTCAATTACATGGAGAGGGTGGGTTTATGACCTATAGCCCCCTCTTGGCCAGCCACCAGGAAGCGATCCAAACGTTGCTACTTCCAGTTTCATCACAAATTTAAAAGGTAATTAATTGTGATGCGCTTCTTTGAGGGGATGTTACAGTCAACATTAGTACAGTAAACTTCATCAGAAAAGTTCAGTGTATAATTTTATCCTCATTACTAGCTCCACTATAACCCACCAACTGGTTTATACAGTATATATATGGACATCCCTAACCTGCTTTTGTTGTAGTTCTCATTTACAGTAAATCTGAAAAATAACCTCAGTAACACACTTGGACACAAAACGATGAGAAAGTAAGAGAGCTATCTGAAGGCCTCAAACTTGGAATCTCCCAGCTGTGTAAACACACACACACACACACACACACACACACACACAGGGCACCTTGGCCAAAGTATTTTAATCAGTGCCAGACTGTTCTCTCTCTCTCTCTGTCTCTCTCCCATTCTTCCTCCACTCTTTTCTCCCTTTCAGATCCTGCATAATGGAATTCATTTCTCTGCTCCACAGGGTCCAATCACAGCGCAAACTGAAAGGGTTTTACAAATAAAATAAACAAATATGCTAATCCAGTCACTGGGGAAAACTGTTGTAGAAATACTGTACGTAGGGCCCTATGAAATCCATTTTATTCTTTCACAAATTCTGTTTTTTTTCTATTTTATTTTTTTTATGGTTAAATTAAATTGTAGTAATCAAAAAGCATGTCTAATTAATTGAAATCATGAAACTTATACAATTTAACAACAATTTATTAAAAGTTTTATTTTTTCCTTGAAATTCGGTTTTATTTTTTGTCCTACCAACTTCTGTGTTTTCTGTCCTCCATTTTAATAGTTTAATAAAAATTTTAATAATCAAAAAGCATGTCTAATCAATTAAATTCACAAAAATAATTTATCCATTTTTCCCCAGAAATTCTGTGTTGTGTATTTTAATTTTTCTGGCAATCAAATTAAGGCATAAAACATGAATTTAATTTATCTTTTAATCGAATGAAATTAAACAAACTTTTTTGTCAAACAATGTGCTGCACAACAGAACTTTACTGTTGAAATTAGAAGGAAAGAAAAAAAGAAAAATTGTGATTATTCCTTAAAAATAGTTTTAATATTTTTTTAATTATTATTATGTGTTAATATTATTCTTACATTGAGATGTAGCTAAATTCTACTGTACAACAGTAATAAACCGAACTTTTATTTTGACCGTGGCAGTGAAGACCTTTGAGTTTCAGTGCGTTTATACAACGATAGTTTTTCTCAAATAAAGCGGTAAAATCATGAAGTTGAAGTTCATGCAGATGAAGTTCATCCATTTATGTCCTCATGTGTGCTTCAGTGTTTGTGTGGTAAATTAAACCAAGTCAGAAACAATTCAACAGAATAAAAAATAAAAAAACAATGCTAAAGAGGTGAGATGATACAGAGAGTAATATTTCAATTATTAGAAAAATTTAGAGGTGCCCGATATATCGGCCGCCGATATAATATCGGCCGATATGGTCAATTTTTTACACATCGGTATCGTTCCGATGTCAAAATAGGGCCGATGTGAACTGGCTGATAATCATTCCTGTGTATTTGACGTGTGTGTAGATGTGAGTGTGGGGGCGGGGATGTTTATTTTGGCACGAGCGCATACATTACGAGCGCAAGTCCTGTCAGTTTAAATATAAAGCGCAAGAAGACTGGAACTTGCGCGCTGTTTTCTGTCAGCCTTACTAAAGCGTATTTTTGTCCCGCCAAAGCCTTATTTGACCGGTGAGTGATGTAGATGACTGACTGCTGCGCTTGTTTAACTGAGAGAACGAGCAGAGAGAGTGAAAGCCCCGGTTTCACTCTCAGCGTCTTCAAACTGTCTTGCTTTCTCTTCCTCCCTCGCGCATATTAATTAATTGAGTTGACTGAATATCTTTAAGAATACACAATGACAATTTTTTTTTTTCTGAACTACCACGGTTGTGAATTGTGCTAAACTAACGTTGCCTTATCTTCTCTGAAAAGCTTTCCACACATTCAGATGACAAACCACACTTTCAACAACAACAACAAAAAAAATATATCTAGTGATGAAATTTTTTCTGTGTTGAGACAAATCTTGTGCGATGTCCTAAACTGCTTGGATAATCACACAACGTGTGCCGTCGTCCGTTACTGACACGTCCGATTCGCGAACTAATGACTCCTTTGAACCGATTCACTTTAATGAATGGTTAAAACAACTGATCTGTCCAACACTGAACTCAAGAGACATAAATCGGAAACACTTTACAATAAGGTTCCATTTATTAAGGTCTAGTTGAATACATTAGTTAACATTCTATTAATATTAGTTTCTATGCGGATTTACTCCATGACAAAACCACCCCAGTCATTCTAGAATGATTCATTCTTTCCAAATAGAGCTATTCAAGTCATCTGGTGAAATTGTTTTTTATATAGCAATATATATCGCAGAAAAATAAAATATCGCAATGTCATTTTTTACCAATATCTTGCAGCCCTAATCCTCGCTATGTGTTTTCTATACAGAGATATCGACATCGGTAAATATCGGTATCGGTCATAACAGCAATATTAATATCGGTTATCGGTATCGGCCACAATTTTCACATCGGTGCATCACTAGAAAAATTAGAACGTACTGGAAATAAAATGTGCTAAAAAACAGATATGCACTAGCATGGTTACTCATCTGCTGATAGCTTTCAATGACTGTTCGTCTGAAGGGCTGGCAGAGAGCAATGCAGAAACTGAAGTTGTGTGGAAATCATGATGTTTCATCACTAACCACCCGATCACATCGCCCTGCCCTTCAAAATTCGAAAAACGCTGATGTGGGAATGTTCTTCATTTTCACTTCATATACAGCATCTGACATTTGAATGTGAAGCAGTTTCATGCTGACCAAAACTTTACAAAATATCGGTTCAATCTGAAGTATTCATTTGCATGTGTTTGAGCAGGGTTTTATCATAAGCTATATAGTTTCTATAGTTTCCAATCTTTCTTATTTTTCTACTATTTGCGGAAATCCATTATGTCTGAATGCCGTTGGCTCCAGTGAGTTCTAATCTGAAGCAGTGGGGTATTTCTCAAGATGGAGGACTAAGCTCTTCACAGAGCCTTGACTCAATACTGAAAACATCCAGTTCCCCTGATTAAACAGGACACTGGTGACTCACACGCTCTCTCTCACTGGCAGAGTGCAGTGTCAAACACTGCAGTGCTAGTGACACTGTCACACAGTAGAACCGGCCCTTGTCACGGCCCTGCTAATGACCGTAAGTGTGTGTGTGTGTCTTTGAGCATCTGACCTACTTTTTCCTGTCACCCTTTTTCTGATTCAAATGAAGCTTTTCCCCGGGACAATGCTCCCAAACACAGCCAATCTGAAAGAAAACCCAGGAAGGGGAAACGTTTTTGCAGAACACAGTAGAAACACAAACAAACCAATGCTTTCAGAAGATCTGCATGACTCAGACGACGAGTTTAGTTTTACTCTTATTCATGACCAACCTGCCTCACTGATCCAAATCCAAATCCGGCACAGTGAATCAAGACATGCTCAATAGAGAGTGGGGCAAAGAGGGGTGATGTCATACAGCAGGAATGCCGTCACTAGGTGAGATGAATCTGGGTGAGGAGGAAGTTTAATAGATATAGAGCGCTGCAGTGATGATTAGGGATGGGAATTGAAAACCGGTTCCACTCGAGAACCGGTTCTAAGTTTTACGATCCATCGATATTGTATGCCCTCGACGTTAACGAGTCCTCTTATCGATGCTCCTGCTCTGAGTCAGCCGTATGTAGGCTACAGACCGTGAACTCACAACTGTCCATTTTGTCCTTTATCAAGCACCATAGCACGGCGTCCAAGGCGAATTTTTGTACCGCCAAAGCCTTATTTGATCGGTGAGTAAAATTGTCTCTCTCTGGTAATGTAGATGAACCGCTGCGCTTGTGACAGGGCGCATGTTAAACTGAACGAGCAGAGAGAGAGAGCCCCGGTCGCGCGCGCGCACTCTCTCTCTTCGGAGCAAGGCGAAAATAGGCTTCACCGTCTCAAAACTAAACGCTCTCTTGCTCTCTCTCCCTCGCACATATTAATCAAAATAAATGACACGATGGTAAGGTCGGGAGACTAAAGTTTCATGTGGAGCATTCGGAGATTTGTTTTTCCTGAATTACCGCTGGGTGTGAATTGTACTAAAATACGTTGCTTTATCTTCTCTGAAAAGCGTTCCGCACATTCAGCTGACATAAACCACACTTCAAATAAACGAAAAAAACGAACCAGTGATGAAATGTTTTCTGTGATGACACACATCTTGTGGGATGTCCCAACCACCGGGATAAACACACAACGCGCACACGTCCGATAATGACACGTCCAATTCGCGAACTAATAACTCATTTGATAACTCATTCGCGAACTCAAAACC